GAGTACTAAAACCTTTTTTTTCGCTAAATCGATAGAGAAAGTTAAACTATTAATCTCTTATTAAGAAACCTACCTAAGTGGAATATACCTTAGTGGAATATACCTACGTGACTAATAATACGTAGAGGTATAATAGATACTATAGAGGGCTCTAAGTGGAATGTTATAACGTTCCACTAGAGCATCTAGGTTAGGGGCATTCGAGGCGATATGGAGATGGCTTATCGTCTCGACACCCAAATCAACCCAGTATAGGCCCCAATTATCCATGATCTCGAGGTTGTCCAACGAGTCCAACTGCCACGCAGAGATGGAGGGTATAGTAGTCCTGACAATCGACATGTTCTTCACATGCCACCAATCGTACCACCCGGTCTCGTTCGCGCCGATTTTCGGCAGGTCATGCCAGTCGATCGTGCCTACGATGGTGAGAGACCACAAGCGAAACCGCGAGAGCGCCGGGAAATCTCCTAGCACGAAGCCGCCTCCGATCTCGCCCAAGTCGTCGATAAAGAGCGAGGTTAGGACGCGATTCTTGTCGACGACGAGATCACCGGTAATTTTCTTGGGGACGTCGAACCTCAGGTCTCCTGATACATCGGTGGCGACGGCGACGGAGCCGGAGAAGGTAGTGCAGCTGGACAGTGCGGAAGCCTGCGCGGTGTTGGAGATGGTTGTGGTGCCGGAGACGCTGCATTGGGCTACATACGCCCGCTTCGCTGTTAGCCACGATGGCAGCTTGAGGTGGTGGTGTATGCGACTGACCTTGAACACGCACACTCTGCGAGAGTAATGCTACGACCGCCGCCAGGATTCTTGCTCGTGCTGGAGCCATACTCTGTCCTTCAAGCCTCGACTCGTCGGAATTTCCTGTCCTGTTGGACTTGGAAAGTTCCAGGTCAAGCCCGCTCGCTCGCTGATGAAGTAGTAAACTGTATAGATGGACTACTGAACTGGATCAGCTCCACGAGAAAAAAAGGCATGGTTGCGTCTTTTCTCTTAAGCCAACCAGGATACAGCAAGGCGGCTGGGATTGTTGGTCCCTCCATCATTCCTTCTCCATCCGATACATGTGTACCTGAGGCAGGGTAGCGTTTCATGTGTCGCCTTGCTTGCATGCAGCATACAGATGCTGTTGCAGCGTAGGCAGGTCACGCGCCAGGATTGTTGCCTGTGCGAGAGCCATTATTATTAGATAGACCTGGGTCCTCTTCTGCTTGGATCCAACACCCACAGATCAACTGCCAAGACGGATCAGGTTTGTGACAACGAGCGTGGTACTCTTCTCTTCTTCAGGCCTACCCCCCTCAGAATCCGTAGAGGCGTAGGCAGCACAGTTAGAAGGAACCGACTGGATCGTCGCATGCGTACATGTACCTGATACGCCTACACAGGCTGCCCGGCGGGTTGGTGCTATTCCTAGACTGTACCAGGCGGTTAATCAGCTGCTCGGCCGCGCTCACTGGTAGCATATCAGACATAATACCATGCCTACACCAGAGAGCACGGACTGGAATGGGAGAAAAATATGGGTACATGTACCTAAGGTATGTAGCAAAGCCACAGCTGGGCCGTGGTTCACGAATACTCTATTCTTCAAATGGTACCTGAGGTTGATCCATTTGATGTTGGTAGTTGCAGACGTTGTGGGTGGTTGTTGCCTTTGCGAACCGCCCGCTCTTCTCTCTGAGGTCGAGCTGCAGTCAAAAGTCGTGTTGAGCCACGAGTTCCGCTTCTAAGGCTACAACTTGTACCTCAAAGTTGGGCATGGGACAACTTTGCCCACGGGACAACTTTGGGCAGTGACCACGATAACAACTAGGCGAGGACGCGCCGCCTCCTTTGCTGGAGGACGTTCTCGATGCGCCGGACTACGCACCCACCAGTATCGGCCTCCAGCACTCCTCCGAAGCCTAGCGCCGCCGACCTACCCCCCTCCCCTCCGCTCTCCCCCAAGACCTCCTCCGCGCCGCCAGTACAGACTAGTCCCTCCCGCCGCCCTCGTCTCTCCGCCGTCGACCGCCTACTTCATACCATCCGCCTTCTCAAAGCTGGGCGGCTCGAGAGGGAAGAAGAGTACTTGCTCTTCCGCCTTAGCGAAGACGAATACTCCTCCCTCCACATTCGGCTTGAGCAGGACGACTCACTGTGGGCTTGGTACGAGGACAAAGTCCGCTGCGACTGGGATCCTCCCGCGGAGAAAGGGAAGAGGGGACGCTACACCCTCCGCATGCCCCCAACTGCGTTACACGAATGGCTCATCGCGGATGTTGAAGACGCTGTCACGGACGGGATCGAGCAGCTCGCCGACCGTGTGGAGAAGGAAGATGAGATTGTGGCGAAAGCATTGAGGCAGGTTCGAAAGGGGAGGAGCACGACGATGGAGTTGCAGCGGCCCGTGCTAGAGAACAGCAGTCAGGAAGAGAGCGCAGAGGAGGGGAAGAGCACGAGCAAGAGCAAGCCGCAAAGGAGTCCAGATGCTACCTTCATCAACCCGGAGGTGTCGCGCTGGCCATGCGTGGTCGTTGAAGTGGCGTACAGCCAGCGCACCAAGAACTTGTCCCACCTCGCAGAGGATTACGTCGTGGACAGTCAGCACGAGATCCGCTGTGTGCTTGGTCTGGATCTGGCGTATGACAGCAAGAAGAAAAAGCCAGATCGAGCGGAGAAGAAACAACAACCGACCGTCTCACTCTGGCGACCTGGATTCGACGAAGATGGAGCAGGCATCTGCCGTACCGACATCGACGCCGCACAGTTTCAAGACGCCACAAGCGGCGGCCTAACATTCCACGTCTCCGATTTTCTCCCACCTTCCACCCTGGAATGCCTTCCCGCTACGACAACTGTAGAAGAAGAACAAGCACGCAGCTTCACCATCACCTTCTCCGACCTTGCTGCCATGCTTTCCAAGGCCGAAGAGAAGATCCCGGCCATGCCTCACACCACTCCGTCTAACACGTCAGGGAAGGGGCAGAAGTTTCGAAAGCGCAAGCGCACGCCTGAAAAAGAGGCGAGTGATGAGAACGAGGAGGCTGCGGTGAGGAGGGCAGAGAAAGAGTTGAAAGAGGATGGAGAGTGGAGGGCGCGGGTAAGGAGGCGGGCGGATGTGGGCCAAGAAGCAGGGTTAGAGAGGAGGAGGAGCTTGAGGAGAAGGGTCAGTGGGAGGGCAGTGGCGGAAGGGAGCTAAAGAACTTGTAGAACGGTATTGGCTCTAGAACATGAGTCGAATGTTGCGGTGTGCAGTGTCGCTGGGTGTGTCGCTCGGAGACAGCTCGATGGAAGGGCGGTGGAGCTGGGCTAGAGATGTCGACCTTTCCTGCATCTTCAACACAAGGCCATCATCTACGCCTATCGAACCATCATACCGGCCGGCCTCGTCGCTACTTTCAGCTATCCCCTTTCCCGGTCGAAGAACAACAACACAGCCGGTCTCTAAGCTGCGAAAGCTTTCAGCCAGGCGCACGAAGTCACACCAGCTGGAAGCGTAGTTGAGAATCTAGCATGGCGCCAGACCGGAGACAGCAGACAGCCGAGGACATTCTTCCATCCCTCCCAGTCAATCCTGGAACGGCGATGGCAGGCTCTTCACTAGATGTGAAGCACTGCAGCCCTCGTCACTGCTCACAATCCCGGGACCGAGGTTCGAGGTCCGCCGTCATCTCTGGAAAGAAGCTCTTGCAAACTCACAACACCAAACGCAGATGGTTGCATGCACGTTGTCATATCAGTTGCCATCTTCAGAAGCACGTCCGCAAACGCAGCGGAGGATCGACAGCAAGCGTATGCCTAGCTGTGATAAGCTTCAAGGCTTGTGTGGGATTGGATCTTCTCACTTCCGGTGGCCGTTTGCATGTTTGACCCGCACAGCACCGACTTCGTTCCAGATAGTCGGCTGGTCGAGCAGGCCAGCGAAGAAGAAGGGCAGCAAAGTGTGTCACTGTCAAACTGCCTTGTAGGTACTGACTGGGAGAGCGGGTAGGTGGATGGAGCAAGCACAGCTACTCTATCTCCTTCCCCCCGAAGCAGCGCCTCGGTGAGACATGAGAGAGTTCATCTAGTCGCCATTCCATCGACAGGACTAATGTGTCCGGACGGTGGGTGTGTAAGGTATGGAGAGGTTGCGTTCGTAGGAGGAACATATCATAAAAGACATTCTGAATACTTTCACATCTTCTGTTCCTTCCTCCTTTCGCATCGTCAACATGCAGACTTTCCTCATCCTCTCCTTGGTCACGGCAGCGCTGTGCGCGCCTACTGCACATGAGAAAAGCATCAAAGTCCCCGTCACAAGAAAAGCGCTTCTGACCCGGGCCAACGGCGATATTGAGCCTGCTAAGTATCTCGGCGTCCTCCAGCGCACTCTGCAGAAATACGGCAAGGATGTGCAGCTGCCCAACGTCTGGGACATCTTGAAGAGGGCTACGTTCGTTCTCCCTCCCACTGATTATAGTTCGAGTAGAAGCTGATGTTCTGCGGTGCCAACGAGCCCCTCAAAGACAAGTCTCAGGATGGCCTGGACATCTTCTACTACGGCAACATCGTCGTCGGTGTCCAAGGTCCCCAAACCTTCACCTGCGACTTCGACACCGGCTCGGCCGACCTCTTCGTTCCTGGTCCCCAATGCGACGCCGCAGCCGGCTGCACGGGCACCACCAAGTATGACCAGCAAGGCGTCGACGAAGGCAACACCACCTCCGTGACCTACGGCTCTGGCATGGTTTCGGGGGAGAACTCCTTTGATAGCATCACGGTCGCTGGTTTGACTGCGAAGCGGCAGAACGTCATCTCCCTCACCAATGCGCAAGGATTCAGTACGTCTGCGTCGAGCAGTCTGATGGGGCTAGCCTTCTCCACGATTGCGAAGAGCGGACAGCCGACTTACTTCGAGAACCTCATAGAGCAGAGTGTCGTGAGCAAGAACGAGTTTGCGTTCTATCTTGGCCGCGCCGCGGACGGCACCGGCGATGCGTCTGAGCTCACGCAGGGTGGCCGGAATCCCGGCAAGTTCACCGGCGCTGTCACCAAAGTACCCGTCAAGACCAGAGTTTACTGGCGAGTACAACTGGACAAAGTGGTGGTGAACGGCAAGTCCGCTGTGCTCGGCGCACTTGGTCTAGATCCTACGAGAGGCGACGCAGCGATCGACACCGGCACCAGCCTCCTCGTCGCCCCGGCCGCTGCTCCGTTGAGCATCTACTCCCGCATCCCCGGATCCCTCCCCATCCAGCTGCTCGAAGGGGCCGGCGGACCCACCGTCTTCGCCTTCCCGTGCTCTGCGAAGCCGCACGTCGCTCTCACGTTCGCGTGGACGAATTTCGCCGTCAACCCGCAGGACTTCAATATTGGACGGCTGACGCCGGATTTCGGGGAGGTGGTGGGGAATAATACGTTGAGCGCGATTTTGAACAGGGAGAGTTATTGTTTGGTTGCGATTGCGGGAGAGGACTTGGATCCGGGGAGTTATCTTTATGTTGTGGTGAGTATCCGCATTTGTTTGATAGGGTTCGGGAGGGCAGGAGTGCTAATGTGAGGGGACAGGGCGATACGTTCTTGAAGAACTGGTATAGTGTTTACAGCTACGACTCCGCGGCGAGCGTGAGCTTCGCCAAAGCTGTGTAGGAGTGCGGATGGTGCTGCAGCGATGGTGATGGAAAAGGTGGATGGGAAACATGGGCTGCTGTGTTCGTTGGGAGGCTAGTTGCTACCTTCTCGCTTCAGTTGCGAGTGTATATCTCCTTGCCGAGGGTGGTAAACTCCATTTCTGTATGCGAGTGAGTCGAAGCGCGCGGGCGTGAGTTTGGAGCGGTGGTCTTGCACCTGTCAATGGCTTCGGGCCATGTCGGTCAGCTAGAACGGACATCAACTCTTCTGCTGCTCCCTGCAGGTCGCCGCTGAAAACCCTGCCAGTCGCTGATGGCGTTGATCTGTTTGCCATGCGCCGGTAAGCCCTGCTGGCTCTTAGCATGCCACTGGCTGTCGCGGGGATGGCTGAAGTCGCAATGAGTTCTAGGTATTCTTGGACTGCTGAACGTTGGTGCATGCGAACAACGTCGGATGTGAGCATCGTTGCATGTGGTAATCGTTGCATGTGCAGATTTCACTGATGCCTTCTAGACCTGGAAAGGACCGAATGGTGTCGCGGCTGTCATCAGGGGCAAGCTGCGGAGGAGGGATGGGTCTAGTCTCCATCCTTGTGGCCGGAGAGAGCAGCCTCCCAGTTGCGTGAGAGAAGCCAACCGCACGGCGGTATCATAACCGACGGGGTTGGCCACGCAGTAGTGCCGCAGCCTTGAAGCTCGGACTTGTGGTGCCTGCATACCTGAGGCGAGTGGACATTCTGAGCATTTGGTGTCGTGGCGGGAGAAAGCAGTGGAGCAGGATATCAGGCGTAAATGTGGTGGTCCTGAAGTAACCGGTCCAGGATTGCAGCCGAGCATTCGCGGAGATGATTTCCTTCCACCAGAGTACTCAGGCTGAGCCTTGTATTCGCCTGCTGCAGCCCATAGTCCGATGGCTGAGATGTTTGTGTCCACTGGCACGCCGCCGTGCGCTGGGATGGGTCGATCGAGACCGGCTCCTGCATGATCTCGAGACAGCAGTTTTTAGGCGAAGGTCAACTTCCCCTTCAGGGTCGCATTCTCGTCCGCAACCTCAAATAATGACGAAGTCCCTCTCCACCACCGCCGGCGCATACCTCTGCTCCCAAAACGCAGCAAACTGTGGCCCATGCACATACGCTCGACCTCTCAATTGCCAGCCATCAGCCGTCCAATGCAAGACAAGAAACGGACTGTGTGCACCACCCCTAGGGTACATGACAACAGTATCCCGCTCTTCTATTGTCATTGGGCCCACCCCTATTAATCCATCAGGCAGCGAAAAGGCTCTCGCCTTGGGGTACTCCAGAAACGCCGCTTGCAGTTGATCAAACAGCCACCCGCGTTTTGCAAACCACCGGGGCCGCACATCCTGTCCGAGTTCCTTGCAGGCATTCTGCCAGTTCTCGATTAGATCCGCATACCGGTCTGTAGCGGCATCCGGTGTGCCGACGTCAGCTGCAGCCCATCTTGCCGTCCACGCTGCTGTGTGGGCGTCTGCGAGCCCGGCTGTCCTGGTAAAGTTCAGCAGTGTTGAGAGCATGAAGGCTTCTCTTCGGCCACCGCTTCTGGTCGGGCCAGGGTAGCCGTTCGCCTTCCGCCAGTGGATCTCGTGGACAAGGGACACTTCACTATACCACAATGCTGAAACAGTGAGCTGGCGGTATGCTACATCAAGTGTTATGTTCGGCGAATCTGATCTTTCCAGCTCGTGGAGTAGTCTGGGTGTATCATCGTCAGGTGCATGTGGCGTTCCTATCAGGTAGCAACGCGGCAGTGAAGCGCTCATGAGGTACGCAAAGTCGACGGTCCAGGTCGGCAACAGGCTGTCCTGGGTGTTCTTTACGTCCGCTCCGGTAAAACCCAGGATCCTGCAATGTCCGTCGTGCCTGAGCGTGACAAACGTCGCCTTTGCGAAGACTCGTTCTGGCTTGAGGGCGTAGTCCGATCCAATTTCGTGTGCCAGTACTGGATCAATGAAGCTCAGCATGCTGTACACGAAGTCGCGAGGGTCAGTGGCTGCAAATGTCCGTCCTTGCAGTGCGCGAATAATGTGAGAGACTGTGTTGTTGGAGGGCACGGATGCAGATCTGCGAGTCACAGAAACGAAGGAGCAGAATCTTTCTAGGGCAGTGGCAAGATCGTAGGTTCCGGTGCCATAGGTGGAGCCAGTGCCATTATCGCGGACCGTTTTCTTCATCTTTTGACGGTAAGGCCCGAAGCATAGATAAAGCGCCTGAGCGTGAGCTGCCTCCTGGATAACCCACACTCGCGTGTGCCACACTGGTTTGGTTTTGAGGACGGCACTCAGCAGAGCCTTGCGAATCTCGCCGTCCTGCGTATCAGTCGCTAGCTCCCCAGTCGGCCAGTACCCTCGCGGGGCCTGTTGTCCGAAGAACAAAGAAGGACCGAGGTGAGCTGGATCAGGCTCACCAAGCCACACGTCGACACAACGTGCGTTCTGGTAGATGGAGGCCATGATTGCCACTTGCGCGCCTCGCTCGGCGATGTTGCTCTGATCGATGCCTGGAACGACTGAGTTTCCATAGTCTCCTGCTACCGCAAACCGATACTCACATATGGCATCAATCCAGATCGTGCGCACTTCGTCCTCACCCTTCAACCGCTGTAAGGCGTGAAACAGGTTGTTCGTGATGTTGACCACATATCTGTCATTGACTCCGATCCACCTCAACTCAGTGGAAGATCCCCAAGTGTAGCTTAGTGCATCATAGTCGGGCTCTGTATCAAGGTGCACCACCCTCATTGTTGCCTTCAGGGAAAGGCCGAATGCACCGGGCTCGAGATCCAGCAGCCGGATGCATGATGGTCCTGCAAGAGGTAGGTCATTGTATAGTCCGTTCTTACTACCGTAAGAAAGCTTGATCATTGTGTCGGAGGGAACTGTTGTACTTCATGTTTACCGTGATCTGCACGTACAGCCCTGGGTCATCGAGGCTTCTCGAGGCTCCCTGGCAGCTGGCCTTTCAATCACATTAGTGTAAGCGAGCGCAGAATATATAGCATGTGCTCCGACTTGTAGCAGTCGAATACCTATGCTGTCGTATCGCATACCAAGCACAGACAAGCCTGATAGACTGGCAAATAAGCAAAAGGTTGAATATAAAGTAGAAAGAGTCCCGTTTGGACTCGTTAAAGCCGATCGCGGGCGTCCTTCGGTCAAAGATCGGGCTAATACCAGTGGAAGTGCCAGCAGCTCTCCTGTTCCTTGCTTGTCTTGACAACATGAACTTTCCGACTTATCAGCAAGGCAGTCAATTCGGCCTGACCCCCGGTGCGGTACCGACATGCCTCCCGCCCGCGCGATTGCTGGTGGGCGGCGAATACTCGCACCCCCAGCGGTAAACGGACATGACGCACAAGACGGCCACTGTTGTCCTTTGCATCCCCCGACCTCTACAAGTACGGCCACTCTCTCAGCCAGTGTGAGAGAAGAGCATGGGAGACGAGATGCTATATTTGCACAAGTCCCAAGATTGGCTGGCTGGCTGGCTGGCAGGTCTGGGCGTCTTGTGCGGTCTGTTCAAGCGGCCGCAAGAAGCAGGCATGGATGTGAAGATGGCAGCTGGCAAGAGGGCGGTTCTGAACGACACATTGATCGTTGGCCGGTTACCAATGTATCCATACTGACACACTGGGCCTTGACTGGGTCGCACAGGCTCGTCTGTGGGAGACTACGATCTTCCGGACGAGGCATGTCGAGAAAGCTGTTTGAGCATCTCCACCGCTCCTACTGATGACCAGTCAATGCATCCATCGAATGCCGCAGAGCACAGACTTGGATACGTCCTGCCTGTTCTTCGGTTCTACGGCTAATTACACGCTCGCAGAAAGACGAGCACTTTCAACAAGAAAATCATCCCCACCGGCACATCTTTGTACCTGCAGACCGATCATCCAACTGCACAGAATGCGGCCACATTTATCCCGAGCAGTGATCTGGCGCTCTTCACCGCAGAAATGAGGCTGAAAAGGGTCTGGTGGTCTTCTCCGCAGCTCCGCACTTTAACGGTGAGCTGGGGATCGTGAGATTTTGCCTGAACACAACAAACCCCAATGCGTTCATCTCTTCGCCGTTTATCCGCACATGCATGGTTCAATGGCAGTCAGGTATTTGTACATTCATCCTGCTGTTCTCTTTCGTATTGCGTAGGTTGTTGAGAGTCTTTCCTCGCTATCATGCATTTCTCAATATTTACTGGCGTTTTGCTCAGCATCGCGTCTCATGTAACAGCCATTGGACAGAAGCAGATCATTTCATTCGAATCCACCGATGGCTGCCTCACTCTTGCCAACGGTGGCTCCTCTCCAACCGTCATCCTAGATGGCGCCGACTGGGAGGGCGTCATCAGAGCTGGCCGCGACCTCGCTGCCGACTTTGGCAGGGTCACGGGACAAAATGGCACCGTCATGCTGATGAACGGCACTGGAGTTGCCGCTACGAATATGAGCTCAGTGATCATTGTTGGCACAATTGGCAACTCCAGTCTGATTGATGGGATGGCGAAGTCGGGCAAGATTTCAACCGGAAAGACTGAAGGACAATGGGAGGCTTTCCAATCGCAAGTCGTATCAAACCCTATGCCCGGCATCAACAGAGCGCTGGTCATTGCTGGCGCAGACAAGCGCGGGTCCATCTACGGCATCTACGACGTCTCGGAGCAGATTGGCGTCTCGCCATGGTACTACTACGCAGATGTGCCAGCGAAGCAGCACTCCTCGATCTACGCTCTGGACACCCCCAAACACCAAACCTCACCATCGGTCAAGTACCGCGGCTTCTTCATAAACGACGAGCAGCCCGCCCTCACCAACTGGGTCAACGAGAACTTCGAAATGGGCGAGTACGGACCTGGCTTCAACCACAAGATGTACGCACCCATCTTCGAGCTGCTTCTCCGACTTCGAGCGAACTACATCTGGCCTGCGGAATGGAACAGTATGCTCGCAGTCGACGACCCGCGCACACCTCCGGAAGCCGACATGTACGGCATCGTGATGGGAACCAGCCACACCGAGCCGCTGATGCGCTGGACGAAGGAGCAGAGCTTGTTTTTGAACGGGACATGGGCGTGGGCTACGAATGAGAAGAACGTCACCGAGTTCATGCGCGAGGGCGCCGAGCGCTCCAGCCCCTACGAGAACATGTATACCATGGGCATGCGTGGGCTCGGAGATACCGCATCGCCTACCCTGGACGCTGATTCGCTGGAGGATATTATTGGTGTGCAGCAGGACATTCTGCGCGATACCTTCGATACTCAGGATATTTCGGATATCCCGCAGATGTGGTGCTTGTACAAGGAGGTTGGTGGGTACTTTGAGCAGGGCATGGACGTGCCGGAAGATATCACGCTACTCTGGGTAAGCATTGATGGTTCCAAATGTTCTCCGCGACACGATCGTACTACGTGTGGCGCTTCGAGATCTCTTGAACTCTTCCACTCTATCCAGACATCTGCTGACTGTTTTACCCTTGGGTGCTTTAGGCTGATGACAACTGGTGAGTACTACACAACAACCACCCGCTCCCTCGTTTCTACTGCTTACACATGCGCAGGGGCAATAACCAGCGGCTTCCGCTGGCCAACGAGACGGACCGTGCTGCAGGGGCGGGCGTGTACTACCACTTTGAGTAAGTAAATTTGGGTGGAACATGTCATGCTGCGTCTTGAAACTAATGACCTCTAGTTATGTTGGGGACCCACGGGATTACAAGTGGTGAGTCACACGTGGACAGAAACCCCTCCCTCATCTATACTCGAGGGTTTGAGAGAAGTCTTGTGGCCGATGAGCGAGAGCGTTTGCGTCCATCCGGACGTAACGTACTCGTCGATCAGCTATGAGTCTTGTGTTCAACGCTCGACCGCCTCGACCCTCGACCGTCTCGATTAGTCGCAGAACACTCTTATGAGGCCTTCCCGCTTTACTGTCTGAGACATTTGCTGACGGCTTCTCCTTGCAGGATCAACACTATCAATATCGCGAAGACTTATGAGCAGATGCATCTCTCGTACGAGCGTCAGGCGAGGACGATTTGGGTTGTCAATGTTGGTGACCTAAAGCCTCTTGTGAGTGCTCACGTGATCTTTCATAATTCGTGAGGTGCAGTGCCGACTGTTTTCTGCAGGAAGTCCCAATCAGCCACTTCTTCGACCTCGCCTACGACGAGCCATCCATGTCCTCTCCAGACAGCACGATGAAGTGGCTTCGCGCATGGGCTGCCCGTGAATTCGGCGAGAATGTCGCAGACGCCACCGCCTCAGTGATGAACACCTACGGAATGCTTGCCGCCCGCCGCAAGTACGAACTGCTGGATCCATTCGTCTACAGTAACACCAACTACAACGAGTCGGGCCGCGTGCTCGGGGAGTGGCAGTCTCTTGTCAACTCCGCGCAAGCTATTTACAACCAGCTCGACACCGCCACGCAGGCCGCTTTCTTCGAGCTGGTGCTGCATCCGTGCATGGCTGGCAACATTGTTCACCAGATCTACCTCAATGCGGGCATGCAGAACACGTATGCGTACGAGTGGCGGCAGTCTGCGAATACCTTGGCGCAGCAGGTGCTGGATTCTTTCAATGCGGATGCTGCGTTGACGAAGCGGTATCATTCGCTGCTTAATGGGAAATGGTGAGTGCATCGTGAGAAGGACTCCATCCCTCCTCACATCGTTCTGTTGGGCGCAGAACAATCTTGTGGAGCCTTTCTGACTCGTTCTTCGAAATACAGGAATCACATCCTCGATCAAACGCATCTTGGCTACAACTGGTGGTAAGTGAAGAGAGAAGTAGAACAACCAGAAGAAAGAGAATACTGACTCCCTTCCAGGCAACAACCAATGCGCAACGTGAGTCAGGCGGAAGTGGAGGCCCTCCGAAGGCCTTTTCGGCTACTTGGAGCTTTGAATTGCTTCCTCCATTGCCCGAAGTAACCATGAACAATGCTGACTTTCTCTGCAGGTCGCCCCGGCGTTGGAGTGGGTCCAGGCTTCTGAGGTCTCGCTTGGAGGTCCATTGGGTGTTACGGCAGAAGGCTCGAATGGGTCTGCGCCTGGAGACAGCATCTACAACGCCGGCTTGGGTAATTGGGTCCAGACCATGCCTCCAATCGACCCCTACGGCCCTTCGTCTCGCTACCTCGACGTCTACATGCGCGGCCCAGGGTCCACAGATTTCATGATCTCAGCGGACCAGCCATGGGTAACGGCATCCCCATCGTCAGGCACCCTCGGCGCCAACGGCAGCCTGGACATGCGTGTGCTCTTCTCCGTCGACTGGTCCTCGGCTCCCGCTGGCCAAACCACTGTCAACATCAACATTACCAACAGCGCTGAAGACTATGGCAGCGTCAGCATGCCCACTGCGGTGCTTCCCGTCAACAAGACCAGCGTCCCAGACTCCTTCTCCGGCTTCGTCGAGAGCGACGCCACCATCAGCATGGAAGCCGAGCACACCACCTCCAACACCTCCGCAGACGGCGTCTCATACGGCATCATCCCCGGCTACGGCCGTACGCTGTCTGGCGTCACACTCTTCCCCGTCACCGCCTCTTCGCAGAGCGCACCCAACGGCCCCAAGCTGACCTACGATTTCTACGCCTTCACCCACGCCCCGGACGCCAACGCCACCGTCATGATGGGCACGAGCCTGAACACCAACCCCGATCGTCCTGGCCGCTACGCCATCGCGCTCGACGACGAAGAGCCAAAGGAGGTCCAGCCGGTGCCGGACTTCACTCTTGGTGCGCTGCCGGAGATGTGGTATACGGGTGTTGCGAACGCGGTGTTCACGAATACGACGAGGATGAATATCAAGCCGGGGAAGCATAGCTTGAACTTGTGGGCACTGGAGCCGGGAGTGGTGTTCCAGAAGATCGTGGTTGATTTGGGAGGGGTGAGGGAGAGTTATTTGGGCCCGCCGGAGAGTATGATGGTGTAGTGTAGTAGTCGCTCGCTGTACATACCACACCATGCAGCGTCTGAGAAACGGAGTAAGGCTGCAATCCATATCAGTCCCCGTTTTCAAATGGAAGTGTGTAAGCCTCGCAAGCACAGCCGCGTGGAGACAAGCCCTGCTTAGCTAGCTGCGATCATCCGCGTTCACCATCTTTCGGTTTTTACTGCGAAGGATCGCGGTCAGATCTAGCTGAGAACGGCAATGTGAACGTGGTTTATCCAGATGCTGAATCATCGTGCTCATAACATGCCTCAAGCCGACAGGGTAGGATCTGAAGGATTCGGTCTCGCATTCATGCGGCTGTTGAAGGAGCTTCGCGGCCCCGGAAGTCCACGAGGTGCGGCTGTTATATGTTCACTAGCATCTGCACTGGGACGACTACGGAGGGACTGAGCACTCTTGCGTTTGCTTTATCGCCTCAAAGCTACCGAAGAATCAGTGGTCTTCTTCAGGCGGGCATTTCCACACTCAGCGGACACGAACATGGCACCCACAACCACCACTTTCACCATCATCATCATCGGTGGCGGCATCGCAGGCCTCGCCGCCGCCATTGCCCTCGCCCGCAAAGGCCACAAAGTCACCGTCTTCGAAGCCAACACCTCCCTCAGCGAGCTCGGAGCAGGAATCCAGATCCAACCCAATGCTACCCGTGTCCTGCACCACTGGGGCTTGCAAGATGAGTTCAGAAAATGGTCCAACGAGCCAGCCGTGATGAAGGTGTTGCAGTATGCTGATTCGACGGTCATTGGAGAGATTGCGCATAATCCGATGCAGATCTGGGAGTATGGGTATCCGCATTGGCAGTGCTATCGGCCGGATTTGCAGAGGTTGTTGTATGATGCTGCGGTCGCTGCGGGTGCGGATGTCCGGTTTGGGCAGAAGGTCGCGGATGTTGATGTGGACCAAGGCATCGTCGTGCTGGCGGATGGTAAGCGAGAAGAAGCTGATCTCGTCGTCGCTGCGGACGGCATTCTGTCCAAGTTCCGTCATCTTCTCCCGGGTAATAGCGATGCAAAGGCAGTGACATGCAATGAGTATTGCTTCCGTACTGTCGTACCCAAAGAGCGCATGGACTCCAATCCGGAGACGGCAGAGCTGATGAAGGGTGAAGACTCCATGGTCTGGGTGGGACCTGGTGTTGCCGTGCTGGGGTACACTGTTAGCGGGGGACGGTATTATAACACTCTGATCTCATGCCCGACACCATGCGAAGTGCCAGTTGGACGCTGGGGTGAGCCTGGAGATGTTGGAGAGGCGCGAGAGTTGGTGAAGGACTTTTGTCCTGCGGTGAGAAAGATCTGGTCGTCAGTCTTAGAAGTGTGATATTCCCAACGTTTGCTGATGGGCTCAGGTACGTGAACGAGACTGTGCTCTGGACATTGGGGGAGGTACCCAGGATCGCCTCGTACACAAGCACCACCGGCCGCTTCGTCCTCGTTGGCGACGGCGCACATGCAATCGTTCCGCACGCTGGGCAAGGCGGAGGCTCCGCCCTCGAGGACGCTGCTGCACTGGGCGAGTTCGTCTCGGCAGCCAGGGATGTGCGGGATCTCGCCAGCAAGATGCAGATGTTCCAGGACTTCCGGCAGCCACGGATGGAGTACATGCGGACAATGGCTCGTGGGAACCAAACGTTCATGTCGCTCGATGACGGCGATGAGCAGATGAAAAGAGACAAGATGTGGGGAAAGATGACTGCGAAGTGGAAAGCAGAGCTGGCAGAACTGGGAGAAGAAGGCTTCCGAGCACGACCTAGGCCGCGAGCGATACCAGGGAAGGATATCAGGTCTCCAGAGTCGAGACAATATATGATCGGTACCAAACTCATGAGCAAAACCCTGTCGTTCCTGGGACACTCGCTGATCCTTTCACTTTTCTGTTTGCAGGCTATGATGTCTTCGCAGAGGCGGCGAGGTTCCTTGATGCTCATGCTTAGCGTATGAATCTGTTGCTATCCTACCTTACAGACATCTCAGGCGCCATCGCCTGTACAAAGTCCGGCACTTCCTCCATCTTCGCACTCTCCCTGGCACTGAAAGCATCAAACAGTTTCTTCAACCGTGGATGGTCTTCCGTCAGATCAACCTTGTATACCGCTTCAGCAAATTGCATCGTAGACATGGCAATGCAATCAACAAGCATCGGGTGGTCGCCGGAACTCGCAAGCCACGGCCCCTTCGCATCAGCCATCTTCTCCAGACTGCTGAGCATATGATGCGTCCTCGCGAGCGCTTGCTTTGCAGCGCCTTCGCTCTGCTCCTCCATGGTCGAGAAGAGCTTTGATGCATTGTGGCAGTAGAAGCCGAAGAAGTCGGTCGCTTCGCAGATGACGCTCATGCAGTCCCGCACTTTGGCTCGCTCTTCGGGGGTTGAGCCTCGCATGTCTGGTGTTCCTGAGCCTGGGCCGTATTGGTCTTCGAGGTACTCGAGTAGTGCTGAAGGCGTCAGTCTTGGCGAATGAAGGAGGTGATGCTGGGTGTCTCTGAGGCATACCAACGCTCTGCACAATGTAAACCCCGTCCTCCGCTCCCTCACTGCTCGGTCGCTTGACTTCAAGTATAGGCATGGAACCCGCTGGCTTCCCAGGTGGCTGATCCATGCCTTGCGTCGTGATATTGACTGGAACAACATCGAGTTTGTCCAGGATCCCTTTCTCCTCGAGGTAGATGGTTACCCGGCGTGGATACAGGCCTGAGAGACGTTAGCATTCTGTCCTCTACACAGCCGAGAAAGCAGCGTCGGCGGCCGTGTCTGTTACTCACCCCACGGGAGGACCCAAAGTCTCTGTTTTTCAGGCATGTTGTTTGTGTATAGGGAAGAGATGCTAATTGATGTGAAGCCATGGTGTGGTTCTTTCTTGTGTTTATATTTGCACCAGCACATGTTCGCCACATCCACCCGTGGACCGCTGTGCTCGGAAACTTGGCTTCGGCGACATATGTTCGGAAGGATTCCGAGTCGCCGAATGCACACACATAAACCTGCGACGACTTAAGTGGTTGATCCAGTTGCTTGAGCGCAGGATACAACTTGTTCTAGACGTGGAGAGGAGAAGAAGCAGTGGAGAAACGCTTCCGGCCACGAACGACCTTGCCGGCTGATGCCGAGCGCGCGGATTCATTGAGATGCTGGAAACAATCCTTGCAGCCTGTCTACCACTACTTAACCTCTGGAATTCAATCATACTTGCTCCCCACTCCCACCGCATACCGACCCGCATACTCATCATACCCTTCGCCATCATCACCATCACCCTCCTGCTTCAAATCCCTCCTCTCCTCCGCACCCTGCTCTCGCCTCAGAAGCTGCTCGATCGACCATACCACTCGCTCAGCACCTAGTCTCGTATCTTCCAGATTACCCGCGGACAGGCCTAGCTGCACGTCTGCCATCTTGCCGGTGAAAAGAGGCACACCATTAGTCCGCTGCAAATTTACTGTCAGAGCTGGTAGACGTCCGTGGAAATCGATAGGGTACTTGTTTCGTCTGTCTGATACCATGCTGCATTGTCCAACGTCTAGCTAGGAGCTGGGATCGAACTCCGGGAGAGCAAGTAAAGGTGGCTGCGAGCCTATGATCCGATGTTTGGTATCGCGGCAGTACGACTGTGTCTTGACGGTTATGTGCGTATGAACCACAAGTCTCTTTCGTTTGATGTGGCCTTCGAGGATCTTCTGGTATCGGCTAGTCGTGCTTCCGCCGTCGCGGGCTTGCTTAATGATGTCGAGATTTTCTGCACATCATCAGCCGCCATCGTATAGACACCACCGCATGTTGAAAGGATTGACTGACCTTCAAAGCTGTCCGCCGACCGAGAAGCAGCTCGGGCCGTGCTCTTGAACTTGCTCATCCAGATCAGATCGACGTCGAAGGGCTTGAGCTGCCATCCTCGTCGCATGAGAAGGTGGACTTTGCTGACGCCTCGCCGGATCAGGACGTCCGCCAGCTGCACGCTGGTGAGCCCTCCGCCGATGATGAGGACGTTGGAATGCTCCCAAGCCTCGGTCTTGTGGTTGAGTCTTGCATCGGGTAGGGCATGCTCGTTGATCTGCATGGCATGAGTCGCGCCCTCCACATGCTGCTGCTGGGAGAACGGCGATGGGATGACTGACTGTCCGGGACCCGTAGCCAGTATCACAAAGCGGGCATGATATCTCCGAGAAGATGTTTGCACTCGAACAGCTTCTGCTGGCTGTCGATGCTAAGGTAGTCAATGGTTTGGACAGTCTCTTGGGAAATGGGCTGCCTGTTGAGATGGTAGCGCTCCTTGGAAGCTTCGCAGAAGTCGTGAAAACATCGAGCGGATGGTGCGAAGTAGTCCTCCCTGTCTCGCTCGTTGATCTCGACAATGGCACTCGTGCTGATGAAAGTCAGTCATTCTTCGGCCGGACTGTAATCTTTGGACTTACCCAGCATTTCTTGCACGGCGCCGGCTTTTGCGCTGGTGTTTGCTGTTCTCCTTGCCGACACGCCCGACAATTTCTTGTAGCTCTTCGGCTCTTCCATGTCTGTGTACAAATGCGAGAAGAGCGTCTCTGTCTGTCCGAAGGGTCAGGGTGAAGGAACATGGGACCTGCAGGAATGAGATCAGCTATCTCCAAGACATTTGAAAGGCACGAACGTACTCCGTAAATGCTCAACCTCAAGCGCGGCAAACGGCGTCTTCCACTTCACTATCCACTGATCTGCGCTGGAGTCGAAAACGAGAACAGAAGGCGGTTCGTGCGCAAGTCCGCCACTTCCAGATCTGATCTTACCGGTCCACTTGTAACTGGCCGACGCTCGTTGGGCATGTCGCTGGATCCACGAGTATCGCCGTTGCTCCTCGTCCGTGAAGAGGGCGGATGGATGTTTCTCCTTCAGCCGCGCTGCGGTGGCGAGTCCGCATGGTCGTGCGCCGATGATGAGGATGTCGTATATCTCAATTTGCTCCATATCTTCCGGCTCGGGCTGGGCCAAGGTGGTGCGGCCTGTGATCTGCCTGAATTTGGTTGAAGGATGGCATGGTGCAGAGAGTATCATCGCCATGCGTGGCTTTCTCTTGAGTCATGCAATGCGTCTGACACTCCGAGGCTCGAACAGTAAAACAGCGTCTGTTGAATGTGCTCTTGTCATTTAGCTACCTACAGAACCATATACACGAGGCTACTTCTTCCCCAAGCTCTCCATAAACCTCCTCCTCACATCCCTCGCAATCTCAACATTGCTCTCCGCCCTCTCCTTCGACGCCTTCGCCCGGCGCTCCAACCACTGATTCCGATCCTCCACAAACTCCTTGAACCGCTTCTCCCTCGCTTCGATGTTCGACTTCTGCTGCTCCGTCAGCTCCCGCGATGCAGACGGCTCCGGCGGCGGCTCGATCTTCGGTCGGTTCGGCAGGCGCTGCGCCACAGGCAGGATGTCGAGCTTCGGGCCGGGCATCGTCTGATACCAGTACGCCGTGGTCGACCAGTCGTCTCGCAGATGGTTGGCGTGTCCATGCTCAAGCTTGACTTTGATCTTGCTATTAAACCGCACCGGGTCCGCGAGGTGCCACCGGTAGCTGACCTGGTAACCCGGGACGTCCTCCTCGTGGATAATGGTGCCGCAGAAGGGGTAGGCGTTCTTCTGCATGCCCCAGCCCTGGTTGAAGTAGTCCTCGCCGCCGGTGCCGTGGATGCTGGGCGGCCAGGTGTCGTCGTCGACGAAGATGAGGTCGTCGCCTTCGCCCCACCAGGTGCCTTGGAAGTGCAGCACGGAGTGGTTGCAGCCGATGAAGTTGCCGGCGCCGGTGGTTTCGAGGATGGTGTAGCCGTCGCCGGTGAGGTTGGGGACTTGGGTCTCGAGGGAGTTGGTCTGCATGTTGTTCGGGGCCCAGCCGGAGGTGGGGTTCTCTCTTCGCCAGTGGGCGTGGAAGTAGAGCAGTTGGTCGGTGTCGTGCGGGTTTGGGAGGAGGTCGTAGTCGATGTAGAAGTATTGGAAGTAGGCGTGTTCGCCTTGGTTCTCAATCTCGATGCGGGCCCGGCTGTTGAAGGGCATGGGCAGGTAGCAGTTGAGTGCCGTCGCTCCGCCGAATTTCTTTTCCTCGCTGGGCTTGACCGAAACAGTGAACGGCATGGATTGGAAGTTCGCCGCCATGGAGTGACCGACACAGAAAAAGTCTCCAATCGGAGCGACGACGCTGGGAGTCTCGGAGTCGTCCCAGTACATCTTGATGACAATCTTGCGGTAGTAGTCTGCTTCTCGTCAGTCCGGCGACAAGACATGGCAGAAATCACGACTCACCTGGATCATTGTCTTCATAATTCAACCCCAGCGCATTGTGGATCTCCATCATGGCCACGCCAGACTTGGAGTATGGGATCAAGCCCGGGCCCAAGATGCGGCGGCAGGTCTGCACGAACCAGAGATGGGTAATGGTGCCAGGTCCTTCGATGTCGGCCAGTGTGGCCGTCTCGCCGGGGAGGACGACAAAGGCATCCTCGTTCAGTCCGGTCTGGTCCCAGCTGGAGATGCGAGCGGAGCGGGCGACTTTGCGTTGTGAGGCTGCCGAGAGCAGGCTGCCTGCTGAGGTGGAGGTGGCCATGTTGTGTTTGCGAGCGTGAAGTGCGTTTGAGCAGCAGCCATGGTACTTGTAGCCATCTTGCTGTCGTGGATCATCTGTCAAGCTTTCCCGATGTTCGGGCAAGAACAGAGACTGGTCGTCGAAGAGAGTGGGGAGGGTGGGGAGGTGGAAGTAAAGGACGGGAAGGACGGTCTCGCGGACCAAGACTTCCACTCCACTTCCTTGGCGGAAGCGCCTCTACTTCCACTCGCGGACGACGACCCTCACTCCCCGACGACACTCTCTCCTCTGCTCTTCTTCTCCGCCCAGGATGAGCCACGCGGACGAGACAGCAGCAGCGCGCCGCCAACGCAAAGCGCGCACTCGAGCCACGGCGGCCTGCTCGACCTGCCGCGGCCGGCGCACTCGCTGCGACAACCAGCGGCCGTCGTGCGGGTTCTGTCGCAACAATGGCCTCGATTGCCACTATGACCAGACGCCGCAGCAGCCTCCGTCTCGGTGTGTACTTCTCGGCACGACCAACGTGAATGAAACCCTGACTAATGGACTTGTAGGGTGGAGGTCGAACTGGCCGCCATCAAACAGCGCCTCGACGACATCACCACTCGCCTCCCGCCGCCGGCAACAATCCACCACGCCCCGCCCTCGCAAGACTTCACGCCCAACAGCGGTCACCATGCTGGCCATCACGTGCCCATCACCGAGGAGGAGAAATCTCCCTTCCAGCTCCTCGGCATCGAACGGACGATGACCAGTCTGGGCCTCGAGCCAGGCTTTGCGGAGGCACTGCTCCAGCTGGAGAGAAGTCCTCCCGTCCATGCCTCTGCTCAGACTTCCAGGATGAGGATCATGCAGCAGCAGACAGTACTGGATGCCCTGGCTGCCTTCTCGGCGCACATCCATCCCTTCTACTCCGTCTTCCGCCCAGGCTTCTCTCAGCGCCATCTCCAGGTCATGTCCGGCCCTTTGAGCCCATCCTGCGAGTCGTTTCTGAGTCTAGTGGTGACAGCGGTAGGTGTCGCGGCATCCCAGGACTTCGCCTTCGGTTCGGCAACCAGCGACGCTTCGGCCGTCAATTTCGTCGATGCCGCCATGTCGTCCTTGCCAGACGTGGTGGTCGACAGTGGCCTCATTAGCGTGCAATGTCTACTTCTGCTGAGTATCTACTACTGTTGCACGCTTCAACCCTGTCGTGCGTACGATTACGTGGTGATTGCTTCCCTCAAGGTACAGAACTTGATGAAGAGCCAAGCTTCCCAAGACGACGAGCTCGCAGAGCAGGTACGGAGGGCATTCTGGGCGCTGCTGTTGTTGGAGTGCGAGTTGCGGGCGCAATTTGACCGCGTCGGAAGTCGAATCCAGTACCAAGACGACGATGTCGCGCTGCCGGACGGGCGACGTCCGTGGCATTTGGAGACGGAAGTGGGCTCACCACAGGAGTCCATCTCGCCGACCATGAGCATGCATTCGATGGCCAGCAATGAACTGGACACAACGCAGTCATACTTCCTGGCCGAGATCGCAATGAGACGGATGCTCAATAGATGCAACACTGCCATCCGCCGAACATCCGACGGCCACATCGTCTACGCTCCCGCCATCGCCGTGGAGCTAGAACTGCAACTCGACAACTGGTACACCTGCCTCCCGCCTGCCATCCGCTTCGACTACCACCAAGACCTCGACTTCGACCTGCTCACCTCGCCCAGCCTCTACCCACGCACCGACAACCTGGGCAACTTCCTCCGTGTCCAGTACTACTGCTGCAAGATCTCCATCTACTGGCCCGCCGCGTACCAATGCATCCAAGACGGTATCGTCACCCTCGAGCTCCTGCAGCACTGCGAGCGCTTCTTCAACGCCTACATCCAGCTCATGCCGTCCATTCTCATGGCGGTGCGGGAGTGCATGGTGCATCGCTGGACGTTGTATGCCAGCATATTCATGACTTCGATGGCGGTGCTTAAGGCGGCTTCGACGGTCGGGATCAGGCAGGGCTGCGCCATCGACTGGTCTCGTCTGGTGCATTGTTTGCAGTCTACGCAGAGAGTTGACCAAAGAATTGCGAAGGGCAGTGGATCGCTTTCACTGCTGAGCGAGACTCTGTCAGAGCGCTTGCGGGACTTTTTGGAGACCCATGCAGAAGGCGTCGATGGATATGTTTGAGTATGCTACCTCAAGGCTGTCTATGTTGGGCCGATTCCATCCCACAGGGTCGCACTTCCCACGACAGTGCTCCCAGGCGCACCGCTTGCGAATGCGGTGATACCGCCCTGCGATGGTGATGCTTCCTCCCGGTACACCATTGTGGCCAAGGCGAAGCGGTCGTTCGCAAACACTTCCAGCACATCTCCGTCTGAGATGATGCGCAATCGCAGCTTCTCGAGCACGGGCTCCTCGTCCTTTTCGGCGGTGGTGAAAAGCGTGAACGGGCCTTTTTCCGGGCATCTGTTGCAGTTTTCGACTGTATTGGTTCGGCTGCGGTCTACTGTGATTGCCTCGTGCTCAAGGGAGAAGACGATCGCCGTCCCCACGGTGTGCTTCTCGTCGTGATGGATGAAGAGTCCAGCCTCCTTGCATCCGAGGTGGATGTCCATCGTTACTTCCAGATCCCACGTTGATGCAGTCGCTTCGAAGAGGAAGGTCTGTTGCCGGATGTCCTGGTCTCGTGACGTGGTGTCCACATCAGCTTTGAGCTTTTGCCGGCAGCGCTCTCGCGCATTTGTAAGCTCATGAATCGGCCGGACACCGAGGGTTGTGAGGGTCAAGGAGCCGTCTGCTTCAGCCTGTTGCTCGAACCCACTGATCTCAGGCACCTCGCTGCGCAGCGCCTTCACCACCCTAAAGATGCGCACCAGGAACACCTCCCGAGGGATGGCAAGAGAGCCGTTCCAGCCTTTCCGCTCCACGAACTCCGCCGAGATGTCTTCTTCCGGGATCCATCCATGGACAATCCGTCGTCCGGTCTTGGGATCCACGAATGAATTCGCTGCGTAGTACGTCCCATGGTCCAGGTATCCTCCGGAGCTGTATTCCATGCGCACGGTCCCGTCTTCTTCGACCAGCGGGCCAGACATCCATAGCTGAGCTCGGACTGTGCGAGGTGGAATGCCAGGTGGGAGCGGGTGGTCACGCACATGCTGCTTTTCTACATCGCCTTCGGCGCCGATGATTAGCACTTCCCGGGACACCTCGCCAGAAGTAAGAGTCATGAAATTCACGCACTCCCAGTTGAGCCCATAGTTCCCGGACCAGTGATGCGAAGGCTGGAATCGCTCCGGCATCTCCACCAAATCTCCCTGCAGTTTCCACGAAGTGGGATCATCCGGCGGCACCTCATACACAAAAGTCGTCGGGCCCCGCCCTCGAATACCGCCCGATACAAGTCCATAAAGCGACGGCTCTTCCCTCCCCAACATTCGATCCATAGCCGGCCAAGCTGCGAGATACGGATCCCGAAACCCAGTCACTTCAACACACTCAGGTTCGCCTCGTAGAATCGGATTCTCGTCTTCTTTCTGCCACGTCCTCCCGCCGTTCTGCGAGGTCGCTATCGCCAAGCCTGCGGCATTTCGCGGGTATGGCGGCGTGCTCCAGTGGAAGGGCAGGTGCTTTACTGATGAGTATATCACTCGTAACGTGTGGTCGGTGGGTGAGGAGGGAGGGACCCAGCAGCCGGTGAAGACGCCTTTGCAGTCGTATGGCTGGTCGGGGTGCAGTGCGATGGTTTCTGTGTCTGCTGGGGGGGTCCAGGTGAGCTGGTCGGCGGAGGTGAGGTGGGCCCAGGACATGTTGCCCCATTGTGTGCTGGAGGGGTTGGTTTGGTGGAAGAGGTGGTAGGTGTCGGTGTGGGCGTCGTAGCTCGGGGCACATGGATCGTTTAACCAGCTGCCTACTGTGACGTGAAGGACTGGTCTGCGGGATTGGAGGGGAGGGCTGGGTTTGGTTGACATTGTGGGAGGGTGTTGAGTGTGTAAAGCACTTTGAATTGATGGTTCTGTCTTTCAGTCGTGTGCTGTTCTACCAGCTCGGTCTGCTGAAGATGCCGTGCGGACAATTTAGACGAACGTGGACCTTCAAGTGTTCTGGAAATGAACGGCCTCTTCATCAATCTCAGCCTCTTCGTCAATGAGCCTCTTTGTCAATCAGCGTCCTCATCAATCATCGTCCGTCATTCATGCTCCGCTTGTGGACCCCACGTTCTGTTCCGATTCATCCATGTTGCCATCCGCGGAATCAGTAGACTCGAGAATACATACTCCTCGTACGCGGAGATAGTCGTACGTCCGCGAAACAACAGCCCGACTCAAGCAGCTGCCGGCCGCCGTTCGCGGTCCTCGCGGAGCAAGACGACCGCCAAGGTCCGAGTGGCAAGCAACAGAGACAAGGCGTTTGACTCGGGGGAGTGATCTCGACCCCCAGCGTCAACCCTTGTCTGTAGGTGAGCGTGGAGTCTTGGGGGGAGAGTTGCGGAGGAGCCGGCACGTGGTAGAATATGGAGTGCATATATATATGGCTGGTATCTTTGATGCTTTGTTGGTGATGGACACACCTACCACATCTTCGATCCCCTGATATACGTTCGTTTGAAACGTCTTCAACATGGCAGAGCTCATCAAGGGGTACGATCGCTCTTCCACTTAACAGCTAGCGAGCCGCCCACATTGACTGACTGGATGCACAGCGTGGACTTCTCAGTCGTCGACCCATCCCAGAAATGGAAGATCTTGAGGTCGCAGTCCCGTTTCGCACTATGGGGTACGCACATCTCGCCGTCCTCCTCACCAACCCCCAAGTCTATACTAACTCCCAAACAGCCCTCTGGCTCTCCAGCGGTGTCATCATGCAAGGCTTCGACATCACCGTCGGCGGCCAGCTCGCCGCGCTCCCAGCGTTCCGCGAAAAGTTCGGTCGTCCGCAGCCCGACGGCAGCTTCCTCCTCCCGGCCTACTACCTGTCCGCCTGGAACTCGATCGCGCCCGCCTGCGAGGTGGTGGCCACCTTCATCTTCGCCCCGCTGCTGGAGAAGTACGGCAGGAAGTGGGGTATACTCGCTGCCTCCATGATCTCCGTCGCGGGGATCCTGCTGCAGCAGCTCGCGCAGGACTGGACGGTGCATCTGGCGGGTCGTGGCGTGAATGGCGTCGCGATTGGGATGATGTTCACTATTACGCCGCTCTGGATTGGAGAGTGCTGTAGGCCAGAGCTGCGGGGTTTCTTCCTCTGCTTCTTCAACACGGCGATTGTGTTTGGCCAGTTTGCCATCGTTGTCGTATCAAGGGGCAGCAATGAGATTGATGGGAAGTGGCAGTGGTGGACGCCTGTGGTGGCCATGTACATCTTTCCACGTGAGCTTCTACATCCCTCTGCTTGCCTTCACACACGATCATGTACTGATGGAACGCAGTCATCCTCACCTCCCTTTGGCCCTGGTTTCCCGAATCAACCTACTGGCTCGTCCGACAGGGCCGCCCAGAAGCCGCCAAAGCCTCGCTACGCCGCATCCATGGCTTCACCGAGGAGGCTTTCTACGACATCGAGCTGCACCGACTAGAAGAGGAGGTTCGCGTGGCCAACGAGATCCAGGGCAGCATTGACGGCGTTCACACTCGAAAGTTCTTAGGCGTGGACATCGACGCTGAAGCCGAATGCTTCCGTGCCTCGAATCGCAAGAGGACATTTACAGCGATCTTCTGTGCCTCTGGTCAGGTAGATATTGAACCCTCCCTCCCCGTTCTTTCGAAAAATTTACTGACCAACTTAATCTTTCCACAGCAAATGATCGGTGCCACCTTCGTGATCGGATATTCTACCTACTTCTTCGAGCTCATTGGGATCCAGGACTACTTCAACGCCTCGGTGGCACTGTATGTGGTCATGCTGTTGGCCAGCACAGCTGCCTTTCCCCTCACCGAAATCTACGGACGGCGCTTCCTGATCGTGGGACCGCAGTTCGCCTTGTGCTTCATGCTGTTGATGGTCGGCATCCTGGGCTGCATTCCGAACCACCCGGTCGCCACCGGCAAGGCAATTGTGGCCTTCATCTACGTCTGGGCTCTCATCTATCAGCTCTCCATTGGAGCCACAGGTTTCGTTCTGGCATCTGAGATTGCGACGATGCGTCTTAGAGGTGCTACTCAGGGTTTGATCACAATTACCAACGCGTGCTGGGGCTTGATCATGCAATTTACTGTGAGTCAACTTAATGGGTGGAAGGGTTTTCTAAAAACGCCTACGTGGTCCTTTGAGACCCTTCCACCTTTGTTCCGCCTTCCGAAACATCTTCTGACTCTTTTTCCCCCCCAGGTCCCCTATATGATCAACAGAGACGCGGGTATCACATGCGTAAGATCCTTCCAACCCTTCGAAACTTACTAACCCTATTGCTTTTCTATCCGCAGGTAACCTCGGCGGCAAAGTCGGCTTCATCTTCCTCGGCACAGGTCTCATTGCAGCAGTGGGAGGCTGGTTCCTGTACCCAGAGACCAAGGGCATTCCATTCGAGAAAATGGACGAGCTGTATGCGGCCAAGGTACCGCCGCGCCGCTTTGGCAAGGTGGTTGCGCGCGAGCGGGAGGAGGGAGGGTCGTTCTCGGCGGAGAAGATTGAGCAGCAGGCGAAGGAAGGTGTACATGTAGAGAAGCGCGAGGTGTGAGGGAGCGAGCGGCTACAGTGTCGATGTAGAGTTCTCGTTGTATAGCTCCAAGTCGCTTTCGAGCAGACTAATTTGCAGCTGTGGTGCATGTGCGCCCTGCTCCCGTCCACAAGGTACACGCTTCGCAGTCCGCTCGACCCTATTCCTGCCGTAGACGAGACGTTCGCGTAGTGCGAGACAACGTCTTGGAAGAAATAGCAGTCTCTGTGATCTAGACTGTGTACGAAGAACCATTGAAAGCCTCTTGAAAGCACACTGTTTAGCGGAGAAGAAGTTTGGAGTGATGAGAGGAACAAACGTCTCTTCGAGACGACAGAGACAGCATAGCTCACCGGGGCTCTTGAGAGTAGGACGAGGGTATCACGGAGAAGACAGGAAGCTTTGTTTGTAATATGCCAAGATTGGATGTCGAAAAGGTAAAGCTTGCCCGTGCTTGGTCTTGCTTGGTGCATCGTGCTCACGTGACGGAGGTTGCGGAGAAAATTGAACAATACCTCCACTAGCCTTCTTTTCTTCTTCTCTTCTTCTCCATGTGAATATGCCTCAGCTATCGAGTGATCTTCTCCATGAGTACTACGGTACCTTCCTCTGGTCCTGATCGCCTGCTTGATGCATTGCTCGCAGCGCTCAAGCATTGCGCCAAACTCATCCGCCAATTCATCCCCCTTGCTTCAGCGATATGCGTGGCATCTAAAGCGGTGGTGCAGCGGTACATTTGAGTACAAGGTTGTCTGGCTCGAAAACAGGCGAGTAGATACCGTATGAGGAGCCCTAGAGTGCCATGCATAATCCCCAAGGTACATGTACTCTCATTTCTATCACTTTCACCTTTCTCTTCCACCTCCTTCCACTCCAGCAAACGTTCACGCCAAGCCCGATCCCGTTTTCATCAGATTCACGTTCACATTGACTGTGTCGCCGCCTTCCCGACCCGCCGCATTCACAGCCCGCCACAATCAAGCAACGAATCAGATCCTGCACCTGCGCAGTCACCCGTCTGGTCTTTGCGCCCAACTTCTCCGCCTCGTGACACCTTTTGCCGCTCCCGCCGCCTCCTCATCGAGCCTCAACTCCACCAACCGCATTTTACCTCAAACTCCTGCACCCTTTCGCCGGTCCTCAACCGTCGCGCGCACCATGGCCAGGGCCCTCGCTGCTGGCGGAACTGCACCGCCCTCTCCCCAACGCACACCAAAGCCGTGGTCATGGCCCACTCGACCCGCGTCCACTGGATCGTAGCCCACATCCACCCGGCTCGACGCCTCATCACCGTCTACAACTCAGCGCTGGAGCTGAACCCCAAGCACTTCAAGCAACTCCTGCCTTCCATCGCCCGACTGCTCGGCGCCCACCTCGGCGAAGCATGGGACGTCCAGTTCGAGGTCCGCGATGGGGCGTCCACCCAGCAGTCCGACCTCTCCGTCAGCGGTTTCATCGCCGCCGAGAACATCAGGACGTTGCGCCGTGGTCGGGAGCCGGCGGTCGAAGACCTTACGCGTGAACGTCGACTGCGTTCCACTGGGCTGAATTACCTCTTCGGTCGCTTTTTGGAAGGACGAGAGCCCGTCTGCTTTCGCGAAGGGCGCCTCTGGTGGGATTACACGGGCGAGGAGACGAAGACGCTCGGACAGGGTGTTGGGACCGGTGACGTCTCGGGCGAGTCTCGTCCGTCGTGGCGCAGCTGATACTGCACCGTCAGCGTCTCCTCTCTCCGGCAATCGGTTGAATTGCACCAACCTGGACACGAGCAGCGGCAGTCCACCTGATTACCCGAGCAAGCGCAGAGTACCCTAGTCACAATCTCAAGCCGGAGGAGAAGCAGTGTCGCTTTGACTGCAAGGATGTTATCAAGCTCTACGGCCGTGCTGGGTGTTTAAGCAAGGTGCGCAAGGACGGAGTTAGGCATGACCTACATGGCTGTTTGTTCAGATGTAATAAGGACTTGCAACGGGGTTGCAGAGGATATTGTGAAGCAGGAGCGCTACGAACATCAGGAAGGCATAATACAGTTTCGTGGTAGAGAGCTTGATCATCTTGTGATAATACTTTGCTTCCGTGTCCGTCACGATACTTCCGTCGCCTTTGCAGCACAGTCCACCTGACCGCAATAGCATAAACACTTCACCTTTCTATCCAAGAGTCTACTCGCCGTGCCCATGACAATAACTTTGCTTGGGTGAGATCTAGTGATAACAAGGAGAGGAACATAGAGGCACCAGAATACGAATCGCATGTATCAAGCAGGGAGGAGGAAGGTCAGGCAGTAGAATAACCTCCTGGTCAAAAGCGGAAGAGTAGAACGCACCGTGAGCTTGATCCTGCTGGTCAAAGACCTTCTCCAGCTCGCTCTCGCTCAACAACCTCGCCGCCGCGCCATTGAAAGTGTGCATAATACTGCCATGTCACGCAAGTGAGCGGAGAGGGCTACCCGCATACTGTTGCTTGCTTCTGCCGCGCCCCTTCGATCTGGTCGGGTGAGGACTCCTACGCATGCCGCCTGTTCGTTTGCTGAACGAATGTCCCCATGTGAGCAAGTGTGAAGAGCGGCGCTGCCGATGCCATCTAGGTCCTTGGTTTGAAGGCGACAGGGAGAAGACGGAAGATGTGGAGAGGGCGGGAGGCAGGGACCAAGAGCAATCGCCGAAAGTGCAGCAGCGTCCCTGCCGTCCTGGTTCCAGAGACTGCAATTCGGGCTGCATCGTCAGCAGTATTGGATTGGTTCTTCGCCCGGACAACGTTGGAGGGCACCTACTGGGACTTGCTGGTGCATTCTCGTGCGCATGCGAAGTGGAGAGGCAGTTTTCCGTCTCATCAATTCCTGGGCTTTTCAGAGACCTTCGAGTAGGTACGCAAGACAGGAGACGACGGCGAGACAAACGGAAACGTTGCGAACAGGAGAGGCGTATCCAAGTCTATTGTCTAGCTGTACTATACGTTGCTGGTGTAGTCGCCTGGCAGGCTTCTCCTTCTCAAGCTCCACCAATGGCTCTGACATTACGCCTTACCGGCGGCGTGGTGTTCGTTGTGCGTCGACCCGCCCTTTTCTCTCCCGAAACCGCCAACGTTTTCGATTTCTTCAGAGCTGATTTCGATGTCTCGCATGTAACCCGCGACTTCGTCTATCACAACCAACTATGTCAGCGATTTCGAATGAAAAAAGAAAGGAGAAGAGGGAAGCACCATGATCGCCAAACAGGGCCGCAATTTCCTCCAGTGGCTTGCCCAGTGTGTCGGGGAAGTAGAGGAACATAACGACCTGCAAGATTTGGGCAAGTCGCGTAAGCAGGTTGTCTTGGGTAGGAAGAGGATGAAGCAGTGCTTACCGCTCCGATGGTCCCGGGAATAATGAAGGCAAGATAGTAATACCAGCCGATATTGCTGTTCGCTATGTCAGCTTTCCCATTTCATCTCCGTGCGAGCGCTCCACCTACGCCAGCGCTGTGGGGGCACTCTGAAGCCAAACTATGTTCATGAACGATATCATGGCGACGCCTAGGCTCATTCCCTGCAAGAGGGTTAGCGGGTGCCTTGGGGATAGTGCGTTCTTGCCCTACCTTCGCTCGTAAGTGGACTGGCCTGTAAGTCATAGGTGAGAGACGTCAACATGTTTTCCTTCGTAGTGGAGGGTTGGTGTGGTGCTAGCTTCTATGCGCGGAACCGGTGTAAAGACGCAAGTTGCTAAAATGGCTTTTGGAGGTTGATCTTACCAAATCTCGGAGATGTAGATAAACTGCATGCCATTCAGGCAGAAGTCATAAGGGACCTCGATTAGGAAGAGGAAGGCAACCCCGGCGCGAAGGGCAGCGTAGTTGGTAGAGTCGACGTAATTGGCAACGATGCCAGCTTCGCAGGAGAGCACGACCATGCAGCCGAAGACGCCGATGGCCATAAGGCGGTTACGGGAGTAGTGGTCGTTGATGAAGAGTGAGATGGCTAGGATATTGTATCAGCGTGGAAGATAGGGCGAAGGTCGGGAGGCGTGAAGCGCACAGTTCAGGCCTAGAGCAAAGGTGAGCCATGCTGCGCCGTAGAGGAGCTGGGTTTCGGTGCTGTTGTTCATGATTAGCCATGTACTGTTGCCACATACCATCTCCAAGCTGGTAGGAACTCACGGGTATCCAAGACCAGCATACAGCAGCGGCCCGTAGTTGTTAATGACGAGAATGCCGGAGCACTGGATGAAACCGGTCGTTCCAATCGTGATCAGAGCTCGCTTCCGCAAAGTCGACTTCTTCATAACATGCATCCAGCTCGTCGGCAGCGTGCGGTCGATGGCGATCTGTCTTTCGATCTGGATGTACTCTGTGCGAGCCAAGGTGTGGGAAGGATCGGCAGGGTCGTCATGCAGGTGGAGCAGGATCTTTTTGGCTTCTTCATGGCGGTCCTTCCAGATTAACCAACGCGGAGACTCGGGAACCCACCACAGCCCGATGATCAAGCAAAGCGGCCAAAGGCATTGCTATAAAGGTTAGTTGGTCATCTTAGCTAGTAGGCGCTTACGCTCCTTCAAGTCGTAGGCATAGCAGTGTCATGTACGTACCACAGCGAAGGGTATACGCCAGGTGGCCGAGCCGCCGTCCTTCCTTTTAGTTCGGAGTATTCCTTAGCAAATGTCCTGGAAGTTGATTGGAAAGGCATTGAAGAACCACAAAAGCCGCATACGGAGGGTCTGTGCCTGGCAGGAGATAGGAAGATACAAACGCACTCACCAGTGATAGATTCCGAAGCCTAGCCAAGAGGCAAAATTATACCCCAGTACAAGAATGATGCCATGGATCTGTACCAGAGCACCACGAAGGTAGGGCGGTACGATCTCAGCCATCCAGATGGGTACGGCGGCGAGGATCATGAAAGCTCCTGCACCGGCGAAGAACCGGAAGACCAGGAAGGTGGCCATGTTGGGACTGCCTGCCAGGACGGCTCCGGAGATGATGATGAGTGTTGCGCTCTTCGCATTCGGTATCAGCATAGCTTCGCAGTGAGAGAAGCGGACAGCAGCAAACCCACCACCAGCAGTCCACCTTTCCGCCCCCATTTGTCACTGAACCAACTCAGGCTCAACGTCCCGATCACACCTCCAGTCTGGAAGATGCCATTGGTCGCCGACAGTAACGCAGTCCCATCCGGCCTGGTATCTAGCTCAAAGTACGAGGTGAACGTCGGCTGAGCGAGGGTAGCGGAGATGACGTTGGCAGTGTATCCGTAGCAGAGGGAGCCGAGCGAGACGAAGAGAATCATGTAGAGATTGTAAGCGTTGAGCTTTTTCTTGCTGTGGGCATAGTCGCCCGAGGCAGAGAAGAGGCCCATGGTTGCTGGCGGTTGGCGTCGTCAAGGCGGAGGAGCAGGAGGAAGAAGAGATAGAGAGCCGTTTGGATGGTCGAAGGAGCAGCATACGCTACTGTATATCGACGGCCTCATATCCTTATCACCTCCTCGCATTGCAGGCGAGTCATTCGGCAATGCTTTACCGCATCTCCTCCCCAGATTCGTGCTGGAATGCCTGCTTCGTCGAACCTTTCAGATGGCAAGCCAGAAGAACGAAAGGCAGCTCCTGTGGACACAGCCCAGCGAGCCCAGGGCTTGGGGTGGAGTCTGGAGCTCTGGGAAGGACCCGGGGTCTCCATACCCGAGGATCTGGGGATATCTGCCACGTGGAGCTGGGTATTCCCGGACGCGGGGTCGGAGAAGACGGGTTTGGAGGGATGAACTCGGTGGTAGACATACGGGTCGTCAAGAAGTTGATGTATTGACAAGATGAAGTTTTAGGTACCCAGAGAGGCTGCTGCTCCAAGATGAGAGCCAAAACATTGACTGAACGCTAGTGAAATGCTCCATTGATCGTCCCGAGCAACCTTCAGAGATCTGTCCACATCTAGTAGCATGTTATAGAATGCCTCATCTTCCGCATGAAAGCCGAGAGACCCAAGCAGCTCGTGGCAGTCCGTTGATGTAGAAGAGACATTGGCATGCATGGTAGTCTCTCAAGCGTCAAGAAGTGGAGCTGTTGTGGATCAGGGATGTGTTTGGCCCTGTGAACGTTTTGATAGCAAAAGTGAACAGGTATCATGCTGCAATATCCATACCACGTCGGATGTAGGAGATAAAGTGAGCGCTGCTGATTGACAGGTACGAGCACATGGCAGCTGGGCGAAGCAAATAGGCGAATGCGCCGTCCGCTCGAGCTCCAGTGTTCCAAGGTTTTGGAGCATCAGCGGCGGCCAGGAAAGACAAAGCTGGTATTGAGTTCAACAAACACCTGGAATCCACAAGCAAAACTCCTCCCGAGCTCCGTTCGCACCCGGGGTGGCTGCCGCGGCAGCATGCCAGCTCGGCAGGCCATCGGACATGTATCGAAGAAGCGCAGCATTTCGGGTGAGGAGTCCAGGCCTGTGCCACGAAGGAGGCATCGGTGTTCTGAGCACATACTCCAGGTGTCGAGGCGGGAGTCCGCGCATTCATCAACGACATAGCGTCCTGGATGATGCGGTAGGTAGCTTGCTCCGAGGAGGCTGTTTGCAAGGAAGCTCACACTGCCGTTGCGCGCCACACAATGCGAGGAGCGTGAGGTTGATCGTGAGAAGAAGGAGTGGAATTCGCAGTGGTAGGGTCTTCAAGGATCAGTCGTGCTTCGAACCAAGATGCCTCGCCACCCCAGAATTAGCAGCGACTCCCAAATGCTGCCACTTGTACGGCCGAAGCACTCTCCACCATCCAAATCGCCAGCGTCACTGTTCACAGTTCTCGTAGGGAATGCCGATTGCTGCGTCGGCAGAAAGCCCGCCACAATGATCCCTTCCTCGAAATGCAGTGCCTCAAAATGCGAAGGCGATGTGGACGGTATCACATTTGCTTCTCTGTAGCCGTCTCGTGGCATGTATCTGAACCCGCTTGTGGTGCGGGATGCATGAAGGCGAGCTTGGTCGACTCCGGGCCTGGAAGAGGGCCAGTGAAGCCATACTGAACCCTCACATCGCCCACAGCCCGAGCAGCATCGCGGCCAGACGAGTTCCAGTGGCATCCAGCAAGCATTGGTGCTTCGAAGGCCTGATCTCCGTTAGCTGGACGTTCCATATGGTGGGGGACAAACCCACCTTTGCGATCTCCAGCGGCGAGAACGACACCGATCTGCCTAACCTCCACCACCCCCAGTATGTTGGTGCAACAAGGCAGATACAGACGAGTTCCACAATGGCAGCGGCGACGAACCATTTGTAGTCCGTACGGAAGACGTTGTGTTCGCCGATTTGGTACGCTGTAACGCTGGTCTTCGTGCGTGCGGCTACACCAGGATCCATCCTCGCCTCCAGGAAAGCCATATTTTCTTGTCCTGCGGCAGCGCCAACGTACACCATGAGCTTATTGAGTGATGCCAGCGCGTCCTCCCAGGGGTCGTTGTACGAACGGCAGGTGTCATCGCCAGGGAGTAGATAGTTCACGTCCTGGCCGTTGGTAAACCTCTGAAAGCTGAGCCGGGAGTGCTCAATGAAGGCAGCCACCATAGAGGCCCACGCTTTCTGGTCTATGGTCACGATGCCACCAAGTGTTGAGCTGTAGCCTGACAGTCTGGGAATTACGGTTCCGTTGGTGAGGCTGTTATTGGCATATGCTATGATGCGTGGATGAGCGGGATTTATGAGAGTAATGCGATCCTGCTCGATCGTCACGTTGTATCTTGCGGTGGCTGATCGAAGTGAGCAGGAAGTATAATTGAGCGTGCCGACACAGTTCCTCGTTTTCGAGTATCCCGTCAAAATAGTAACAGTTTCCAGCCCGCCTGGCTCTGTAATAAGCACCTCTGCGACGAAGAAGAGCTCTTGGTTCAGCGGCGGAGCGATATTCAAAGCCTGGCTTTTGAGAAATCCCACCGACTGGTGGTAATCCACCGGGAGCTGATGAGACGTACACTCTGTTAATGCGAAGGCAGGAGCATTGATCGTAGCTCTACACCTGCCCTTACAGCCGGATGTGATGCCAGGAATGCCGTCATCTGCGAGGTAAGGACGTCCGATAGTTTGTTCGAATTGATCAGTCTCTGTCACAAAGAGCGTATTGGACACCTCAGTTCCATTGGGTCCCGGCATAGTAGTATTGAATTGCTCGTTGTAAGGTGTCTGATCGAACCCGAGATCTTCACCTCTCGCCCAATATCCGCTGTAGCCTCTTGGGATCTGTTGTGCGATCATAATCTCGAGGGGGAGAGGGACGCTGTCGAAAGACGCTGATTTTACCGCAGAGGACTGCTGGAGCAGCGGGCCGTCCACGACCACGACGGTAGAGAATATTGTGGCCAGGCTGAGGAGTCCAAGGTGGCGTCCAGCGAGGATTGCGCCCTTCAGAGTCGATCCAGATCGCCAGTCATGGTGGAGCTTTCCTAGTGTAATAGAGCCTTTGAACGCTCGTGTCCACCATGCTATTACCACTCCCTGAAGGCCTAAGCAGCTCCGTCAACCAACGACCAATGGACACGAGGGAAGCAACCCACAAGCGTATCGCATCGCCAAGTTTGCCACAGCCGTGCAGATGGCTAGATAGATCGAGGGCTGAGCCTCCCAGCTGGACACTGCCGCACCGTCGGACGCCACAAGTATGGCAAGCGATACAACGATACTCGTCAACGCTACCAACATGGCTAAGATACCGGACAGCGGCCCAGCACGAAACAAAGTTGGCTTCCAAGGTCGCGAAAGCGGCCTACTGGAATTCCGTGTTCGCTGAGCAGGCAATCCGGTCTGGTCATGATCCGGCAGGAACGTTGATACATTGGATAGTGGCGACCAACTATCTGTGGTGTCTGTGAGGCTGGTGTCTGACGTGATCTTACTGGTGGGCTGCTTTTCGATCTCTGCAGCACTGTGCTGGCCTGTTACCGACGAGCCTGGGTCGATGGTGGCCTTACTCATTGCCCCGACGTGGTGATTGAGCGGGTGAGGGATTTTGGCTGAGAAGAATGATTGTGCTGACTTGAAGATGGCTTGTTGGTAGTAGAGGAGGAATCGATCGATGGTGGCAAAGCCGGACATTACATAAATAGGGCTTTCGGATGCGTACAGCCGGATGGATCAGGGCCAAGGACCATTCGTCCTGCAGCCGTTAGGTAACGGGATAGATGCAGCACAGGTCGGCATGCATCAGGCTCGAGCAGTAATCCATATCGAATGGCGGGTTGTAGTCAGCATGGGAGTATACTTCGCAGGTCTTGGCGTATGGTGCTGCACCCGGTGGCAGGATGAATGATTTGGTAATGCGTTGGGGGCCGCATCGACGGGCAGAACGGCAAAGTACAAGCAAGGAAGTAGCAGAGCCACTGGCGTGGTAGTCGCTCGTAGTGCTCAGTCAGCGTCTAGGTACCAAGGCAGAACACCGGCAGACATGCAATGCAAGTCGCCGTGCAGCTGGTCCATATCATCATCCGGACTGGCTGACACTGGAGGAGGGAACGAACTCCCCATTGCCGATCATAAGCATGTCGCCGTGCCCCATCCATGGTCGTCTCGTAATTGCTGAGGCATCTTGACCCATCGGACAACAGTGTAGCTGTGGGATCCAACCATAACGACGCCCTGACAGTACATGTCCAGCCAAAAACTCTCATTCGCAATTGGTGCCCAGACGACAGTCGGCAGAGACGGCCGGCCAAGCAGTCCCTTGGCTGACCTGACTACAGTAGTATGTCTGCTCACTGCCGGCCATGTGCCCAGCCACTCCGTTACTCAGCTGATTGTGACGAAAAGAAGGGCTCACATCGACCTGAGGCATTGCCGATTGTTGGTACTCGTCCGTGTCGCTTGCGTCGAAACCAGCAGCCGTGATCCACTTCGTCTTTAGGGTTGTTCCAGGGTCCGGGCTCACCCACACGACGTTGCTGCCGCAGCTGCAGCAGGAGATTGCTCGTTTATATCGTGCTCAGTCAGCACTCTCACGAATGCACGAGGACAAGGCGCATTGCCAGATAGATGGTCGAATACAGTCGATTCGATTGGGCTTGGCTCGATGGTGAGCAAGCTGCCACAAGTAGAGTGCATTATGGTCTTGGTCTGCCTCGTTGCAGCCCAGCACGGCAGTCGTGAAACAGAGGTTTGCCATCAGGAAAGAGTAACGGGTTGTTGGTGGCGTCGAGAATTATGCGGGGAGGAGTCCTCATGATGGTCCGGACCGCAGGTCCAAAATATTGTTGAGGTCGAAGGCGAAAGCGAGCCATGATCGCCAAAGATGCATGGGGCGGAGTAGTCATCGTCTTGCGCATGGTAATGTCAACAAGCTCCCAAGCGCAGTGTATCTGCAGACATCGCAGCCGCTGCTATTCGAAGATGGGTCCATCAGGATGGAGTCCTGCTCCAGCGTCAACCTCCCCGCGAACCAATGCAGGAGCCTGTCCATCTCCGTCTACCGCACCTGCCATCCATAGAAGCATTGATAGGTCGTCCGCGTGCTCACACCACTCAGCAAGCGCCTCCTCCATTCCTGGCGCCGTAATCTTTGTTGGCTCTTCAGAAGGCGGTGAGCGGCGGAAGGTGAGCAGCTCTCCTAAGATCAGTTGATGCTGATTGCACCTGCGAGCTTGAACTGACTGGTATCCGGCCTGCCACTGAGCTTCCGAAGCTGCTATCCAGAGATTTCGGGAGCAAGGTAAAGGCATGTTAAAGAAGGTCTCGCATTCTCCTGTAGAAGGTGTTGTTGCGTTGGAATGGAGCAGAAGGTCGAAGAGGTAGAGGACGCAGCCGATCCTGTGTAGTCATCATAGCACGCATGATGCTTTGACAGTGGAACTTCACGATACATACCTCCTCATACTCTCAACGAGCACCCATTGCGGCCGGGAAAGGTAAGCTAGGTCAACTTCATGATCCCAGGCGGTCATGTCAAACAGACGGTGGCCGAACGCCTGTGCCGAAGAGTCCGGTCAGAAATACAGGCTATTCGACAAGCCAGGGGACGTACTTCGATCATCTCTACCACCCACGCCACATCGACGTACGACACCGAGGCCGCCTGCTGAGCGCCCAATAGACCGTACAGCAACGCCGCCTGCATGGCCTCCAGCGTTCTCTCCTCATTGTACTCATGATGCTGCGAGCTATCTTAGCGAAAGGTCCACGAAGGAATTTGGATCTTGACTTACCTCTTCGTACACCTGCTTCAGGTGGGCGACAATGCGCTGCCAAGCTGCTCCGCGGAGTTCAGGGCGCGCAGAGTGTACTTCTTTGATCAGCGACGAGCACGTTTCTAGGTCGCCAGACAAGCATCGGTGCTCGGCACCCGCTGAGCATCTGGCCGCGCCATCCAGCCAACAAGGAGGGTATATGAACGGTGGCAGCTGCTTGCCATCTGCCATCATACGGGTGTACTCAGCAAGCCTGCTGAAAAGCATCTTCGCCGTCAGAGAGCCTTGCTGCAGCGACCTGCCACGCTGGAACAGCTGAGGTGTGATGAGAGTGCTTGTATTTAGTGGCTCATCAGCGAGGTCCGGGCCAGCAGTTGGAGCTGCAGTATCGGTGTCCGGGCTCGTGAAGACTTCAGCAGAATTGGAAGATGCAACTTCCGATGAAGGAGCTGGGCCGTTAGCCTCCTCGGACTGCTGGACCTCGTGAGATGGTGAGGATGAGCCGGCGCAGGCTAAGCAGAACGACTCACTTCGCCGGCAGGTAGTATAGCCTTCAACACTCGCTCAGACCGGTCCTGTCGAGGCTCCTTGGGAGGCCCATACCGGCAGTCCAATCCTCTTCTCGAGCACCGCGAGCACGGTAACTCCAGTGTGCACCGGCTCTTGGAGCGTCGGCAGTGCTGGCACGCAACGGTTCGGGATGGAGGCATGCTGTTGCCCAAAAGAAGAACTCGGAGATTCTTTCAGCCCAGTCTCGTCACGACTTTCGAGCAGATCGGTGTTGATGTAAAGAATGCAAGGAAGTCCAGCTGGCAAGCGGACGCGGCTTCGCGGAAGAAGGACTTCTTGGGTAGGCGCCAGGATCCCTGCTTCGCTGTCGGAGCTTGCAGCCAATGACCAATTTTTACGCATCGGAGATTGAGCCAATCACAGCGTTCTTGAACCCGAGCGAACGGTGCCGGACGGTCTCGATGGGAAGGATATATTGCGGTGGTCTGCTGCAGTCGAACGGCTTCGAGGATGTCATTTCGTGGTAGGAAGCGACGTTGGGCAACGTCTACGGCCAAACCGATTCAACTCTTGTTTCCTTAGTCGACGAACGTATCCTGAACTCGATTGTCCGCAACACATAGCACCAACATACCACAAGACGAAATCTCCTGTAACCGACCCTGTCGCTCCCGATCGTTAACAAACCCTCCTCCAAAGCCTTCTTGACCATGTCAGCGCCGTCCAAAAAGATCGCCCTGATAACAGGCTGTTCCGCCGGCGGCGTCGGCGCCGCCTTCGCATCCGTCTTCGCCGCCAACCCCAACTACCACGTTTACGCCACCGCTCGCAATACCTCCAAGATCCCGCAGTCGCTGCATGAGACCAGCAGTGTGACAGTACTGGCGCTCGATGTAACGTCTTCTGAATCCATTGCGGCGGCAATTGAGGCTGTGAGAGCGAAGACGGGCGAGAGGATGGATGTTCTGATAAATGTAGTTTGCCCTTCCATCCGTTGGTATGGCAGTGCGAATGGTATGGCTGAATCTGAGTTTTTCAACAGAACGCCGGCGCAGGCTGGAATGCCCCAGCCCTCGATGCCGATATCCAGGAAGCGAGGAGGGTGTTCGATGCGAACTTCTTCGGCCCATTGGAAGTGGTGAAAGCATTTGGACCGATGCTGGTGAACGCCCACGGGTGTTGCGTCAACAACTGCTCAGTGGGTGGCGTCGCAGGCTTTCCGTTTGGCTCCATCTACTCCGCCAGCAAAGCCGCCCTCATCAACGCTGGCGAAGTCTGGCGTCACGAGCTGGCTCCGCTCAACGTCCGCGTGCTGACGCTCGTGACTGGCGGCATAGCGACCAAGTTCCTAGAAAACCTCCAGCCCGTCGACCTTCCTGAAGGCTCGTACTATGCCGGGATCAAGGACATCATTGAGAAACAGGAGGAGAACATCTCCTTCGCCCAAGAGCCGGAGATTTTTGCGCAAGATCTGTTGCGAAGGGTCGAGGCTGGGCAGAGAGGCAAGAAATGGGTGGCTGGAGGGGCGTCGCTGATGAAATGGGTGCATTGGTGGGTGCTTCTTCCTCTTCTTCCTCTTCTGCTCTCGCCCCTCGTGATCCACTGTGGCATGAGAACTTTACTGACGTATTCTCTCTGCGTACGCACAGGCTGGCGCCTCAGTGCGTGATTGATCGCATCTTCACGGAGTTCAAGTCGTTTCAAAAAAAGCTGTCAGCGCAGCATCAGCAACGAATGGCGGAGGAGAGCAAGAAGGTAGCCTAAAGAGCGGCAAGGAGGCTGGCTGGTGGCGTCTCGCGAGAGGAGAGCAATGGAAGAGGCATTGTTGTCGTCGGATCGTATACGTCGTACCGTGTACGTCGTACCGAAGTAGTGAGTAATCACAACGCTACGGATGGCTAGCTCCGATGTCGTTGCAAGCCCGCCAATTGGTACAATTCGCCGACGCATGGCTGTCGGTTCCAGCAAGCATGTACTTCAGACTCAGACGAAAATTGCGCAATTTCCTTTCGGCGACCAGCTGCTCCAATCCAGAGGCGGAAGACTTTTGGATCACTGTACAAAGATTGGTCCCGTGGTCGGCGGGAACGGCTATGTCCGATTCCTCGGGGCAATGCCTGCGGTGTTCTCCCTCGTCGAGATGGTGGCGGACGATGCTAGAATGGAAAACGGGCTTTGACATCGAGAGCATTGCTCGTACTCTGGACACTGGCTTCGAGATCTCTGCTCGTGCTCTGGACAAGTTCCACACCACAGGTGAGAGCGAGAGTGCTTAGCCATACAAGACCTCGCATGCCATCAATCGAGCACCTCAGCCAGCGTATCTAGCCAGCGAGCAACAGTCGAATTGCGAAAGCCAGATCCGTGACCGCGTCCGGGTGAGACGCCATCTCGTCCGCCATGTGACGACGAAGGCAGCCGTTGTGATCGTGGGAGAAGTATTGAAACACTCGCCGGGCCATGGCCACCGGAAGTCGTTTGATTCCAAAAAGTCCCAGTCCAGACTGAGATAGAGACAGGCATGTTCACTAGGCAACAGGCGGTGCAGCCATTTCAGGCCAGATCGATTTGTGTCATCGGCGGGTGGGTCGAGTAGTTTCGTAGACGCCCTGCTCCCGAATGCGTATCGTACATTGTGTCTCCGGCATTGCGGTGCATCTGTGCTGCGACTGTGAAATCATCGGGCATGGAGCTTGCAAGCTTTGTTGAAGGTAGAGGAAGCTGTCAAAGGCAGCTCAGTCAGTAATCAGAGGCAGCTCATTGGGTGGCGTAAAATGGCTGGGAAAGCAGAATATGCACAGCGAGCGCAACCGATATGCTCTGAGAGTCTCAAAGGCTGAGTATGGTCTAATGTCAGCCATTCACCAATTCCCACTCACCCACCACGACCTCAACTCGTCGCCCCTTGCTCCGCCACCTTCGCCTCTTCCCGCTCCCTCACCTCCCTCAAAAACACCAGCTCCCTCGGTCGTCCCCAGAAGTCACTCGGACAAAACCTCCAAGCTCCCGGCCGTTCACAGCGCTTTGCGCCCCAGTACTGCACGGCATATATTAACACCGCCGGCGCGGGCGGAAATTTGTTGCCGCCTTCAAAGGAGCGGTCGCTGCTGCCGAGGCCGCAGGGGAAGACGTCGTACTGCATGGGAACGCTTCTTGTTAGTTAAGGTGGGAGGGCGGGGTTTGTGGGACGCAGAGAATGGCAACGGGGAGACGTACGAGGTTGCTGAAGCGCGCATCGTTCAACGCCGCCTTCTCCGTCGCTTGCCAGCACTGCCAAACAGCTGCGCTTTCGCAAAGTGGCTCCAACTTCAGCAGCATCTCCACCTCGTCCGTCAAATGGCTCATTAACGCCGGCGCAAAGGCGTCAATAATCCGCTTCATCTCCGCCCACCTCCACCCGTCTGCATCGGCAAGATGCTTTGTGCAATACATCTGCAGCTCCACGACCCCATCATGGAAGCCGCGGTGTTGCTCTACCGGCGGATCGAGGAAGCCGGAGGGAACACCGGGCACGGCTGCGAGGAGCGGGAAGGTGACGGTTTCTTCGACGTGGTGGTGGTGGTCGACGGTTTTGAGGAAGGCGGAGGTGTAGTAGAGGATATCTTTGACGTCGTCGGGATTGTAGGTAGCCGGTGTGGTAGAGTCCGAGATGTGCGGTGCTTGGAGGAGGATACTGTTCGTGGAGCGGATGAAGAGGTTGTGGGCCATTGTCATCTCGTAGGCGCATATGGTTGCGCTGTGGGCGTTCTGGGGTGGCGTTGCCAGGAGCGCATACGGCTGGTCTGCCCACGGCAGCGGGGTGGGACTCGCCATTGTGGATTGTCCAGAGTTTGAGGTTCGACGTGAGGCTCAGTGAACTTGCGGGCAGCTGAACTTCTTATCAACCTCTCGTATATTTCGCCGGATTCCACGCGAGCTGGAAGAGCCGCAAGGGCAGGGACGCACGATGTAAGCGAGAGCTGAATCGAGGAGAATCGGAGCCGAAACTCCCACCTCGACCGCTCTTTCTGACTTTCACTGCAGCCAAACCCAGCAAAACGAAGGGTCTGTTTGAGGTCTTTTAATCTGGGAGTACAACAAATGAAAGCCGATGAATAAGAGATTGGAGTCTTGCACAGTAAGCGGCAACATAAATAGAAGATCACTTACCACAACTCGCCCTGCAGGCGCCTAATGTGGCCTCTAGCTTACCAGTGGTGTTGAAGAAACTGGAATTGCGAGGCCGGGATGTCGTAGGGCATCCGATCACATACCGCATTTTCTTCGGGCTTGGGCCGAATAAGAAATTCCCATCCTAGGATTGGGCACCAGTCTGCGATTATTACAACGTGAGTCTTATTAGCGCTGTCCTGTTCGTTCAAGCCGTTCGTCTCTGGACAGCGAGTGCTCCGAACCGAGAGGATAGTAAGTACCGCCAGCGGACGCGGCCTCTCGGGCTACTGCACCCTACCCTGCCAGCGGCTGGGGTCGTCGATGTCGATAGCGCATCCCAGAGGTCCTCGTTGATGGATGTGAACCAAACAGAGCATTGTAGCCGTGGCGACCGCCCCGGAGTAGGCCTCCTGTGATGGCTTGGGTCGTGATGATGTTGATGGAGGAAGAAAGGAAGTCCACATCGTCGCGGAAGATATCTGGGAGCGGCGGCCAGAAGTCTTGTCCGGGCAAGCCATTCCGACACTCACTCTCCTCGACACCATTCGCGCCTGCCAAAAGAATATCTCGTCGAACACAGCAAGAGCAACTTTATATCAACGACACCTCACCACTTCCGCCATGGCGAAGCGCCCCTCCATACGCGCGCGCGCCACCGCTCGCTCCACCACCGCCTCCGCCCAACCTACCCATTCAGCGAAGGCAGCACATCCTTCCGCCCAAACCCGGCCAGCACACCCTGCGAACCTGCCCACAAACAAGAAGACCAGGCGCATACAGAAACACAATGATCTCATGACTCGGGTGCGCGATGCTGGAGTGTCAAAGCAGGCCTCCATGAAGAAGCGGAGACGACCTGCCAAGAAAATGCCCGCGGCCGAAGGGCTCGGAGATCTAAGCGCGGCGTTGCCAGAGCTTTCGGACGACGATGGCAGTGGCGCGGACGGAGGAGGGAGTGAAGGGAGCTGGGAGGGGTTCGACGACGACGAGCAGATGGACGACAATCGTAGTACGGCCAAGAGGAGACGGAGGAGGGTAGCAGCGGGGCAGGATGGCAAGATCCAGATGCGCAGTTTGAAGAGCAGACCCGGGGCGATGAAGAAGAAGCGGGCGATGGAGGGGCGAGAGGTCGACAGGTTCTCGCGGAATCTGGCGTTGCTCACTTCGAACGGGGACGCGGGGCAGGGTGGTGAGGCGTGTGGGAAGGGTGGAGGCGTTCAGGCGCGTGAAGGAACAGCAGGGCAGAGTGGCAAGTGGGCGGCGCTGAGGCGGTTCATCGAGGGGACGATGGTCAAGGACACTGCTTTCAGGGGAGGATGAGAGGCGGGGGATCTGCTGGGTTGAAGAGAAAAGCTCAGGGATCAGCTTTTGGGGGCGCGGAGTATGGTCCGGCAAGTAGGTGACATGTCGACGACCTCCGGCTGGGGAAGATGATGCCGCAAACGAGCGGCTCGGTTGTGGATGCATTGCTCCGTCTGCTACAGGCATCGAAGGTCTGTTGAAGCAGTAGTTTGCCGCGACCACTGCACTCATCGATTGAGACGAAAGTGCTGGTGCAATCGAGAATCATGAGATGCACGTTAGGCAGGGCACGGCAGGGTGGCGCTCCCGTGCGGCTCGGATGGCCTGGAGTATGAGCCGCTCGGTCGTGAGATGGATTGATCCGCCTGCTATCGGCATCTTGCCACTGATGATATCCAGCTCAATCTCTTCTCATGCGGATACTCCCATGACCATCGACAGCCGGAGCGGCGCGCTCGTGCTTCTCACCATGGACTGAATACGCACCAGAGGATGCCTGCTGTCGTCTTGACGCAGTCCTGTACGATATTCAATACAGGCCAGCTAAGTGGCAAGCACTGTATGCAACTTGCACATACATCCTCAGTCCACGATGAACGTTTTATCCAGCCACTGCAACCCCCTTGGCAGCCACTGCAACGCCCTTGGAATTCAAATGATCACTCATCTTCGCTGCGGAACTCCCTGTTGCGTCTATTGCTTTCTTCCGACGTCGCCACATGGCAGCATAAATATGTATCTTCTAATCAACAGCAAGTAACTTCATCCACAATACCGCCCAGAAACGAGTCGACGTGATATATGCAGCCAGCGGACGTAACCATCTTGGCTTCCCGAGAGACGGGTACGATGTCAGATCCAACCTCGACGGAACAGCATGCAGCCAGCTTCCGAGAGGATTTAGCTTTCTCAATAACTTCCTACCTCCAAACTCTCCAAACTCTCAGCACGATGAAGTCATTTGTGGTGTTCGAGAACTCCTTCATAATTTACAGTTGTGCAATGCGAACGGATTGTGAATCTGGTCGTAGAGGTCTTCATTTTTCGGCCCGCGCATTCGCACAACTCGGGATCATCTTCCGTGGTTAGTAAGGCGGAGGACTCAGCAAGCCCTATTTCCGCCACTGCATCTTATCCCGTCTCCGTCTCGACCTCGTCGGCCGCGTCGTCGTCGTCCATGGCCAAGTCCGCGGATCCCAGAGGAGCTGTACGAGGTAGGTGCGTGGTCTTCCCAACTTTCGACACGGCGACACGGCACAAGGTACGTCCCCGGAACGGCTGGTGGTCGAGCTCCGAAGGTTCAGGCGAGGTGTCACGTCACTTTTCGATGGCGCTGAACGTTGTTGACTGCGCGCTCCTCCGGTTCGTTGATATACTCTCGTTGGCCATGGCGCTCTCAAATGTTTGTTCTGGTCGATCGAGATCAACACACCCACGGGAGCTTGGTTGGCGACAATTCTCTTACTCATCCAGCTATCTAGTCGTGATTCGACGTACCTCCGTAAGGAAGCCCTCCTTCCTCTCTCGCTCTCGCGTTGTATTGCTAATTGTTGCTGTTGCTTATGGTAGCTCCTAGAATCTGACCCATTGGCTCGATACATGAGAATGCGATTGAATAAATAACCACATCTTTCGACTTCCACCTGCTATTTTCTTGCCACTGCTGCAACACACAGAGGCGAACCCGCAGCAATGGCCACCCAAAACGGCGTGCAGCACATACCCAGCACGTCCACCAACGCCACCACCTTGGCCGGACAACCCGCATCAGCACCACAAGGCATCTTCAACGAACCGCAAGAAAGCCACGATGACAGCGATAGCTACCTCGACAAAGGCGGGAACGAGAAGGCGGAGAGTCTGGAGGATCTGAACCGCACCGAGACTCGCAGTTATGATCTCTTTGAGGATGGAGAGGAGGCGGCGTTTGTTGAGCAGCTACGGTCGAAGCCGAGTATTTTACAGAGGAGCAGCACGTTCGCCTCTAGCGATATTCAGCGCAAACGCACAAACGCCAGCAGTGCCCTCGAACGGCAGGACACGATTGCTGGAAAAGAGCTCGACGACGAGATCTTCGATCCCAACTCCCCGAAATTCGACCTCCACGCCTACATCCGCATGACGCTGAAGATCCTGGACGACGAGGACATCAAGACCAAGCGAGCTGGGGCGGTGATGAAGAATGTGAGCGTCAGCGGAAGCGGATCTGCTCTCAATCTCCAGCCTACGGTCGGCTCCATGCTCCTGCAACCCTTCCGTCTCAAGGAGATCATTCCAGGCCGGACGCCTCACAAGAGGATCCTGAGAAACTTTCAGGCCCTCATCCGCGGTGGTGAAATGCTTATAGTGCTCGGTGAGTCTTACGTGAACAGAACCCTTATATACGGCCCTCCTGCTGGCCCTGCTACTTCATTGTCTGAGGCATTTTCTGACGAGTTGTCCTTACGTGCGCACAGGCCGCCCAGGCTCTGGCTGCTCGACTTTCCTCAAGACGCTTACAGGAGAGCTGCATGGCCTGGATCTCGACAAAGAGTCAAAGATACACTACAACGGTATTGAGCGGGAGCAGATGGTCAAGGAATTCCGAGGCGTAAGCACTGATGAGTCAATGGATCTCCGACACCGTCATATTGCTTGCGGCGTTTCGAGACCTTTTGTCTTCTTCCTTGACTTTCGAAACATTGCTGACCCCTCGCCTTTCGGTGCTTTAGGAATTGGTCTATGCTGGCGAGGTAGATCAACATTTCCCTCACCTTACAGTAGGCGAGACCCTCGAACATGCGGTATGTACCATGAACGAGCAAAAACTCTTCCGCTTTTGACTCTTTGCCCCTTCCACTCTTAGGCCGCTTGCCGTCTGCCCCAAAATCGCGCGATGGGCATCTCCCGCGCTGAGCTTGTGAGACATCTCACACAAGTGGTGATGGCGGTGTACGGCCTCAGCCACACCTATAACACCAAAGTTGGTGAGAATGATCAAGTCCCAGAGGAGGAGGAGATGCTGACATGTGCGGCAGGCGACGATTTTGTCAGAGGCGTGTCCGGCGGTGAGAGAAAGCGAGTCACCATTGCAGAGATGGCTCTCGCCGGCTCTCCTCTTGCGGCCTGGGATAACAGGTCTGAGACCCTTTGAACCCTTCCTCGCCATCGAGACATTTGCTGACCATACCCTTCGGTGCTCTAGCACAAGAGGCCTGGACTCCGCCACGGCGCTCAAATTCACCAGGTCTCTGCGCCAATCTGCTTCGCTCGTGGGCTCCAGCCATGCTGTGGCGATCTACCAGGCTTCTCAAGCCATCTACGATCTCTTCGATCAGGCTGTCGTGCTGTATGAGGGACGGGAGATCTACTTCGGGCCGTGCTCGGAGGCCAAGAAATACTTCGAGGATATGGGCTGGTGAGACCATGAGCATACCATGCCAATTTGTCCAACGCAACGGCTGATCATTCGGCTTTCTTCACAGGTTCTGTCCACCAAGACAGACGACTGGTGACTTCCTTACTTCTGTGAGGCAACCACCCTTCTCCTCATCCTCTCAAAAGCGAGTCCTGACTGGCTTCGTCTACAGATCACGAATCCATCCGAGAGGCAGGCGAAGGAGGGCTGTGAGGACAAGGTGCCCAGAACGCCGGACGAGTTCGAAGCCTTTTGGCGCAAGTCCCAAGCCTACGAGGACCTGCAACGCCGCATCAAAGAGTACGAGCAAGAATTCCCACCCGGCAACTCCGACGAACTCAACGCCCTCCGCGAGCGCAAGCACGACCAGCAGGCCCAACACGTCCGGAAGGGCTCTCCATACGTCATCTCCGTTCCCATGCAGATCCGCTTAAATACCAGGCGCGCGTGGCACCGCATTTGGAATGATAAGGTATCTGACCGTTCCCACCAACCTCCCTCTGCTGGTCGCCGCTATGTCTCAGGCTTAAGGGGTGCGCGAGCTTCCTGGCCGAGTTTGCCTCGAAGGCATGTTCAGCTGTTAAGCATTCGCCTTTCACTTGGTCTTGGACATAGCGGCCGCCGTAAGACTCGTTCGAGACATACTCTGGGTGATGCTGACTCCGCGTATAACAGGCGTCTACGTTTACCCCCCTCATTGGAAATTGTATTATGGCTCTGATAATCGGGAGCGTCTTTTACGGTAAAACGATTTCTTCCAAATTCTCCCTCGTTTGAAAACCGCTAACCCTCCATCCTTCTGTTTGCAGGTACCCCCAACGCGAGCGCTGGGTTTCAAAGTTTTGGTATCAGACTACTGAGCAAGACCCTGCCACACACAGCGCGTTCGCTGACCTTTTTCAGGCGCCGTACTGTTCTTCGCCGTGCTTATTAATGCACTCACCGCCATCAGCGAGATCAGCTCCCTCTATGCGCAGCGTGTAAGTACACTTGACCCTCCAACCTCGTGTGGGGATGAACAAGAGCTGATGTCCTGTAGCCGATCGTCGAAAAACAGAAGAGCTATGTGAGTATCGAGGCGGACTTCGAGAGCTTGCCGGTCCAGACATCCTCCGACGGTCGTTTCATCTACTGAAGCCATCGGATGGAACAGCAGCGGACGCTGCACGATCCTTCCATGGTGTTCGCAAAATTCACAACTAACGTCTTTCACTTCGACCTTGTAGGCCTTTACACATCCTGTAAGTGAAACCCGGAGGGCTAAAGGTCCTCTCCTTCTGCGCAATCAATCAGAAGCAAGGACTGACTTTCTCTGCCCATAGGCCACCGAGGCAATCTCAGGCATTGTTATGGATGTCCCCCTCAAATTCGCTCAGGCAGTTGTGTTCAACGTCATCCTCTACTTCATGGTAAGTGACGGGCCCTGAATAGCAGGCGAGAGGGAACATTACCGCTGACCACGACCACAGACGAACCTCCGCCGCGAACCTTCACAGTTCTTTATCTTCTTCATGATCGTCTACCTCATGACCTTCACGATGAGTGCGTTGTTCAGAACGATGGTGAGTGTCCAGTGACAGAACGTCTACTACCCCGAGACATGCTGACCCTCCACTCTCTCTTTCGTGCAGGCTGCCGTGACGAAGACGGTATCACAAGCCATGACTTTGGCCGGCATACTCGTCCTCATATTGGTCATTTACACAGGCGAGTCTTGACGTCCCTCCACCAGAGGCAAGAGTGCATCAGAAGTGTCCATGCTGACATATAAGCGCAGGCTTCGTTGTGCCAGTGCCGTACATGGTGGTTTGGGTACGACTTGCCCCCTCTCCGGATGGATAAGCTGCGCAGCATCGCTAACCTGGTGAATGGACAGTTCGGCTGGCTGCGATACATCAACCCCATCTTTTACGCCTTCGAAATCCTGGTACCAAATCCATGGGCGAACCCCTACCATGTCTGAGACACTGGCTAACACTTTTGCCCTTCCGTCTGCAGATAGCCAATAACTTCCATGGACGCGAGGTGAGTCTCCCATCCCCTTTCTCCCCTCCTCCTTTTCTTCTCCTCCCTTTGCTAACCTGAACAGTTTGCATGCAGCCGATTCATCCCGTCGTACGCCGACCTCTCGGGCAACGCCTTCGTTTGCTCTGGCAAAGGAACCGTCGCTGGCAGGAGGACCGTCAGCGGAGAGAACTACATCGAAGTAGCGTATACTTATACCTACAGCCATGTATGGCGCAACTTCGGCATCCTCATCGGCTTCTTCATCGGCTTCATGATCATCTACTTCGTCGCCGTCGAGCTTAACTCCTCTACCTCTTCAAGCGCCGAAGTCCTGGTCTTCCGGCGCGGGCATGTTCCAGGATACATGCAGAAAGAGAACGACGAAGAGGCACCTCCGGCTGAGAAGGGCGCTACGCAGGACTCCTCCAGCTCCGGGGATGACGGAGATGGCAAGGCCGATGTCAATGTCATTCCGCCGCAGCACGATATCTTCACGTGGAAAGATGTATCATACGACATCGAGATCAAAGGGGAGCCTCGCCGTCTGCTGGACAACGTAAGCGGTTGGGTTCGTCCTGGCACCCTCACAGCGTTGATGGGAACTTCCGGCGCTGGTAAGACGACTTTGCTTGATGTTCTCGCACAACGCACCAGCATAGGCGTAATCACCGGTGACATGTTTGTCAACGGCCAGCCTCTGGACCCTTCCTTCCAGAGGAAGACTGGCTATGTGTATGTTCTTCTTCAGTACTTCGCAGTCGGGTGGGATGAGTCGCTTATTCCTTCACAGCCAACAGCAGGACCTCCACCTCGAAACCGCCACAGTCCGCGAGTCTTTGCGCTTCTCGGCCATGCTCCGCCAGCCGAAGAGCGTCTCCAAGCAGGAGAAATACGATTATGTGGAGGATGTAATCAAGATGCTTGGCATGGTTCGTCTCAACCCTCGACCGTCCTAACTAAGAGCAGATAAGGCTTCTGTGATTCATTTCCTAGACCATCTGCTGACAAGTGATCCTCGCGTGTGACAGGAAGACTTCGCGGAAGCCGTTGTTGGCGTAGGTCACCCAGAGGAAGGCCTCTTGTCTCTCCGTCCCTCCCTTCAGCAAGAGATCTTCTGACATTTCTTTGCCTTCAATCTAGGTGCCCGGTGAGGGCTTGAACGTCGAGCAACGCAAGCTCCTGACTATCGGCGTCGAACTCGCCGCCAAACCGAAGCTCCTGCTCTTCTTGGACGAACCTACTTCCGGTCTCGACAGCCAGTCTTCCTGGTCCATCGTCTCGTTCTTGCGCAAGCTGGCTGACCAAGGTGAGTCGATTCTAGGTGGAATCTGTTGTGGCTGTGCCTTGGAGGCAGCACGGAGAGTTTACGAGCCGCAGCGACCTATCAATGCTGTTCGGCCTGCAAACATCCGTCTCCCTCTCTATCCAGGTCACAACGGCAGATTCTGCCCCTCTTTCTCCTTCACAACAAGACATGGAGCTGACCAACTCTTAAGGCCAAGCTGTGCTCTGTACCATACATCAACCCTCGGCGATACTCTTCGAAGAGTTTGACAGGCTTCTTTTCCTCCGCAAGGGTGGCCAGACGGTGTACTATGGAGACATCGGCGAGAACTCTCGAACCCTTTTGGACTACTTTGAGAACCAGGGAGCTCCTCATTGTGAGGACGATCAGAACCCAGCCGAATGGATGCTCGAGGTTGTGACCGGAGAGAAGGACTGGGCCAATGTGTGGAAGAACAGTGAGGAGTGCAAGTCAGTATACCAGGAGATCGACAAAATCCACCAGGAGAGAGCCGACGCCGCCGCCCAGTCGGAAGAGGAAGAAGACGAGAGCATGCACGCAGAGTTCGCCATGCCCTTCACGCAACAGCTCATCGAGGTCACGTACCGCGCCTTCCAACAGTACTGGAGAATTCCTAGTTACATCCTTTCGAAGATGGTACTAAGCGCAGCAAGCGGGCTGTTCATCGGTTTCAGCTTCTACAATGCCAACACCAGCCAGCAGGGGATGCAGAACGTGCTTTACGTGAGTCTTCATCCGGCACTTCAGCCACGAGAGAGCTTTTGCTAACGAGAACGCAGTCTATGTTCATGGTAACCGAAAGCTACGGCCAAGATCCTACCTCGTTTGGGACACTGACTGATCCTTCTAGATCACCACCATCTTCTCAACCATCGTGCAGCAGATCATGCCGCAATTTGTCACCAACCGCTCGCTCTACGAAGTCCGCGAACGCCCGTCCAAAGCCTACAGCTGGAAGGCGTTCCTCTGCGCCAACATCGTCGTCGAGCTGCCTTATCAGGTCCTGATGGGCGTACTAACGTTCGCCACCTTCATGTACGTCAAACCAATCGTTGGAAGGGTTCTCCAGATCTCTTTGGAGATGAACGGGCTGCTGAACCTCCCCTCCCTTCTCGCTTCCGCAGAATGGGCTAACGATCTCAGGTATCCCGTGGTCGGCATCCAAAGTTCAGAGAGGCAGGTGCTGGTCCTACTCCTCTCCATCGTCCTGTTCATCTACGCCTCGACCTTCGCCCATCTCTGCATTGTGGCCTTGCCGGACGCGCAGACAGCTGGAGCTATTGTCACGATTCTGTTCTCGATGACTCTGATCTTCAACGGAGTGATGCAGGCTCCAGATGGTGACCACTCCACTCTTCAACCCTCCTTCTGCTATAGCTGACGACTTTGACTTTCTATTTTAGCTCTACCAGGCTTCTGGATCTTTATGTGAGCTGCTCATCTTCCCTTACGTACAGGAAACAATGCTGACTTCTTGCTTTTCAACCCACAGGTACAGAGTTAGCCCTCTGACGTATTGTGAGACACCTTCCCATCTCTCCCCTTCTCTCCCCCGGGGCTCCCTCTAACATCTTCAAAGGGATCGGCGGCATGTCGAGCGCAATGCTGGGCGGGCGAGCCGTCGAATGCGCCAACGACGAAATCTCCGCCTTCCCACCACCTCCTGGCCAAACCTGCGGAGAGTACCTCGCCCCATACCTGCGACAAGCCGGCGGCAACCTCCAAAACCCCGGATCCACGACCGAATGTCGCTACTGCGCATTGACGAACGCCGACCAGTTCCTCGCCTCCGTGAACATAAGCTACAGCGAGAGATGGAGGGACTTCGGGCTGATGTGGGTGTATGTGTTCTTTAACATTGGAGTGGCGATCGTGCTGTATTGGGCTTTTAGAGTGAGGAAGAGCAGTGGGAGTGGTGGGATTGGGGGTAGGGTGAAGGAGGCTTTGGGGAAGGTGAGGAATGCGTTCAAGGCGAGTGGGAAGACTAACAAGAAGAATGCTGCCGTGGTCTGAGGTGGGACGAAGGTGGGCGTTTGGTTGGAGGTCGAATGAAATGGTTACGTTCGGAAGGGAGTAGGATGGTTACTGCGAGGTAGAAGATTAATTTGCTGGCTTAGAACAGCGTTCTGGTTTGACCCGTAATTTTGGACATCAGGATCACTGTCCTGCTATAGGCATAAAGCACAGCTCGTCCGCTTGTCCCGCAGTGTGCTGATTCCATGAGACGGGGCCGAAAGATCGGTCGACAAGATGAGTCCGATGAACGAACGGTGACCGGAATAGGAAGTCAATAATCGTTGCCTTGCGAGCGGCTATAAAATCACGGTGATATCCTGCTCCCAGTCCACCGCGGAGTCTTGCCCAGCCAACAATACAACAATGGAATCTCACATCCTCACCCCAGCCCAACCCCTCCCCTCCGCTGTGATCAACACCCTTACAACCTCCAGCTTCTTCGACGAAATCTCCAACATCCCCGGCGCCGTGCGCCACCACATTTTCCACCACTCCAATTATGACATCTTGCCCGACAACGGAGGACATTTGGTGAGAAATCCGATGATGTTCGTCGTCTACCAGACGAGGAGGCATGGGCCGCAGAGTGGGTGGCGGTTGGTTTGTGTGAGGGAGGGGTTTGTGGTTAGGTCTGCGAAGAGGGAGGTTGGGGAGGAGAGGGATGGGAGGGAGGGTGAAGATGAGATCGATAGGCTGGAGAGGATGGTGCCGTGGGGGTGGATGGAGGTTGTACTCTTGGGACCGCAAGAAGTGCAGAACGGTGGTGGAGAGGCCTGATGCTAATGGCGGCCCTTCTCGAAGATAGCATATCATTGCAAAGGAGCTGTCAATACTACATGCCGCCCCTCTCGCCGCAGGAGAAGGACCACTCCGGTCTCCGTTACATGCAGTTCCTTTCACATGCAACTTTCACCCCCAAACTCATCAATCACATGCAATCACCTGCCCTGATCCCGTGGGCGCAGCGGCAACGACCACGTGCTCTCCTCCTTCTTCTTCCAAGCATCCCGAGCTGCCAACCGCTTTTCCTGCCGCCGCTGCCGGTCACGTTGCCGCTTCAGCCTATTTGCTGTCTGGGAGGCGTGGTGGCGTTTGGCTGTCTGTAGCTGGAATGTCAGCTTGCGTTCCTCTCCGCTGCAGCAACCTCGCAGAAAGGTTGGAGGGGACGATCTCACCATATGCTCCTGCACCTCGATTGGAGAAGCAAACATCTCATCGCACGTCTCGCACTCGTAGCGCGGCGGCAGTCCATGCCCAGTGGCCTCCGCGTGCTCGTTTAGGCTCATATCGTCCAGGAAGCGCGACCAGCAGGTCTCGCATCGGTGGTAGTGGCCTGTCGCGTCAGTGTGCTCGTTCAGGCTCGTGCGGTCGGAGAACTCATCGTTGCAGAGGGGGCAGGCGAAAGACATGGTGGTGGACGTTCCCGAGGATCGGAATTATTTTGAGACATTGACGGCGGTGGTATGGGTTTGAGGGATGTCTCTGCGTGTCCAAGAGTTGTGCGTGCGGTGGTGGAGTTTCTCGAGGATCGGAGGTAGTTTGAAAGGCCAAGGGCGGTGATATAAGTTTGTGAGATGGGTTTGCGTGTCGGAGAGGGAGGTATGTGGCGAGAGAAAGCACTGGAGGCACAGGTAGTTTGATGTGACGTCGCGCCTCTTCTCCGGCATCAAAACAAACCAGAAACTTGCAGGAGACCGATCATGTGGCTTGGAGATGTCGGTGTACAGGAGATGCTCGGATACTTGGAGCCTGGTTGACCTGTCTTTTGTAGTAGAACAACTGCCAGAACGCTGATAGATATGAGAACATTCCGCACCTACACATCAACCGGAAAAACACCCCCTTCCCTTCCAACCCCATCCTGCCTCTTCAACCATAGCCCAACATTCTACTCGAGTCCATGATCCTTCCAAACTTCTTCTGCACCGCCTCATACCGCATCAAGCCGCAACTCTCGCTCTCCAAATGATTGGCCAAACCCGCCAGCGCCGCGAACTTCTTCCCACACGACGTCTTCGGGCAGTGATACACCTTCTGCTGATGCTTGGGCGAGTTGAGGTGCTGACTCAAGCCATTGGCGGTGGCGAAGCCTTGGGAACAGAGATGACAGGGCCGGGCTCGGCGGTAGTAGTCGTAGACGGCGTCGTTGACTTCCCAGCGTGCGTTGCTTTTGCCGAACTGGACGTTCATGTTGGTGAAGAAGCCGGTCGGGTCCGCCTGGCATACCACGCGGAAGAGCTTTTCGCGGTTGAGGGAGGGAGCATTGCGGCAGGAGCCAGTTTCCAGGTGGTGGGCGAGGCCGCTGGCGCACATGAAGCCGTTCTTGCAGAAGGGGCAGGTGATGTTGTTGCTGCCGCGGTGGAGCTTGGAGTTGCGGTGCTGCTTGAGGTTGTTTTCATTTTGGAAGAAGGTCTTGCAGTCGATGCAATAGCGGCTGGAGTAATGATCGTTCCTCGCCTTTGAGTGGCAGATGTCAGTGATCTGTTTGCCTGAATGGGCCCGAACGTGATGCGCCATGCTGCGACCATCTTCTTCCCAACAACATCATGAGAGCTCGGGGGAGGATAGACTCACCATATGGCTCGCCGCCTTCTCAGCAGAATGGAACTTCTTGCTACAAGTGTGGCACTCGTGCTTCGGAGCCCAGCGGCCAGTTGCGTTCCTGTGCTGATAGCATGAATTCCAGGTCGCAAAGAGCTTCGGACACGTTTCGCACTCCGGCCAGTGGTCTTCGTCGTCCATGTGGTCGTTGAGGTCGTATTTGTCGTAGAACTCATCATCGCAGCATGGACAATGGTACACCGTGCCTGCGGAGGCCTCTTGAGCCGGGAAAGCCAAGGTAAGAAGCAGTGTTGCGCTTCGAAGAGCTTTTTCCGAGAAGCAAAGGTGGGAGTGAGAAGAATCAAGTAGTCCCGCAGGCGGAAGTCAGGAAACGACAGGATGAAAGTCCAGAAGGGGCGTTTGCTGTTTCCAAGATCTCTCCGTTGGTCGAACTCCAGCAATCACGGCCCCCTGCAGGACATCACATCAAACCCAAACGCCGCAGCACCAAGCGCTGAACGTGAAACGAGTGTTGTGCAACGACAAAATGCAAACGAAGGACGAAGTTGAGAAGTGACAAGTCGCTAAAGGGGGCACGTTCCAAGAACCTGGAGGAAGACGAGTTCCAGACGTTCGGAGACGAGGCAAGGATTCCCTGGGAATTGGCGGAAGGCGTGGGATGTGGCGTCAGACACAATGGGTATATCCGTCTTGCTGTTGTTTGCGAGAAGACAGCCGGTCGTCAGGATTGAAGACAGCGGTTGCGGGAGAATGTGGAAGGCTAGGTGTAAGATGATATCAGTATTGTCGTGGTTGTCGTTGGTGAGCGAGGGTATCTTGAAAACAGCACACACAAATCTCCGCATACACGTCCAATGTCTTCAACCATTAATCAATCACATCTCCAACCGATCTCCGGTCGGATGCAACCTACGAACTCCGCCTCCCCATCGGCTCAAAAGGAAAGCACGCCGCCACAATCGCCATCACAATGTACAGCGCGGCGCAAATGTAGATGGGCACCGGCGTGCTGGTGTCGGCGTAGGTGGCGACGATGGCGGACATGATGCCCATGACTCTGTTCAAGCCCTGCGGAAGCAAGTATCAGCGGTGTGGCGCGGAAGTGAGGAGAGCGGACAAGGGAATGAGGAGGCGGGTGAGAGGCGAATGGAAGGTAGGAGAGACATACGATGGCGATGCCGTTGCCGGTGCCGCGGTGGGCGGAGGGCAGGACTTCGGGGGTGTAGGCGTAGAGGCAGCCGTAGTAGATGTTCTGTAAAGATCCATGTCAGTGACTGGTCAAGATCGCATTGCAAGATTCGCAGCGTGCTGTGAACGAGATAGGCCAGCAAGAATCTCCGTGGGATGCGGTGGGACCAGGAAGCCGGAAGATGGATAGGAACAACACCCTAAGCAGTAAGCCTGTGAGCCTGCTCAGGCGTGTGCAGGACATCCACATGTACAAGGCGTGAGGTCAATCTCGGCGAGAATCAAAGACAGTTGCCGCGGCCAGATGATCGGTGGTGTTGCGTCGAATTGACACCGATGTGTTGGCTTGGAAACAGCCCAACCGCATCGCAGCAACTTCACCTGGTCGGCTCGCCCGCTGCACGAGCTCTCATGTTCCGGAAGGCCGGACGAGGCTATGCCAAGAAGAGCCGACGAATTGCATAGTGGCTGTATCGCAGGGTCGTCGACTACACCGGCCTTCGACGCCGTTGCGCAGCGGCGGTCAACGCCATCAAGCGGCCATACCATCTTCTATGTCAAACTGGAAGACTATGGAGTCTCTGGTTGCTGCATTGAGACCGCTCCCAGGTAGTGAAGGTGCGGGCGGCGCCAGACCTGTGGCGGGGATGTTGCAAATCTCGATCATGAGCAAGCTTCTAGAGGCTCGTTCACCGAAGCGGTACTTCGCCGCTCTGCTACGTTGTGAGCGTGACCGAGAGATGCAAAAGCTGAGCCGATAGGCGAGAATATGATTGCCCCGGTCCAGGAACAGTGCAGCCCAGAAGTCAAGAGCAGCGCATGCGAGTCGAGCTAGAGGCAGGCTGTTGGCAGAGCGAGGAGAGCTTTTCTAGCGCAATTTTACGAGTAAGGCGCGGTTGACGGAAGATCAATGCAGCTGGCTGTACTGCGAGGAGGCTTGGAGCCAAGATCCGGAAGCGAGCAGGGAGGCTGGATGCACTGCACCAAAGAACCCGGAGTATATGCCAAAGCAGTCTGGCTCCGGAAGGCCGGAGTGAGGGCAGGACTTGGAGAGCCAGAGCAGATGGGGGCCGAAGAACGAGCCCTGCGAATGCGCCGACTCGACACCATGATGCTTCGCACGTTGTGGAGTGAGCGTTGTAGCTGCCATCGCCATCGCTCCGGTACAGGGCGAAGCACAGCGTTCCTGTGTTAGTGAGACCAAGCAGGGCCTGGCAGTATTTCCTTGCTCCGCACTTGGTGCCGATGACAGTTGTAGAATGAGTAGCGGCACATCCGGGGGAGGTGGCAGTCGAGATGTCTTCAGCCAGGAGTGGTTCATAGCACAGATCCGGAAGTGGAGGCCAGCAAGGCGTTCTGGCCAGAAGGGTAGTCGCGGAGCCTACAGCAGCGTGGAATCCCGCCGTCCAGACAAGCATGGTTCTGTGGCGCACCCAAAGCCGGTGATGCCACCTCGGGGCGGCGGGTGCGGTGAACGACGCTGACCGCATCAAGCGATCTGGATTCAGCTCCGGTTCGGATCGCCCATGTAGTAGTAAGTCAACGCTTGTGGCCACAGAGAACCGAGCGCCGCCGAGATTCTCCAGCATCCACGCAGCGTGAAGGCAGGCATTGCGAGCAAAAGGCCACAAAGGTTCTACTGCCATTGGGACTGACGGCGTCTTTCACGGTTAATGATTGTATTGAGAACAGCGTCACTAGTCACTTCCGTCGCTCGTTGCGATGCCAGATATGGCTGCTTCTCGAAGTTCGCAAAGAGCTCTCCGTCAGGATAGCTGAACGATCCAGGTGTATTGGCCAGTAAGAGCTCGTGAGTAGCGAAGGCTGGCCGTCTGCGTAAGGCGTCACTGACTCGACAAGCCGCAATTGCGCTCCAGCCACGGAGGCGACGGCAGGTCCAGAGGTGCCGGTAAGCTCCTCTCGAAGCGTGTGCAGCGGGACCACGACAATCAGAATGACAAGGTGCAGTCATGCAGACCCTGTGATATCGTGTGAGAGGCTCTCAGTACTGAGAGCCTCGTCGCCGCCAAAACCGCACACCAGGATGTTGCAGTGGAAAGCCGCTGATAGACTGACCGCGGTGTTCTCGAATAGCAAGTGCGGAGGTGGCTCCCAAGTGCTCATACGGGTACTGCCAAGCCGTTGGAGGCAGTACGGCGAAGGCCCGCCTCCCAGACATGATGGCGCTGTCGATATCGTTCACTGATACGCATGGGCAATGCTTCGTGATTTGAGAGCAATGCGGCGAGGGCACGCCACCCAGACATAACAGTCGGGAAGCATACAGATTGCGCCGTTTTGAGATTGTGCTGTAACCCAGCAATTGGGAATCGCCGCCTGGCATGTGGCTGGCAGCGAAGGCCAGCCACCCGGACATGACCGAAGTCCAGGAACTGGACGCTACCAAGAGGAGCGTGGCTGTAGGCCTGCCAACCAGACATGACATCTACGCTTCTGTCGGACGCTTGTCCGAGAGCTGGGTACTGCTTCATCGTCTGAGGGAGAAGCAAGTGCGGCGAAGGCCCGCCACCCCCAGATGGCTTGCACTCCGGCATTTCTTGCCGATAATCGTACTTGGAGATGGACGTCGCCAATGACAGTGTGGCTGTAGGCCTGCCAACCAGACATGACTTCTACTCTTCTGTCGGAGATGTATCGCCGCTCGAATTCCGAGGAATGGACGCTGCCATCGACAGCGTAGCGAAGGCCCGCCACCTAGACAAGCCAACAGATGTGGTATCCAGCATGCTGCGGTTCTGATGGTGGGCATCGCTCAAAGCGAATGCGGGAAAGGCACGCCACCTAGATATGACTGGTGCAAAGCACCTGTCTCGATTTATTGGTGTTCCGGTCCAGATTTCGGGCACTGCTGCTTGGTTCTCAACAGTGCAGCGAAAGCCCCCCACCCAGACAAGGCTCGCTCAATCTCGATCGGCGTGCAGAGGTTGGACGACAATGCTAGTACAGCAGAAACGTAGCTGTGGCCCGCCACCCAGACAAGGCACGAATCAGGTACAGTTTGGCGCAGCGGCGTGTTGGAATGAACTGAATTTGTGGCGAGATGAGAACGGTCTTGCCGAAGGTCATCCAACGCCCATACTCGTCTTGTGATGTGCGACTTGAATCGATGGAGGTCCCGATGTTTGGAAAACAACGAGGCTGCGGACGAGATGGTAAAGACATGTGGTCACTACTGTGAAAGGGTCTTGTTGCTGAGGATGGTCACCCGTGGTAGCCGCACGGTTGTGTGGAACCACTGGGTAGCTTTTGATGGACCGCCGCGTACAATGAAATGAGCCATCGGGTCGAACGGCGTCATACAAGCATCCACTCGGCCACGGCACATGCTCCAAGTTCCCAGTCCTGAATCCCGAGTCCAAGATCCACGGGTCCTGGAACAAACCGTTCGGAGCTCGAAGCATAAAGAACCTGCTGATTACTTCCCAAGAAGAACAAGGAGGGAAAGGAATAAGAGCAGTACTCACCAAACAAAAGCTAATCGCACACGTAAACCCGTTGTTCTGCGCATTCGTCTTGACCGTCGTGTAAGCGAAGAAGAAAACCATGGTAATAAGCGCCTGTTCTCTTGTTATCAGCACCATCCACAATTACTCAACCCTGCCTTTCGATTCCCTCCCTTCCGTCCGTTGCTACCTCCGCCGCCCGAACACTTTCGTCTGCCCTACTCCCTGCCCGAGCCCGATGCCCTGCCCAGGCAGTAGAGCGGTGGTGTGGCTGGAAGATAGGTGGGATGGGGAGTACGTACGCCGATGATCATCGTGCCCCTCCTGCCCCAGAACCAGCGACTCTTGCACATGTAGCCTGCCAGAATTGGACCTGTAGACCCTCAATCAGCATACCATCCACACCATCTCCCCCTCCCCCTCCCCTCGCTTCCTACATGCCGAGAGGATGCGGTACTTACTCGGTATCGAGCACAAGTTCGCCGCGGCATAGTACGTCCACTGCTTACTCGGGCTCAACCCGCCGAGCTCGGCTCCCCTGGACGCAAGATACACCGGGAGGAAGACGTTATAGAGCGGATACGCCAGCCCGATCAGCGTCCAACTGAGCCAAATCAACGACGTGCTCAACGCCAACTTCTTCGTCGCGAACAGCCCACGCAAGTGCATGCCCACCTCAGCGAACGAGAACTTCTTTTTCGCATGGGCGGAGACGCTCCCTCTCCGATTCCCCGGCAAAGCCCCCCCAACAGTCCCGCACGCCTGCATCTGCTCCAGCGTCAAGCTACAAGGCCGATTATACCGCTGCGCGATATACTGCAGCGTATCGACGACCTCGGCGTCGCGGCCCTCGCCGACGAGATACTTGGGCGTTTCGCGGAGCTTGATGACGGTGATGCGGAGGATGGAAAGGATAAAGACCAGCGCGCCGGACGAGAACCAGACGAGGCGCCAGCCGTAGTTGTTGTGCCAGGTGCATTTTATGCCGGTGGTGGCGGGGTCGCCGCAGGAGAAGTTGGGGAGGTAGGCCCAGGCGAAGAGGCCTGGATTCTTTCATCAGTGGGGATGGGAGATGGAGGGGCGGAGGAGTAAGGTACCAGCCACGAACTGCCCTGCGCCCCACCAACAAGCAAGCAGCGTGAGCAGCCATTGATGGCGGGACGGCAGGTACTCCAGAAACACGGTCGTGTCGAGCACGAGATTCCCACCACTCCCGAAAGCCGCCAGACAGACGAACAAACCCAGCACGATCCAGTTCGGCGCAGCACCGGCAACGATGCAGAAGACGGAGGAGAGGAGGAGGGAAATGTTGAAGGCGTATTTGCGACCGATGATGTCGGCGGAGAGGCCCCAGAAGAGGGCGCCGACCAGCATGCCTGCGATACATCAGTACTTGGTAGGTTTGTGCGCCGTCTCCACGCTCTCTCCACACACGAATGCGGAGGTGGAGACGAGGGTTTGCAAGGCTGCCTGACCAACGTAAGCAGCGCAGGTCATCCCATACTGCCAGCTCGGCTGGAACTCGTACGCCGCTTGTGTCGCAATTATACTCTATCCATCTTATCAGCACCATCTCCTTCTCCCCATCTCTTTACCATCCACCCACCTGTATTAACAGAATCAAGGAGTCCACTGCATAGCCGAAGCTGCAAACAGAATGGCAAGCAGGTCAGTGAGTGTTGCAGGCAAGCCAGGGTTCTGTTTGATAGTCACGTGCCCATTAAGGAAAAAAAGCTTTAATTGCCATGTCGTAAACCCAATGCTGTCAATCGCGTCGTTGATCAAATGCATGCGAGCATTGAGCGCCGGGTCGACGGACTCGAGGTTCAACAGGTCGCCCTTCTGGATGCTGTCTTCGCTGAGGCGGCGGGAGGGGTAGTCGTCGGGTGGGGAGGAGGTGCCGCCGAGGGTTTTTTCATCTTTCGAGAGGTCGGCCATGGTGGGTGTACGGCGGGAGAGGAGGTGGTGGAGGTGGTCGTGCGCAAGGGGATGGGAGGACGAGCGCGAGAGCTCCGTGTACGGTCTTTACGAACGAGAGATAGAGGTAGAGAGTGAGAAACTGGGAGCTGAAGTCTCCATGGCACCACCCCCAAGCGCACAAGAGACGCGATGGGGCATCCCCAAGCCCTACACGGTCGGGATCGTCGAGATACTGCAGCGCCTATCTCTCTCACGCCCCGCTTCGCGCCCAGCCCACGTGCTTCGTCAAGCAGACGATCTGATTGGAGCACGTGGTGGTAGAGATTGTGCGGCGTTACACCCTACAGTCGCACCCTCCCGTGCCATGGCGGAGGGAAGGGGTGGGGGTGGAGCGGCAGGGAGAGGAGATGGTTGGACGGACGCGGGATGGGCGAAGAGGTATTTTTGTTCTTGTCCGACAATGGCAGGTCGGGACGAAAGCGGGCCGGAATGGTATTCTTGGCGCGGTGGTGGACTTCACTTCTTCTTCTTCCTCTTCACTGTTCTCTACTCCCAACCCAGCAGCGTGAAGGTGCTCCGAGTATAAACCGTGAACGAAGGCGTACTACCAGGCCTGTTCGCAGTGGTATGGAGCCGCAATGCTTGAGCTGGGAGTCTGCCGCCTCGAGCGAGGCAAGCAAGACTTCGTCGGACGACATGAGGCCTATGTCCGCCGGCGGCGGCAAGGTAGGGACGAGAGAACTACACGGTATGGTCATATTTACACTGCATACTGAAAGCAATGGCATGGGCTTAAGTGCTCGGAGCATTACGGGCAACATTCAACAACCAGTCGCCAACGCAAAGCCGCCGGCATCGTCGACTTCTCTCTTAGTTTTCCTCGCTTCCATCAAGCCCGGACTGGAGACAATGAGGGCAGGTCCCCTGGAATGGTGCTTCTGCCACTTACAACAATCTTCTCGTCTTCCACAACGGCACATACCTCTTTCGACATGGCGTCGGGCAAAGCAGCGCGAATTGGAAGGCAATGTTAACGTGCGGTTACCTGCGTATGTATTTTTATCAGCGTGATGTCGGCCTTGGATGAAACTGCTTGCGATACTGCCATCTCGAGAACGCTCCTTCGCATCCATCGGTACGGCTCTGACATGGGAGACTGTGGCCAGTAATGCGTTCAACGGCTTGTTCTGTCTTCTGCCGCCTTGTAGACAACGCTGCTGTCTTCCTGCCGCCTTTGAAACTCTCAAATTGTAAGTTCCAGTCTCGTCCATCATCAGACTTCCTTTGTCGAAGAAAGTGCCGCCTTCTCCATGTCTCTCCTCCCCATCCTCAACTCCTTTGAGAATCCCTCCACTCCGCTCCAGAACCCTCTGGAAACCTAGCATGTGAAGACGGGTCAATGCATTCACCACGCTAGACCCTTCTCGTCTGTTTCGGCGGCCTGAGCTTCCCACACCGGCTAGAAAGATCTTTTCGGACCTCAAAGAATTGCTCTTCGTTCAAATACTGACTGCGATTCCTTCGTTCCTGCACTTCAACCTGCACCACGACAGACATTCTATACAGCAAGCACTTTCACCCGTATAGAAGCATCTTCGCGCGCTTCTCTTTCCAGCATCGTAAGTCATTTCAACAGGACTCCTCTTCCAGAACTTTACCCAGCTACGACACCCGCAACTTCACCTCAGGATGACACTGACCAACCCAGACCCCACGCCTTCAAAAGCCACCACCGACAGTACCCGCCGCAACTTACCTCGACCCGCCCACTTGCCGGAGACTCCTGGCAGCAAGTCGACCATCTTCAACCGAATTCCACCCTTCCTCAAAACCCGACTCTCCCCTCCCTTCCGTCACCAGCGACCACCACTCGGATCAATGGCGACTGCATCTGGCGCTGGCGGTGCTCCGGGTGGAAGCGGAGGCAAGGTGGTGGTAAAGGCAACGACCCGCCAAAGGATCCGAACAACCTCTTTGGCTTCAAGAATCCTGCTCGCGGAAAGTCAAAGGAGCAAAAGATGAAGTGGAATGCGGAGACCGACTTCCCCACCCTCATCCGAGGGTTTGGGCGCGAAATCAGGGCCAAGGAGCATGCGAACATCGCTCTGCTCTACCCTGGTAAGCTTACTCCCTTTCCCACCCCTCCTCCACCAGCGTCTTCTCTCGCAACCGAATTCTTCTCACGCTAACGTACGTCCCCACAGAGCAACCAACCACCAAGTCCGTCCAGGAGAGGGTCCAGAAGCTCCGCACCCGCGCCCGCGCCGCCCATGAAGCCGACGGCCACGGCATCCAACTCCCGGCCTCCTCCTTCCGCCAAGACATGACGGCCGAAGAGCGTGTGGCGGCGGCGGCGCGCCTTCTCCGCGAGGTGTTTGAGATGGGCGCTGGGGATGTGCAGGCGCTGGCGGCGTATATGCGGGGGATGGAGAAGAGTGGGCTTGTGGGTGCTCCGGGTGAGGATGGTGAGGGCGAAGGCGGTGATGACGGCGGCGATGGCGATGAGGAGCCTTCCCCGTCCGATTCTCGACCGCCAAAACGCCAGAGGACCGGCACCAACACCGCTCAGGAGGGCCTCACGACCACGCCCGTCCAGGAGATACAGCGCCAGCCGGAAAGGCAGCGCATCGACCTCAGCACCCTCCGAGCTGAGGTGGTGGAGGCTGCACGTGATGCCGTCCGCGCCGAAGCTGCCCGCCAAGCCCAGCGTGCTGAAGACGAAGCCGTTGAGCTTCTGATTTATCAGAACCACGTGGAGGCTGCGCGCTTGGCGAGGATGGTCGCTGATGCTGGGAGTCCGGAGGAGGGTGAAGGGGTTGTCGAAGAAGAGGAGAGGGAGACGGTGGAGCAGGCCCGTGCTGGCAAGAGGAGGACGGGCGGGGACGGGGAGGGTGGGCCAGCTCCGAGGAGGGGTGGGAATAGTGGTGATGCTGAGGAAGAGGGTAAGAGTGGGGAGGGTGAGGGGGTGGCGTGAGCCTTCTCCGGAAGGGGTGGTGATGCTGGGAGGGGTGGTGTGGTGTTCTGCCGGCCTTTTTGGGTGATGGAGATGACCAGACTGCCAGCAGGGCCGTCTCCACGTCCTTGCTGTTGTTTCTGGGAGCGCGGCGTTCAGGCGCTGGAGCCTTCTCACAGGGTCAAAGGACGATGAGCTGGTTGTTGTTGTTGTTTCTTGCTTATTGCGATTGCGGAGATGGTTGCTTTGTTGCCATTGTCAGCGTTACTAGACAGGAGGGTGTTATGGAGTCTGGGAAAGAGATACCTTGCTTCCTCCAACGATGACTTTACCTACACTACTACTTCATGCTTCAGCTCTTCGCTTCACTTCGCCTTCCCAGAGGACAACCAGAAGGTCTAGTCCCGGACATTGTCTTTGACAAACTTTGTTTAAGTCTTCCTTCAAAGAGAGGAGATGTCGGACCGGAAGAAACAGAGGTGGCAGTAGGGATGGATGAACGAGAGACAGGAAGGAGGTGCAATGCTTGTTTGAGTTACTCGTCCTGTACAGCTATGAAAGTCCCATCTCCATTACTCCATCTGCAAGTTGAAGGAACGGCAAGATGAGGAAGACGGGCAGTGGAAGCCGATCGCACCGCTACACGGCTCCTTGTCTTCTACATCGGCATGATCGAAACATGACCACCCGTCATCATCCAGCACATGGTGAGAGCAGCGATAGGCTTGCAGTTGAGTTGGCTGCTTCGAGCAGTTTGTGTTCGGTCATCTCGCTGCTGAGTTGCTCGTCTAAAGTGAGGGGGGGAGAGGGTTGTGATAGGAGATCCTATGTCAGCTTGAGGCAGCAGCAGTTTTTATTGCATCTGTGGGTGTGTTCTGCTTGATGCTCTGCTTGATGCCTCCAATAGCAGGGTCGTAAAAGCTGCTCTTGAGAGTGCCTGGACAGCAGCTTAGTCGGGACAGAATAACTCTCTCGCCGTCTAGTGAGAAGGTTTGGTCTCAAGGCTTGCGCTACATTGACGGGCCGGCTGAGTGTTCGCATACTGCTGCTCACGTCAACGATCTTTTTGACGCAATAGGCCTGCGCTATGTAGCCGTCGGGTAGAAGGTCGATGGCGGAAGTGGGACTTGTTGCGTAGTGCGTGGAGAAAGCCGTCGGGCGTCTGGGTCCTCTGCCGAAATCGAGTGGTACGTTGGTAAGCTGCGAGCGATCTCAGGAGGTACCAGTGGGCCTGCTGTGTAGCTCGTAAGGATGTCGCTCGCCCTTTGGTTGTGGCAGACATTGCAAACGTGTCTTTGCCGAACTGACAGGTATTTTCTTGGCCCTCAACGCCGGACGTCCGCCTGCTACGTAGCCTGTCGGTAGTAGGGACGCAACTTGATGGACTGCCGTTGGAGGAGGCTGAAGCTACTATGTAGCAGCGTTTGCTATCGCTAGGAAGGCCTCAGATCATTTCCGAACTTGATGACCATCTGCTAAACCTGCCGTACGCATGCAGCCTCGGAAGTGTGTTGACGGTTGGCTGGCGGGATAGCTGGGCTGATGCTGTCTCTTCCACGGTCACCGGCAGCTGACACCGTCTGCGGCTATGACTGGCGCTTCTTCTAGAAGCCTGACTTTGCCAGCCGTAGCTATATCTGTCTCGTACTTTACTTGCCGGAGGAAGCCTTTTGATAACGCATACGGTAGTGGAGACGTGGTGGTTGGAACGATGCAGTCCAAATAAGCGGTAGGGAGGATGAAGAGAAGGTGGAAGGGCTACAGAGTAGTAGCACAGGGTTTTTGATCTTGAGGTCGTCTTGCGTGCCACGCCCTCACCGCCGACACCGCGGATGCAGATGTTGCGAGCTTCTCTCTTAACCATGGCGAAGAAAGAGGTTGTAGAAACATGTCACGCTGCCTTCGGGCTGCGAATGCTGTACTGTAGGAGGATAAGGCGTTTTGATAACTCGTAATATGGCTTAGGATGTCGTGACACTACTCCTCTTGCTGGCAGAATCTTTGCGTTGCCTTTGAAGCTGTTGTTATGGATTCGTCAGCTTTCCAGGTGAGAGGGCGACTAGGCCAGGGGTTGGTGGGATTTGTGCAGTCCAGGACGCACTGCCGCGCGCGCGGCAAATCGTCCTGATGTCCAGCCAGCAGTGGCACCAATGTTGCGTGATTACCGCCGCCGGCCGTGTCGTCTGGGTGTCCTCTAAACCCGTTTCCTCCTCTCCAAGTCCCATAGCTCTTCTTACCTTACCTGCGTTCCCAATCGCCCTGTCCAGCGTCCAGTGCCTGACTTGAACATGCTGATGCACCAGAATGTGTGTTTCATGCAATGATGAAGTAGCGCAACAATCTTCGTTCTTACTGTCGTTAATGGGGCCGAAGTTGCTTTACGTCGATGCTCTAGCTTGTGATGATTGCGGGAGTCTCGTACCTGAGAAAGAAGCGGCAGTATGATGTCTGTTGCATTGTAGAGACACCTGGAAGCCTGCGGCCCAGGGAAGCCGGGGAGGCGAGATGGGCTGTCCTTGTTAGCCTTCTTGTTGAAAATAGCTTCTGCCTACGTCGACTTAGTGCTGGTGTTCGCCATATTCGTCGGGTGCTGCGTCGCTGGCTCGCTCTGTTCGCCGGCTTGTTTGTGTTGCTTGGAATGGGTGGCATCGTGCGATGCGTTTTGAGTGTACCGACCCGTCGATTCGTGCGCTTGGAGGAGCGAGGTTGGAGCAGTAAGGTTGATCTTCAAGGATCCCTCGCCATTCATCCCTGGCAAATGTATGTGGTCGGGCATGTTGCAGGTGATAAATAGTGCGAGTGCGAGTGCTGCGCTGAAGCTCTGCTCAAGACATTGGAAGAGTCCGAACGCAAGCAACTTGTTGGCGGTATCTTCGAGACGGCCAGTATACCCGGCTTGCTTAGCCGTGATTTTGACTTCCACGCCGCTGTTAACCTCAATACACGATGGTGTTGCTGTACCAGTTGGCGTGTACCCTCTTCCTGAACGTCACCGACATCCGCCTTCTACGCAACGTCGCCTCTGCACGCATCAGGCCCGTGATCTCTGCCATGACCGGCGCAGACTCAAGTGGGTGATGTTGCTCAGGTGGATCGTCAGATGGACAAGTCTTTGGCAGGCCTGGACGATGTCCCTAACCTTCGCCACATACCCTTTCTTCTGCGCAATGATCATGACGCTCAGAACACTGATCTTTAGACTCTTCACATGCGCCTGCAGTGCAGGGTTCTCCTCGAACGTCCCGCAGTTGGTCGCGAACGGCTGCGCAGTCGTCATGGTGTTCGCACTTGGTCCTGATACCTGATGCAGCATGACCGTGAGCTCGTTGACGGAGCAGTACGCCTCCAGGATGTGGCCCATGCCGATCGATGGCCCAAAGCTCCGCTGGATGCTGATCCTGATGACATCAAGCTTGTGGACAGGATTGCGGCGGGAGAGCGATTTCGGGTGATGGTTGTGAGGGGCGTATGCGCTGCCGCCAGGGTGAGGGATCGGGTATGGAACGACGGCCGTGGACAAGATCAGGGATTGGATCTCGACTGGAAGGGTCGTGAAGGATGCGCGTGGTCGCGCGGCGGTGACAATAGCAGTGATGGTCGACATGTTGATTGAACAGATGCACGTGCTGCGAGAAGGTCAGCCTTGCTTAAGAAGATTAGTTGAGGCGCATACGAACTTGCAGATGATCTTTGTATAGCGGTGCAGGGAGGCGGTGTTGACCGACAACAACGGTGTGCTGATGTAGAGCGGCGTAGGTTTGACGGCGACAGTGTTTGGTGTGCGGGCGTTCGTTGTGGAAGACTGGGATATTTGGTGCATAGAGATGAATAGGAGCTTGGTGAATTTTGGGGATGCTTCGGGGCCGGAGGTCGGCCTCGGGGCCTCAGGCAGACTCAAGGAAAACAAAGACCTCACACGTACATTTCCGTACCAATGGAAATTCGAAGATCGATCGGAGGCGGGCGTAGATCTCATGTCAGTATGACAGAGAGCTCAAGGATGATGTGGAATTCGAAGGAAGCTCGGTGCGGTGGATTTTCGTGTCTTCGGATGCAGGCCGTGCGCTCGTAAGCTCGATGGAAGAGTTGTTAGAGTCCGCCTTCCACTCCATCATCTCCAGCCTTATCTTGTCCTTCTCGGGCTACTATAGGAATGACTCCGCACTACAGGATGAGTTCGCCAGCCCTTCCCATTCAACAAGAACCCGGTGGCCGAGAGCACTCCCAATGGTGCGGCGTGTCTGTCCGGCGAGACCAGAGGCATCACCCGGCTGCTTGGGCCGGCTACCGACCGCTTCGCCGCTCATTTCGAGGATATCACATCCAACGGAAGCGGTGGTCTTGTCCTTTGGAGTCCAGTAGGCGGAGCGTGCAACCTGGAGGCGATGAGATGCAGCTCGTCCTCTTCAACTACCGTCCTGCCCTTCGTCCATCCTGAACAGCCGTCTGACAGTACCAACAACGAGAAGCATCGTCAGAGATCCCAAGAATGCTCCAGCAGCGAGAAAGCAGGCTCGTCCAACGATCTCCAGCTCCAACTGCTTCGACATCATTATCATGGCTCCCAGTCCGACCAAAGCGAGCGCATGGCCACGCAGCGCGTCGTGCAGAAGCGACCGTGAGGTCGACATATTGGCTCCAGTGTCCTGCACAGGCGGTGGTAGTGTGAGCGATTTGACGTGGTCGGGACTGTAAGGCATCGCAGCGGTTGGTGCAGCCTATACGAGAAGAATTGAAGGCAACGAGTGTAAATGCAAAAATCCCGCGGAAGAGCAGAGGTGTATCTACCAACTATGAATCCCCCAGCATTCCTTGCATATGTACCTCCCCTCCTCCCCTTGCAGCAGCGTGTCACACAGCGATTGTTGTCCGGGCCAAGCCAGCAAACCCCACAAACCATCGCCGAATCCCGGGCAAACTTACGTGGCCCTGCGACAAGGCAATTCCGCTCTTCCGATGTGGAGCATGTGATTGGCAGACGAGATGGAAAGGCTCCGCAAGGCTAACGACTGCAGGCCGGATGTGGTAAGGCCACGTCAACTTTGCTTGGCTGCGGTGCAAGATCTGGTAGTAGGAGTGGAGGATGCTGCGACGCCTTTGCGACTGGATTCAATGGCATGTTTCGGGCGGGTGAACGTGGTTCGTGCGTTCTGTTATGTGTGGAGGAGCCGCGCAATGGGTGGTATGCGAGTCAGGATCCAAGATCTCAATGCAGCGAAGATGAGCTTCTTCGTAATGATCGAGAAGCTTGTCTTCTATGCCCGCTTACGACTGCAGTCTTAGTAGCCCAGTCTATACTCCCTGTCCATTTTCGAGACCCATCAAACTCCATTGATGATGTCGTCCAACCCAGCAACACCTAACTGCTGCGAAATCAAGACCGCAACTACCGTTTTGATGTTCGACACCAGCGGCAGCAGGTACTCCACCATCTGAACAAATCCAACGACATTGTCCAACAGTCCATCCGCCGCCGTACTCTGTATGATACTTTTGCTCCTCAGTATGTAGATCAGAGTGACAAGATCGGGCTCATTAATCAGCAGGGCAGCGGACTGCACAGCAGGAAGATTCGTCAAGGTTGCAACACTGCCGAACTGGCCTAAATTCATGACTCCCAACAATTGGAGGATAGCGAGGACCTGGCTCGTCTGGCCGAGCAGCGGGATATTGGTGACGGAAGTGGCGAGGTTGGAGACGGCTGCGTCTTTGACGCCTTGGATGATGGTGGGTAGATCGGAGGGGATAGGGATGGAAGCAATCTGCGAACGAGAGGTGAGCTGAGCGGTCTTTGTAGGTCGAGGTAGACGTGATACGAACCACGCCCATGACCATCGTGCCAGGACTGCCATACAGTGCGGCATTGCCGACGATGGGAGCCATGCCGACGATCTGGGCGGCGGGAGATGGGATTACCTGAGGTACAGCGGGCGCAGCGATGCTCGGGTCGGCTACTACTGGTCGGCCAGGAAGAGGTGATGAAGTCTGACCTGTAGTCTCCACAGGCGTAGATGGTATAGTTGCGTCGAGCGAGACGGAGGATGTTGACACCCCCGCGGACTTCGAACGTGCTCCTGGCAGCAGTCCTCCGAGAAAGCCAAAACCGGGAAGCTGTGGCGCTGGCTTTCGTCGCCGGTTGGTGAAGTCTTGCGTCTCGGACGAAGCTGACGAGCTTGATGGTGATGCCGGTATTGCCACCAAAATGACTGAAGTCGATGCTATAGATGGAAGGACCTCTGGCTCAATCTCAGACGCCGTAGAGGTCGGCATCGGAATTGTCGCTGGCTCCGCCGTCCGAGAAGCGAGTAAACTGATCAACTGCACCAACGCATTCACCATATTCGAGACCATCTCCTCGCCCAGGCTTTGCAACCCATCGGCCAGGGGCGGAGTAGTCGTCATCGCTGCTTCTGCCGGGAGAACAGAAGTCGCATCCATACCAGGTAGATTTGTTGGCGGAGACGTCGTTGGCGGTGTGGGGAGGCCGAAGATTGCTGCTGCCGCTTCGCTTGGGATGGTGATCTGAATGAAGGAGACTGCGTCCGTGATGCTGGATGCGGGATGATTGGAGAGCGACGATGGAGCTGCGGTGATGCTGGCCGCCGCGAGTAGGTCATCCAAGCTGGACAGCTCTGTGGTCATCATGCTGGTGGAGGGCAGTGCGATAGGCGGCGCTGCCAGCCCTGCATTTACAGGCGTAATTGCCGCTGTGCGCAGAGAGGTCGGTGAGACACGGCCACCATTCCCACTGGGTAGTGCTACCGTCGCCAGCGTCGTAGGCATAACCTCCACGCTTCCTCTCGCCAGCGAAGACATCAAATCGAGCAGAGCAGCGATGGAAGAGGTCGGGACAAACGGATCTTCCATGGTCGACGGCCATGACAATAGGGTGATTGAGGTTGGGATCGAGGGCTGCTGAATGACCGGAAGCGCAGCTGTTGATGGAGTGGCCACTGCGGCAGATGAGGGCAAGATATTGCCAGGGACAGACTATATATCTAGCGCGGCTAGGAGGGGTAGGTCGAGTCCAACGCCGGTAGCAGCTATCCCTGGTCAGTCGTCGTTCCCGATACTTCTTGGGCTAAGTTACCTCCTGCCTGAGTAATAGTAGCAGTTCCAGCGCCCACAGCGGGCAGGCCGAGCGGTGGAAAAGCAAACATGTTGGCTGCTCGATGAAGTGAACTCGGAGTGGTGAGGAGAGGGCCGACCAAGTGCGGTGTTCTTGTGGGTGCCGATGCATTCCTTCGGCATGCCGATGTCAATAGTTCTCGGGCGCAAGGGGTGGATTGATTTACTTGACTTACCTGCATGTCCGATTGAAGACTATTCGCGCGCCACTTACCTCGTGCGCTCGTTGCGCTCGAAACGATGGCACTCGGAAAGCTCGCTGGTGGGATCAAATTATCATTACGGCCATGATCTCTTGCTATCATGAACCACCAGGTTACCTGTGCTCCAGAAACTCGCTGCAGTACACTGGTTGTCAAGCCTGCTTGCATCTTCTTCCTTCGATAATCAACACTCTACAGCACCGTGAACTCTTACATCTGCGACCTCTTATGCAAGCCCTGCTCCCACCTCTGCGCCGTTCTCCTCCACCTGCTCGTCCTCCAGCATCGTCTCCTTCGCTTTCGCTTCTTTCGGCTCTGCTTCTTTCGTCTCCGTGTCCTTCGCCTCCGCGTCTTTGGCCTCCACCTCTTTAGCCTCCCCCTCTTTTGCTTCTGCCCCTTTCTCCTTCACCTCCTTCGCCTTGCGCAACGACTTGATCGTCGTAAACTCCAGCCCTCCCAGCATCTTTACCAGTGTCTCTGTCGGTGATTCCGTCACTACGACTTCCTTCCCATCCCAGAGCTGCTTGCCATAGTCGCACACGTTGAGAACAATGACTGTCTCCTTGGGGCCGCAGAACTCGAGAGCGATCAATAGCTCGAGGAATGCGTATGGAAGAGTGACACCATTATAGTCGGGGTTGCCACGGTCGGAGAGCACTGTGGCGTAAGTGTCCATCTCGTATTCAACGAAGCTACTGACGCTGTGATCGAGCCGGAAGAGGAGATTGGCGAGATGCAGGAGTTGCTGGTGGAGGAACTGGAGATTGCTTGTCGTGAGCTGAAGGTCGGTTGTGGAGGATCCCCAAAAGCCTGGGATCAAGCCGGATGAGTAGAACGAGCAGTCCAGTTGGAGGTTGCGGATGCCGTGGACGATGGAGGACGGGAGAGCAGCACGAATCGAGTCGCGCACTGCCTCGTGGTATTCTTTGTAGTCATCCACGCACTTCTTGTAGTCTTCCATGCCTCCGTGGGTCACCTTAGGGGGCTTCGGGACGTTCGTCTTGAGAATCGTGACACCCTTCATGAAAGTGGATGCGAGCTGCATCACCGATGTCTCGAGAAAGGATTGAGTGGCGAGTGGGCGAAGGGTGGTGGCGATGTTGGGTGTGAGGTTACGAAGCAGGCGGTCGATTGCGTCCTCCATGTCGCGCTCGCTGACTGCGTTGATAATCGGGCAGTGCTTGCGGACGGCGGCGTTGAAGATGAGCAAGACGAGCTAAGGGGCGAGGCGACCTTTGGACAGTGCTTGCATCACTTTCAGCCCAGCGTGCAGCTCCTTCAGCTCTTGTCGGCATGCCGCCTTGCGCGCGCTGATCGTCCCATTCGAATCCATGTCGATGTGTAAGCAATGTGTTGTTGCTCGGTTGAGGTGAGTTGTTCAGTCGAGCCGAGAAGCGGGAAGTGTTTGTTTTTTCTGTTAGCGCGCCGCTCCTTCCCAATTCGGATTAGCTTTCTTCACGTGCTCAATAACAATTCTTCCTCCAAACTTCACAATGCATCAAACCTCAATTAAGCGAGCAGAAGACACCGCTACCATCTCCTGCTTCCCTACCGCGGTCAGACTCAAAATCAGCAACACTTACACAAAGACCATCACACGACAGCATGGCTAACGCAGCGACATTCTTTGGGCAGGATATGCTTCTCAGGGCTGTCCTGGTCAACCTCCCACCCGGCCAGATCCTACGCGCTCGTCAGGTCAATCAGAGCTTCCTGGAGAACATCGACAATTCTCTCGATGTCAGGCAGAGCGCGTTTCTGCTGCGCGACGCAAACGACCAGCAAGACATCGTCTTCTGGTACCACGATGGCTCGCCGACCGTCTGGCTGATATCGATCAACGCACCACCCACGCATGCGTCGCTTCTGGCTCAAAGCGTCGGCACGGCCACCCCTCCTGTCGCCTACAGGCGATACATCCTCAACTCGTCCGTCCTGCGCCCCGTCTCCGCCAACCTCGCCAATCAGCAAGCTTCTGCGGCATACTCGGCGATGTGGCTCAGCCTGATGGTGCCCTACCATCCACCGATGAACATCACGACATCACAAGCGCTCGCCCTGGACATGCAGCTCGCAAAGCCGGCTGTCATGACTGTCGAAGCGGGCGCATATGTGGGTCTCGTGTTTGCACAGACGTGGCAGACGAGGGCCCTGGTCACGAACAACAATGGGATCAGGGTTAGGGACGTTATCGCTGATCTCCAGGCCTGGCAAGCCACTCTCGCGGCTGGTCACTTCCTTCGCGATCCGAGCATTGCATTCCTGGGGGTGTCTGGGTCACTCAGACTGAGAGGAAGAGGGTGGAAAGTTGAGGGAGATGATGGGGGTGAAGGTTGAAGGGGTCGACTAGAGGGGTGGGCTCATGAATCACGGATTGCGTTGATGGAGCTTCCCTGAGATGCTGATATGTTGCTGAGGGATGAGCTGTGGGTGGACGGTTGTTTCTGGCTGCGTTGGAGAATGGACGGATGGACGGCGGGATACTATTGTCGCCGCTTCTCTGACTGGCGAAGGGCATATCGAGCGGCTGCTCATGGTTGTTTGCCTGAGCGATGGTGTTATGGAGAAGAGGTGCTTGCTTCAGCATATTATACCCTAATGCATGCTTCAGCGAAGGCGTCATCAAGAAGAGGTGCTTGCTCTAAGCATATGATACCCCAATGCATGCTTCCCAGCTATGGTCTTGCCTCCCTCCAATCTTTACAGTCGCTGTAATGCCGGCTGGAACGGTGCTCCGAGTGAGACAAGAGACACAGCAGCTGTAGTTTAAGCCTTTCTCCTCATGCTTTATGCTGTACCATGACCAAAGCCATCGCTGTAGTACCATGTCATTGAAGAATGAAGCTGGAGATGCCTGCATTGTTCGCAGTGCCCAAGGCACGCTTCTCTTTCTTCCCAAGACCCCAATAACCGTTCGAGAGTGTGTGTGAAGAGTATTTGTGCTCCAGTAGAACCAACATTTGCTGGCTCAATTCAAAAGACGGCAAGTCCCGAGCTAAACGAGCTACCTACAACCTCAGCCTGCTGAACGGCTCACTCGCTGCAATTCCATCTCATGCCCACTTTGAGAATGTGACCCGAGTCTCGCTCCACTTCCGGCCAAGACTAGCCTAGGCTGTCGCAGATCTATAATGATTGGAAGGTAGTAATCATGGAGATGTGCTTCTGGGGCATGCTGATCCCTGCTATGGATACGTAGCTTGGTCCGATTGTTGGTCTCGAGCTACCTGCAATCTCAGCCTGTTGAACAATTCATCACTTTCGTGTCCATCTCACGCATACTTCAAGAATGTCCCTTCAGTCTCCCTTGACGTCCAGCCTCCTGCCGTATTGGGCATGTCATGATTTAGCTTTTCTTGGCACTGCTTGTAATTCAAGGCGCAGCTGGCCACACCCTGTCCCTGCCCACCACCTCACCCAGTTTCACCGAGTGCAACATCGTCGCGCGCATTAATCACTACGGACATGGCGAGCACGGCCACACCACAGGTACGTCGCGCAGAGGTCTCCTACCAGTCCAGCAGTCACTGACATACCGCCAGAAGCGATTCGCGCCCATTGAAGGCGGCACGACCATCTTCACCATCCCACTGGAGCTGCAACAGCAGATCCTCGGTCACTCCATCGACTTAGACTACTTTGGCCTCATCTCCATGTAGAGGCACGACTGATCGCGCGACTACTTTGGTGTTACCACTAAGCCCGCGATGTTCCGCCACTGTATCGACGACATCTGCCTTGGATTCCGCGGTCACCTCAGCAAAGCGTTCCTGCTTGACGCATACTGTCTGTACAACACTCTCATGGTTCGCACCCGCTTTATGGTCGAAGACTTCCCCCATCCCAGAACCCATCACGTCACGACCTCGCTGGCTAGCCCGATTTTCGAAGAGAAGACGGACATCGAGAAGCATGTAAGGCGCCTTGAGTTCTCCGATGATCGCAGCCGTCCAGCTATGCTGGCCCCGTTCGAAAAGGTTCTCCCAAGGTGCCCACAGCTTACCCACCTCACGTTACGTATCGTCTTGCCTGGGTACATCAAAGGCGCCCTGCAGGCCTCTGTAGCCGGAGACGCTTTGCTGAAGCAATTGGACGAAGGGTGGCTGGAAGAACAGAGGCACGGCGCCATCCAGCTTGTGCAGAACGCCATCAGGAAGCGTGGCGACGGGCTTACATTTCTTCTCGTGCATGACAACGTGGCTTCCAGGAAGATGGAGCTGTTGAAGAAGGACACAGGGGTCGTGTGAAAGGCCCTGTGCGACAAAGAGCAACAAAAGAGTCCTCACAGCAACGAAAAACTGTATGGTAACACTCAGGCCTGCAGGATGCTTTGGAGGACTAGCTTCTGGACGGAGAAGTACCATTGCAACGCCGAATGGATAGCATTGAGCTAAAGCTGGTCGCATCCGTTGATGTACACAACGCCATATCGAGCGGTGCGTGGCTTTGATGGAAGTAATCCTTGGTTGGAGATCGTAGGTTGGAAAACCATGTCACGCATGTAGTCGTCACATAGCTGTCTTTATACCAATCTCCAACGCTATGTTGTACTTCTTGACAGGCACCTGGTGCGCAGCCGTCTTCTCCGCCCAGCCAAACCCGGACAGTGTCCTACCCAGTCCTGGTATTACCTTCAGATCGCAGCTCTTTAGAGGAGATAAAGTCGATTCCTTCACGACCGTTACTCTTCCAGCCATTCGGCTCGGACACCGCGGAGACGGATGGGCGGGCGCGCATGCAAGTGTTGGGTTCTCTGCAGCGCGTTCTCGCACGATATTCATAGCTTACCCTCAAGCTCTGGCTCGCATTGCCTCCACTGTCCCTAGCTCAAAGTGCGCCACTTGGGAATCAAAAGGGTCAATGGAGCAAGGAGTCCCAGCAAGACGCCGTTCAGATCATACATGAAATCGTTGGGAGCCGCGGGAAAGGACTCTGCCTGGCTTTGGTGCAAGGTGATATGCTTGTGAAGGTGATCGGGCATCAAGACGGACGAAAAGATCTTGCAGAAGAGGGGCTAGCTGGAGAAGAGTAGTGGGTGGACTCTGGCACTGGATGAATGGTGGAGGGGACACTTGTAGAAGGATATGGTCTTGGGAGCGTCAGCCCGTGCTCGGAGATGGAGACTCAGCTGCAGGCCAAAACGGGGCATGGTGATGGCTTATCGCAATTGCGGCAAATCTGGAAGGCCGCAATGAGTCGTCCACGATTCTCGAAACAGTTTGCTGCTCGAATATGGTGTGCTGGATAAGACGACTAGGTCTTCCCGTTCTCAAGGTAAAAGATCCATTCTCTTTTGGTTGCACATAGTCACTCACGACTCCGAGGTCACTCATACAATAGCTATGGCCAGCTACAAAGTGGTAGCAACACTAGCTGAACCTCCCTGAATGCCCTCCACCCACTCCACAAGCTGGGCCACCACCGGCAGGCAAACGACATGCTCTTGACCATCCGTCCTAGCAGCACGACCCCGCCTGCTTTCTCCATTCTGTCGCCCTCCACTCAAAGCGTAGGTGTAGGGGTCACAGCCGCTGTAGAGGTGGTCGGCTTAGCGGACGCAAACGGGTTCTGCCAGAAACGGCACGGATTTTCTTGAGCACCGTCCCATCCACAAGTCGGGTTGCATCCGTTGGGCCCGCAGTTTTCATCGAACGTATAATCGCTTGGCTTCTTGTTTTGGTCCTCGTTACTGTCGCAGTAACTAACGACCAGGTTCACCTCCGGACCGGTGAGATAGAACGCCTGCGCGGACACTGGGGTCTGGTCGTTTGTATCCACGCCCTTGTCCTTATAATAAGCCACGCAGTGGTCGACAAGGGCAGTAGCAGAGTCGGTGAGATCGGCGGGGGAAACAAAGATGCCCTCGTCCCTGTCGTTGCAGGCGTAGAAGCCGCTGAGACAGGTATCAGCCTCGTGGACTGAATGTGTAGTGGCGAAGCTTACCTGGTGCCCACACATGCTAATCGAGAACAAGCCTGACTTCCGACAAAAACGAGTCCCGGGCTGGCTCCTACTATAGCAGCAACGGCTCCGATGTTGCCTGTAGCTTCTTCTATCGCTTGCTTTGCATCCGCCTGGACTGCTGTTGCCCACAGGCCGCACGTAACGTCCAACATGATCCCCTCGTACCTCTTGCTGATCCCATTATGGCTGGAGCGGCGGACTTGAGTCGGGCTAGAATGGCGGACCTGAGCTGGGCTAGCATAGACAAGAGCAAAGAGCGCAGTAGCCCACAGTGCTATATTGTGAATGGAGTGCATATTTCGTCAAAAGTCGAGTTGTTATATGTAAGGAGGAAGAGAGCCGCAGTCCAGCTGAGAGTGAGTCGTTTGAAACCGTCAGTGTGCAATAATAGGCCACGGTATTTGAATAGACGCTGCGAAGATCCATACGGCTCGAAGATGGATCAATCAAGGCTGTTTCGAGCGACGCTCATCATGCTGCAATCCTAACCATCCTACAGGATCTGACGCCAAGCGGAAAGGAATCTTGGTCGTTCCCAATAGGATCCTGCATTGAATGTATTGAGAGAGACGTTGTGACATTAGAGATCCTGGATTTATGGTTGCAAAGCGTCACTTGCTCGTCAGTGAGGATATTCATACAACATCTAATGCAAGCGACAGAATGTAATCAACACCTAGCGTAACGCTACTCTACACCCTTCACCAACTCCACAAGCTAGACCACTAGCAGACAATGAGTCTACTCTTGATCAGCCACCCCAGTAGCACGCTCTAGCCCGCCTTCTCAACCCAGTCACTCCCTCTCAAGGGGCAGGTGTGGCCGTCGGTGATGGAGCTGCCGAAGAAGACGCAAAGATTTTCGACAAGAAGGGGCATGGATCTTCCTCAGCACCTTCCCAGCCACAAGTCGGGTTGCATCCATTCGGCCCGCAGTTGACATCGAAATTGTAATCGCTTGGTTTCTTATACGGGTCGTCGTTGGGATCGCAGTAGCTGATGACCACATTCACGAGTGGATCCGCGTAGAAGCCTTGCGCAGACACCGGGGTCTGTGTGTTCACAGCTACGTCGTTGTCGACGTAGTAATCCACGCAGCTCTGGACAAGCTGGGAGCTAGGGCTGAAGAGATCTTCGAGTTGGACAAGGACGTCTTCCTCTTGGTCGTTGCAGACATAGAGGCCGCTGGATTGGGTGTCAGCCGCGAGCTCGAACATGTGAAAGCGCGTTGGGATGCTCACCTGGTGCCTACGCATGCCAATCGAGAGCAGGTCTGTTTGATGGCGTTGATGGCTCCGCCATTGGCTGTCACTTGGTGTATCGCCTCGTCGGCGTCCGCCCTGATTGCAGTCGCCCACAGACCGCAGGTGATATCGATCACGCCCCCTAAGCCCCTCTTGCTTATTCCGTTGGGGCTGGAGCGGCGGACCTGAGTCGGGCTGGCATTGACAAAGGCAAAGAGTGTTGTAGCCCACAGGGCCATGTTCCGCACGGAAGGCATGTCGTCGAAAGTATGATTGTGGTGTAGGAAGGGAAAGAAGAGGGAGAAAGTCGCAGTCCAGCTGAGAGAGAGATATGTGTGTGAGAGCTACAAGTACCACGCCAGGTTGGCCATTGTACTTGTACAGACGCTGCAAGGGTCCATGCGGCCCGATTTGCAATTGACGAGGAATATTTTGGGCGGCGCCCATTACCCTTCAAACATTGTCGAATATTGCAGGAGGCTGTGCCCTGAGTATCATTGCCGTAATCAGACGCAAAATGCGATCTGCCTTGCATGCAAAATAACTAGAGACATCCTTGATTCCTACAGGATCTGATGCCAGGCGGAAAGGAACGTTAGTCGTGTCCGAAAGAGATGAAGTCGGTTGTTTCACCACCATTCCTACTCGAGTCATTCGGCACCGACGACGTGGACCCGCCGGGACTCCGCATAACGTCGTGCATATAACCGCGGTGTCGGGGATAGCGGTGTCGTCGATCAATGCGGGGCAGAGACGACCCCGCACCGCTGTTCAAACGAATGGAAGCGTTGTTTACTTCGTCCATCTTCGTTCTGTTCAACGCATTGTACGCTGCAGGGGATCTTCAAAGTGTAGGAAATCGAAAGCAACAGCCAGTCCAACGCAAAAGCCGACAAACGAACCACCATGGGCCTCCCCGAGAAGATGCGAGCCGTTGTATTCAAAGGCGACTACAAAGTACTCCTCCAATCCTCCGGCCATCCCACGACCAGCTAATCCTGCCCCAGGTCGAAGTAGAAGACCGCCCGACCCCCAAAGTCCAAAAGCAAACCGACGCCGTCATCCGCGTCACCTCCACCGCCCTCTGCGGCAGCGACCTGCACTACTACCGCGGCCACCTCAAATGCGAACCCAACTTCATCTGCGGCCACGAATTCGTCGGCGAGATCGTCGAGAAGGGCGACGACGTGAAGAGCTTCGCCATCGGGGACAAAGTGGTTGTCCCGTTCTACACCGCCTGCGGGGAGTGCTTCTACTGCGTCCGCGGGCAGGCGAGTCGGTGCAGCAAGGGCGAGCTGTTTGGCAACTCGGCGCCGGCGAACACGATCGATGGCGGGCAGGCCGAGTATGTGCGGTGTCCGCTGGCTGAGTCGACGTTCGTGAAGGCGCCCAAGGATATCCCGGAGGAGATGCTGGTGCTGATGGCGGATATCTTTCCCACGGGCTATTTTGCTGCGGCGAGGTTTTTGAAGGATCTGCCGGAGAGGGATCGCAAGGAGTATACTGCGGTGGTGATTGGATGCGGGCCGGTGGGCGTATGTGCGATTACGTGTGCGTTGACGATGGTGGATAATGTGATTGCGATTGATAGCATCCCCGAGCGGCTGGAGGAGGCGGAGAAGCTGGGCGCGAAGACCATCAACCTCAACGACGACCCCATCCCGAAGATCAAGGAGGCGACTGGAGGCAGAGGTGCCGATGTGGTGATTGAGTGTGTCGGGCATGCGGATGCGTGGCAGCTGGCCTTCGACATGATCAGGCCTTTCGGGCAGATCTCGAGTATCGGCGTGCAGTGCGTGTCATCCTCTTCATCCTCCTCCGCGCAGCTCTCTGCTAACTTGAAACGATCTCCAGCACCGAGAAATGGGAAGTCAACGGCCTTCTCATGTACGGCAAAAACGTCACCACCGCCTTCGGCCGCTGCCCCGTCCGCAGCATCTTCGAGCCTGCTTTGAAGCTGTTGGTGCAGGAGCAGAAGAAGGTCGCTTTCCTGTGCGGCAAGACGATGCTGTTGGAGGAGGCGCCGCAGGCGTACAAGGATTTCGAGCAGAGGAAGGTGCATAAGATTGTGTTTAAGATGGATCAGAAGGAGGCGGGGAAGAGTATTGAGGCGAAGTAGGGGAAGGGTGAGGTACAACATGAGAACTGCGATTTGGAAGTGACGAGAGCTGACATGTGTCGCAGATGCGAGGAGGGGAATGGCTCGATGAGATTCTGAGATGTTGTTCTGCTGATCTTGAGTACTGTGTAGATGTCGCTGTTCTTCGTGTATGTATCTTGGAACGTTGCTTCACCACGACGCCTACTACCTTCACTGCTGTCACGAGCAGCCTTTGCTGCACTCCCATCTCCCGCTGCGGTGCTGGCCTATCGAGGCGGCCTGATACGCCTTCGTCATCTGGTAGTCTGTTGCCAGCCAGTCATGTCCCGCATCGCATATCGAGTCCACCATCGGCCTTCCCAGAGATGGCACACCTCCCAGCGTCATCCGAGCCACGATGACCAGCGATCGCCAATCCTCGCCCCTCCAAACCCGCCGCCACCGCCGCCACCGCCTGCCGACTAATGTGAGTTCCAACCACTTTGTGCAAAGCTTCTCGGATTGGGTGACTTCCCATACGACGGCGCCTTACTCGTCCCGGTTCAGATGGCGGGCTACTGGGCAATATATGCCGGGTGCTAAATCCTGGAAACCCGGTCTAGTACATCTGTACCCTTCCGGAAGGATAAACTACGAGTCGGATTTCGGAGATTTCCACATTGGCACTCTTGCCACAAGGCACAAGCATTGCTACTCTTCCATCGCTCCATTCTTAGGACTGTGTCCTGAGCTGCTCGCAGGAGACTTAGCAAGAACGTTGCCGGTGTCGACTTCGGCTCCAAAGGGTCTTCTCATCTTGAGAAGGCGGAGGTCTTGCTGCCACATGGACAACGGCTCGAGATCTTTCTGTCACCATGCCAGCGATCTTGCCGGTGCGGAGGCCTGGACTACAAATCGCTGCGAGCTGGTCTGCAGCGCTGGCGCCGCAGGTGGTTTACAGGACCTGACGATGCGGGTTCCAAAGGTTGATAGGTCCTTGATGGCCGTCGTGGTTGATGTGATCTGGCTCTTACCTCCACCTCCTCTCCTCTGCTTCGACACTGGGATCTGAGCAAGAGTTCCGAATCTTGAGGAAGGCTGGTGAGGGCGACTGGATTTCTTCGTATCGCAGCGAATACCCTGCTTTGAGCACTGCAGCGAGGGCGGAGTGCTGATTTTCTTCCAGTACAGGATGGAAGAGAGTGTCTCGCCAACACATCCCCACTGCTTCCGCCTGGACCTCCATCGCCATGCTCGACCAGCGTTTCGCCCGGGGATCTCGCCCTCGGCGCGGCTCTTGCGCCAGCCTCACCGTGGCACGCTCTATCTTCGCAATAGAAGCGTGCAATAAACACCGCCAGCGTGGTGAGATTGAGGCGCCTGCCGCGACTACGCCGTGGTCCTGGCTTTCACTACCATGACTAAGCCTCCAAAGACGAAGGGCAAGGAGGCCGGACGTCCTTGATGCTTCCCTCCGAGCAGGACCGATGTTCAAAATGGAGGACACTTCGGCTGAGCACTTGGACTTCTTGCGGCCGACCTCATACATACTGCGGTTGCTTTTGATGGCACGGGAATCTTCGTTCTTGCGAAGTGTTGCCCACGACAAGTCTGACCCGCTTCAGTGCGGTTTTTCGCTCTCAGTGCTTCCTCGCTGCAGTCTGCTGATTTCCCACTCCTTGTTCCGATGCGTATCTGGCTGTTCTGTCATCTACGAACCATACCTTGGGTCCTAGCAGGTCTCTTCTCCGCGAGCTCTAGGGCACGGATCTGGAGCCGGATGCAATCCGCCGCGGATCGCCTTCCCTAACCTCCCGTGCCGCTCTGGATTGTCCGGTGGACATGGTTTCCGCGGCACCAGTGTTCTGTCTGTACTTTGGTTGCGGCATTTCGGAGTCGCATTACATTCATGCGCATAACGGGGACCTGCGCTCCAGGGTTCAGAGCCTCAACGCTGCTTCGATGTTTCTACATAGCCGACATATCGGCATTGAAGGCGAGCGAGCACAGTTGCAGTGGACATGGCCAAGATCCATTATGAGCAACAGCCGTGCAGACGGTGCTGGCGGAATAGCTTGGTAGACTACAGCAACCAGTCGACGGGGTGCCAGACGGTCTCCTACAGCTTTCGTGGACGCAGCGGCAAAGGCGCTAGATGTCAGCTGGTTCAGGTTGCCTTCCGTGTACCGACTCCAACACTTGCTGACCCATGGATCAATGGTCGTGGTGCCATCGACTCCGCAGTGGTCGCCCCGCGGCGGCCTTGCTGGCTTGGTTGGTGAATTTGGCTAAGCAGTGTTGGTCAATGTCTCCGGACCAGTGGCTGAAGCCGGCGATCTACTGATGCTACTGGGTTGATCAGTTCTTGACTGCCTATGCGGATCTCTGTGTGACGAGCGCTGTTCTTCCTCGCTACTTCTTCCGGCAAGGGCGTGTATGACTTGAGGATGAATGCCGAATGCGCGGGTGCTACACTTCACCACGCACCAGTACATGCAAGTACGGTGATTCCTAACCTTTCTCTTCCAGCGATCGGTTTCCTTGGCCCGTGTTCTAGCCCAACAGCCCGTTCTGGCCGGTGCCCACGATCACCGTGACCTCTTCGCTTCGCATTGCAACTTCTGTGTCGCTTCTCGCCAGTCCAAAGACTGAGAAACGCTACTATAGATCACCTGAAGACTCATGAGGACACGCATTTTGGGTTTCGCCACGGCTCGCAAGTCTGCCTGCTCTCAGCGTTCCATGGTTGAGCTTGTTGACGCATATCTCTCTAGCATTCCAGTGGAGATATGAATACATCTCCGAGCACCGGCTCTCGAGCACATCCACATGACCTTGGGTTGCTCGAGGATTCAGCGCAGCTTTTGACTCCAGGTCAATCTTGTGGGTGCAACGGAGACAGCGTAAAGACTGTATGGTAGCCTCGCGAGCATGCGAGTGTGACCTTCCACCTACCCTTTACACTTGCGTCACCAACAGCCCATGTCCTGAGATGAGCTGTCGTACCAGCTCACCTCTGAGACCCCGCGAACTGCGACTGCCGTCGGATACCGTACTGGCCAGTCTCTACTTGATTCTGTCACCCGGCTCGGCCCGGATATGCGTGCACCCGTCCAGCACCGCCAGCAAGGCCTTTTCTGGAATACATGCTCCCCTCTCGTGCTGATCTGGCCTTTGCTGGGTGAAACACCTCGTTTAGCCGCAGGCTGAAGCCTCTCAGACGGTCCTGCAAGACTCCTAGCTTCCACGTCGTCGAAGGTGCCAGCTGAGATGCCGTGTACACTCGGCTTTGTCCGCTGAAGGCTGCACATCCAATACATTTCACCTGCGGAACGGATTGACAGCGATCGATGAAGCAAATGCCGCCACAGCATGGGCTTCCAGCATCTGTATCCACCATTCAGTTGTGATGTAGCTCTGACAATGCGGCCAACCGCCTTGACATAAAGCCTACTGCTGATGCCTTCTGCCGTCCAGGCTCAGTGGGATAAGCTATTGTTCGCTTAGGCTGGTTGGAAACCATCTTCTACGACATTGGGTGCTCTCATAATCCCTCGGGACGCAACAGATAGTTGCGAATTTACGCACCCAAGGCCACGATGACTGTCCTATGGAAATATCTCAACTGTAATTCAGTCAGCCTAAGGAGTGCCCGTCCTTTTCCTCTGTCTTCTAGCGCTCTTCAACATCCGGGACACTTCTTGTAAAGACATCGGTCTACCACCTTGTCACCGCCGAACAGTGGCTATAATGGCGATCGTGTTCGTTCTACAGCTTGCCGCCTAGCGAAGTTGTACGAGTCGCTAAATTCTCTAGTCTCTTGATTGGCAAATGCTCGACTACGTTGAGTAACATCAAGATATATTCGCAAAACTGTCCTAAGGGCCGAACGGTGTAGGCGGAGCGTTCCCGTTATAAGTACGCCCTACCATCCAGGGGAGAGACAGAACGGGAGCTGTACAGTGGTGGGTAAGAGCCCTTGAACGGAAGATTACACGTTTCGGTGTCGGCCTCGACGATTAGCAAGGACCACGAATAAATGCAGGGCCATATTGGAGAGGACTATATCATTCGGCCTCACAAGAGGAAGAGAGGGTGAGGTTTCGTCCTGGCTTGTCGAAGTCTGTTATGTGCACTGGATCAGATACTGCCAAGATACCTTCCACGCTCAAGCGGGTTCTATCCACCGCATCAGCTCTCCACGTGGACTGCTTGAACTTTCGTTGGCCTGCATCACAGCTGCACAGCTCAAACTGTCACCACCTACCGTCAGTACCGTTGCAGGTCATGCCGAGCACTGCAGAGATTACACCTGGATACCAGCCCGCCGCCTGCTTCTCCTCGAGCAGCTAGAGGTCGCAGTATCAGCGCCTGACATTTGGCGATAGGGTGCGCTTGATGGAGTGTTGCTGAGGCGCGGCACAGCGCCAGTCCCTCTCACCGCTGGTACCCGGGATTTTATGAGCGGCAGGGACTCCGGGACTATCGATGTGCAAGCATGATGACAGACATTCTGCTACATTCGGAGGCGGCATTGCGAAAGGCAGCAGGGCTGCATATCTTCGTATCCGCCTGCTGCATTCAGCCATTTCGGCGGGCTCAGCTGGATACTCATGCGCCTGCTGCATCACATCGTGCATCAATCTCCTCGCATCTTTCCGGCCGGTCCTGGCTCGCCAGCAGAGTTGTCTTCCGTCAAAAGCTCCGGGAAAACTAGCGTAGCATTGCTCCTGCTTCTCAAGACGGCGTTCAGTTGACCACATTGAATTAGCTGACGAATGCGTATCTCTTCAAGCGTCAATGCGTCAGTGCACACGGCTGAAGGAACCGCCCTTATGGAGGGGTGGACCTTGAGAGCAGGGCGAGAAGACGTTCCGCAGTGGCAAGCGCTTGTACTCTGCGTGACAAGTCCACGCACCGTGGGGGGAGTGAGAATGCTCGCTGTCGGTCGATGGAGAATACAAGGCCCAGTATCATACCAAGACATCCACCCGCCGCTGCCGACTTGTCCGCTCACCCCGATCACGCGGCCCAGTTCCAGGCTGGACGGAAAGATACGTCAGCATCAGGTAACTTCGTTCCACAACGTCCAGCAATACCATCTCCCAATGATCCATCCTTTGCGAAGCCCGGCTTACACAAGAGCTCTGCTTCGTTCCATCTTCCTTGCCCTCGTACTCATTGATCGTCCATATCTTCGAGACCAACCTCCGACTGTTGAGCTGAATCGTGCGATCTCAGTTCGTCATACCCCCGCGGCGAGTAAAGAAAGGCCGTCGCTGCACTGTGGAGAAAAGTAGAGTCCCGAGTTACAGTCGATGAAAGACGGAGATGACCGGAATGCTACCAACACCCACGAGCCTTCCTCAGCAGCATACTCATCAACTTTGAGGTTGGCTACCAATACTACCTGACCCCTCGCAGACGAGCTGCCCAATCACCTTGCGACTGAGCCGAGTTTTGACATGTTCGGCAAGCAAATTGCATAGTCCCCGAGCCGAAACACTCCAGGACGTCATCGTTTGTCGCTTAGGTCGGAAATGCGATTGCTAGGTGGCCTTAAGCGCAGAGAAGTGGCATGCTGTAGAGGCTTTGGGAATGCAAGACCGAGATCGAGCAGCTGACCGAGCAGCCTCTTTGGGGACGAGAAGGAAGTGGTCCTGGTGATTCGTAGTCTAGCGGCGCAATGCGCAACGTCAACATCGAGTCCGATGGAGAGGTAATTACGCTGCTACCTGTCGAACGCCCTTGCGCACTGGACTCAGCCAGCAGCCTGCGATGCCGCCGTGAACCGTGCTGTCGGTGGAATTGATCCACGAATCTGGACCTGCAGATCTGCAGACAAGTGGACAGCGAGACAGGCCGCCAGAGTCTCTACCATATTTGATGTTGATACAGATCCTCGTCGGCGCTTCTGCCGTCTCGCGTGGAAGCACACATTTTCTCATCTGACTGAACGTATCTGGATGCTTGCGCATCTTCTCTTCTTCTTCTCTCCAGCCGCTACGCCAATCTACCTTACCACTACCTCCGCCCTCTCTAGCGGATACAAGGCTGCGGTCGTGGTTATAGTGCCGGCGGAGATTGCAAGCGATGCGCAGGATCTGATCAGCGTACTGAGCATCGTGGAGGTGTCGTTAAGCCGCTGGGGTACCATTAAGATGGACCGAGCTGGAGAGGGCAATTTCATGGATCTAAATGCGCCAGGACAGATGGAGAGGGTCTCGTCGCAGTGGGAGAAGCATCGAGAACGGTACTTTTCCGCTCACTCGCCTGCTAAAGCTATCACTCGCGCTCATGAATATGGAGGCGTAAGAGTCGACGGACAAACATTTGGGTGGCGAGCAAGGAAGCAGACCGATTGCTGTTTTTCTCGTCGCCGTTGGCATGATCGTCGTAGAAGGCTGAGTAGCAATTCCGTGCTAGTGTACTGTCACGTCCCTGGGCCACATTATGATAGCGTCAACCTGAAGCATCTCCCTCTCCAAACGGTGGTATCCTTACGTCCAGGCCTTCCATCTTTGCCCTGCCTCAGTTGCTTCGTCTTCCAGTCGCATGTACCGAAGCGACTCGCCTCCTTCGGCGCATCTAGGTCTGTTGCATCAAGCCTGGTAGCCCTTACACGCACCTGCTGCCATTTTGGATGGCGTAAGTTACAGCGGATCGCGACACTGTTGAAGATACCTAACAACTGCGGTCATGTGTGCTCACTTTCCCAATGGGGAGCTGCAATTGATCTTTGATGCATATGACCACCATCAGCCTGCACGCCGCATTCTTCGAGCCCGACAAGTCGAGGGAGGATCTTGAGGCCTTCGAAGGACTATCTTTGTTTCCTCAAGGCCAGTGTGTTTGATCTTGTTCGGTACGAACCATCTGTCGGAGCCGTCGGTGGTGCTATGTAGCGTGGGAGTCACCTCCCAAGGCAATGGATGTCTAGATAGCGCGCGGGAGAGCCCCGAAAACCCGTGCTTTGGTTGACTGCGGTCGTCTAAAGCATAGGTGAACGCGAGTAGAAGGCCCTTCTGCTTCCTGGCAGTTACGTTTGGTCGAAGGAGACGTCGAGTTGTTGCAAAACCTATGACGTCCTCCCACATGTGGCCCAATGCCTACCCACGTAGCTGCCGGCTGATTGTCGGCATGTAATTAGAGGCTATATTCAATAGAATAAAGCTCTCCCTCGTCAATGGCCCACATCTCAGAGTGGGCCAAAGGCGAGGTATGTATCCCCCTTTCTTTACCCACTAAGGCGCCCAGCAGTGGGTTTGGCGAAGAGATGTAGTCCCTTCGATCTTAGCGACATTGGTTAATGGTCTTGGGGGTGAACTCTTCTGCTTTTGATTGAGAGCTGGTCGTCAAAGAAAAATGGGAGATCGTGGGTTCGAGCTGGTTATAGATGTTTTTGATGGAACGATTCCTTTTTGCGCCACCCACCTTGTCCAGCGCTCATCGTACCTGTTCCCCTTCATCCCTTCTGCTACAGCACAACGCGCCTCGTTCCAAAAGTAGCTTATCGTATATCAACCAATCTGCTGGACGTATGGATGACGGCAGGTGTCTTGTACGCAACCTTCAAACGCCTAGCTGGTCTTGAACCATTCGATCGACGCCGTGTGATCTTCTCGTCCCGAAGCCGCAACAACACCTGCCCGCCTCACCCTCTTCTTGCAAATGCGGGCCTTGCCGCGAGCTGCAGCGATCCACTCTCGTATCATCAGCCTTCTCCACACTCAATAGATGGAAGGATGGCCGAAACCAAAACCCGCTCATTACTGTAGCATCATGCGGCATACTTGATCTCTAAACCTTCAAGCCTAGAAGGCGCTACGGGCTGAGTATGGCGGGAGAGGAAGGCGGGAAGATGGCACTATAGCATTGGCAAGACAGCCCTTAACACAGCTGCCACTGCGACTCTACTATGGAACAGCTCTCGAGCTGAGCTCCGTCACTTGTTCGTTGCGGACCAGTTACCCAGGTCATGGACAAACAGAGCTTACCTTGCGCGCCGAGCGCTACGACTATGTTGAGGTTTGAACCGCCATCCAGAACCAGCCCTTTGCAGTGCGAATCTCCTTTTCAGCGTCGCCATGACCGAACGTCAAAACAGAATCCCATTCCAGACTCAGCAGCACTCTAGGATTGACCCTTGTCTCTCCCGTAGCAACCGGAGCTGGGCATGTCTTGGCATCGATGTGCTCTGAGAACAGCGAGTGGCGAAAACTGCAGGAAGACAACAGTCTGGTGGAAGGCCGCGGTTTTTGCTGGATTTGCGGAAGCACGCAAGTGGTACAAAAGCTATGTGAGCAGCAACCATGAACAGTCTCAATTGCGGAAAATACTTTGCGACGAGAACCGCAGTTGGAACACTGGATGCTGGTCCAGAGAGGCGTACAGAGCGCAGACTGACGTTTGGGCTGGTCCAAAGGTGCTGTGGTAGGCGCGACCACAGGGGTGCCGGCTTGCGGGGGAAAGGTCTCTTGATCAAGTTGAGAAGGCCGTCCATGGTGATGGTGGAACAGTCCATGGCTGCTGGTAGTATTTCGTCAGTACCATCGCCTTGAAATCAGCAGAACGGATAACGAACCTTCAGATGTTGCAGAGTCCGGCCGGCCAGAACGCGAGGTATTGCAGGTAGTAGAAGACCACGACAGAGCTGCAATGCTGGCGGGTTTTTGAGTGGTGCGGTGGAGGAGGAGAGCCAGGGAGAAATTCTCGGAAGAGGAAACATTAGGGGAGGTGGGACGGCGGCGGCGAAGCGGAAGTAGCTTGACCGATTGGCCGGAGCACGACGAGATTAATATCGTCACATGATTTCGTGGGATGTACGTGAGGAATTGGCGCAGAAGGATGGATGAGAGAAGCAAGGAAATGGCCGGCGGGCAAGAGACACCACCCTCACTAGTACAGCTCGGTAGGTTGGGAAGCAAGCGAACTGCAGTCAAGAAAAGCAAACCATGCAAACATCTGCAGAGCTGCGAGTGCCTGCTGCGTCGGGGCATCGGACGAGACAGTGAGAAACGCAAACGGCATAAGTGGTTGAGACATCGAAGCAGCTTAAAGGCGCTGTGGGAACGACGAATAGTACATCAGTTTTGCATTGATCTAGCCAGCGCATCATTGAAGCAGTCCAGTATAGCTGCGATGGGCAATGCGTGTACCACGCACCAGCGCGCCGCTCTACATCTCGTCACATCTTTCCATCCGCTCTCGTTATCCGCCAAAGCAAGCAACAGTCATTTTACATTCGCGTTTCATACTCAGCGGCGTCTCCTCGTATATCCAGACCACATCCATCCCAGTACAGACCGCTCCGAAGGCTTCCATGCAGCCACCTTCGTTTCTTCAAGCATTCCTATCCGCGACCATCCATCAGCGCATTCCAGACCAATCACCGATACCTACATCGCCACGAGCCTCGCCGACATCATCATGCTCAGCACCCTCGTCATCGTCCGCACCATCCGTTACGGCGAGCACCGGCGAGTCTGGGCGCGGCACGGGTGAGTAGCTTTTGAAATGATCAGCTATACCAGGAATGCCGGTTCGAGCGCGCTTATGATCGCCGCGACCTCCGAGCTCCGTAGCGCCTCTATCTTCTTGCCTCTTGCACGGGCCTTTGTACCCTCCGGCGTGGTGCGACGGTCTTCTCCAGCAGCCGTCTGTTCAACGAAGTAGTACGAGCGCTCATACCCGCCGCCATACCTGCCAGCCCCACTGCGGCCGTCACCACTCTGACTAAGGTCAGCGGTATTGCCTTTGGGATGAGCACGACTGCCCTTGTTCATCATCTCTTCTTCCTGAGCCGGGTCCCGTTCGAACGCGACTCTGCTCTGCGCCGCTTCTGATGCCTTCCGTTCGATGTCGCCTCGGTTGCGCCTAGCCTTCTCGATGGCCCGATCATGCCGACCCATCGCGCGCACCTCCTCAGCAAGCACCTCATGAGCCGCGCGCTTCACCGTGACGCGCTTCTTGGTTTTCTTCTTCGGTGCCTCGCGTTCAGGCTCGTAGTTTCAGCGAGAACTCAGCCACCACGTCTCCTTCAGCCCGTCGCCTTCGCCCTCGGGACCCGGACCGCAGAACGCCTTCTCCGCCTCGCCTTGGCAGTTCTGCAGATGACCGAAGAACGCCACACACCTTTTATCGTACGCCTGCTGCCACGCTGTTGGAGCGGCCCGGACACACACATCCTTCCCTTTGAGCTGGAGAATGTTGGTGAGCTCGATCTGTTCGACAGCGACTGCGATGTTCATCCTCGGCACGCGCACAAGCTTGTCGTCGTCGGCGCTGACGTCCAAGGCGTAGAGGTAGGGATCCTCGGCCTGATAGCTGTTGTCGATATGTCTAAAGTCCACATCTGCGTCCAGATACTCGACGCGGTCCTGGAAGATGGTGATGTAGACTGTGTTGTGCGCTCCAGCTTGGTACGTCAACTCGGTCATGATGCGCTTGCTTGCGAGGAGCAGTGGTGGCATGTTGTTGATCTTGATGTCACCGACACGCTGGAATCGATTGAGACTCCCGTCCTTGCGATCATGTTTGAGGACATGGTGATGTCCGGCCTTTTTGGCGATGATGATATGGTCGTAAATCATGTCGCGAATCTCCTGTGGCAATCTTTCGAGGGTGCCGAGCTGCTTGTCGGTGATCTCCGCCATAACTGAGTTGATGGTATGGTTGTTGGCGAAGGTGGTATCTTGGATGCAACACTGAAAGGTTGGAGGGGCTCGAAGCTGGAACGTGTGGAGTCGGTTGTTTGGGAGACCCTGCATGACTAGCGCGTCCGCCTTCGACCCAAACTCCACTTGGTCGTCTTATGGATCTTCTTCAACCTTTATCACATCAACTCCCACCTTTGCAACATTCACGACATCCGTACCCGCACATCAACACCACTCCTTTGTTCCAACATCCGCAACCACGAGTTGCATCTCCACAACAATCATGGCGACCGAACTTGGGCTATTCCAACCGCTTTCTCAGGAGTTACTAGACCAAATCTACGGCTATGTGCTTGACTCTGCTGAGATTGGGTGCCATGTTTCGTTCAAGAGTGCGCCTGGTCTGGTCATCCCATGGATGTCGTTCAACTCAGGCACCCTGAAGAACGTATCCAACCTCTCTATGGCGTCCAACACCATGCGCGACAGCTACGGCCAGCAACCGCATGATGTCGAGCGCATCCGCAAGAACCTCCATTTCACGCTCATTCTCGATCACAGCGTCGAAAGCTTCGACTGCATATTACCATTCAAACATCTGGACGCAGGCATACAGGCTTTGCCGTTCTACCATCTCCACATCTACGTCGAAATCCAGATCCCTAAGGGCCCTTTCCATGCCGATGTCTCCGAGCAGGAGAATGATGCCTTACTCAAGGAGAGGGCGAAGAAGTTTGCAACGGTCGTCTCGATGGTGGTAGAGACCTTCCCAGCCGCTCGCACAATCGATGTGGAGGTGAAGACACCCTCAAAGATGGCCCAGTTGACTGAGCTCGAGCGCGCGGCCTTTACACTCTGTGTCAACGCCACACTGATCGACAAGGCTCGCCAGCCAGCCAGTAGGCCACGCAAGGTCTACTTCCCAGGCTTTCCAGAGGTCACGGCGCCGGGGGCACAAGACCTTTCCCAAGTCGAGCAAGTCGAGAATAGTCGCGCCAGGCAGCTCCAAGAAAGTCTGCGTCCCAGATGAAGCCGGAGTGCTCACCCACAAAGGATCGAACCAACTCCTGGCCGGCTTGTTGTTGGATTACAAGCGCGCTGCAAAGTCTGGCCGCGTGGTTGCAGTCCTTCTTCCACTCACTCAAGGCAGCCTCGAGCGCAACGCCAAAGCCATTGAGCTGAGGGAGAACCAACAGATGGCGGCGAAGGCTGGCGGCTTCCTGGCGGATATTTGTGCGGACCTCGAGAAGCGGCAGGCGAGGAATCGCAGGAGGAAATTGGAGGAGAAGGATCGAAAGAGAGAAGCAGAGGAGAGGAAGAGGGAAAGGGAAGCGAAGGAGGAGAAGACCAGGGGTCTCTGTGCCCATGCGAGAGTCCTGCAGGAACGTGTGGCAAGGATCGAGAGCCGATTGCCGCAGGCACGAAACAAAGACACGGCTCTCAACTACAGCAAGCCGGATCTGGAGGGCGTGAACCCGAGCGGAACAATGACCGCCCACAACCAAGGCCGTCTGCTGTCGACGCCGGATCTGGAAGGCTTGGCTGCGACCAGGACAAAGACCACTCCCGCCCAAAACACTATGGCCTTGATGCAATCGAACACCAAGCACGACCGCCATGCACTGGGCGCTCGCCGGACCATCAAATGGCCCGACGGTGTGCACGCAAAGAATGGTCTAGGCGGCGGAAAGAGCTCCAATGGCAAGGACGGCGACTTGATCGACAGGGTCGCCGCGCGTCCTCCTCGAAGTCGGCACCAGGAGGGACAACGGCAAGCGTAAGGCAGAGACGTAAGATGGGAGCGACCAGCGTGTCAAGCGCTCGCGTACCGCAGACGACGCGTGCATCGAAGAGCACTTGGAGGGTATGGACGTTGATGAGAAGCACTTCGTGCAGGATGTCATGGCCCGACAACAGGCCTAGCCGGCGGACTGGGATGCGCATTCGGGCGAGCAGGGATTGGTGGTGGCCGAATTCGTTCAGACCAAGCTCCGAGGTCTCGAAAGTACGGCGGACGATTACACGGATATCGATGGTTTCGAGGCCGAGAGTACTGTAGAGGCCGCCTCGGGAGACGAGGACATGGTGGACGGAGACATCGAAAACGAAGACGAGTGAATTGAGTCCGAGTTGGCCGAGGGAGAAAAGATGGAGGCCGAGTTCACCGACCTCGAGCGCAAGCATGCCAAAGCCACGACAATCAAGCCATCGAAGCTCAAGCCCGCCGAGTCCAAATCCAAGCAGCCCGCCACAATTCCTCGCTACTTCGAGGGCCCCGGTCCGACGCTAGCCGAGGAGTGGCGCGAGAGGACCGCTGATCTCCCGTTCAACCTCGTCTACGGATGCAACCTGGGGCATTGGCGCACCATGTCGTCAGAGGAGGTACAGTTCTGGAGGGCCGCCTGGCGTCAAGACCATCCTGGAAATACTTTCTCGTGGAATGGAGAAGAGGAGAAGGCCAGGACATTGAGAGGGAGGTTGGCGGAGATGATGGGGTGGGAGGATGGAGGCGTGTGAGCAATGCTGATGGTGGGCGTGGAATGTTGAAGACAGGAGGGCGAGAACTATGGAATCACGCTGATGGGTACGACTGGCACGACGGGTTGAAAGCTGGCATGGGGTTTGATGATCATGATGTTCAGGAAAAGTGGGATGCTATGGCTGGAGAGATCATGCACTGCCAACTGCCTTCAGCCATGATAGCATAACGATTAAGAGCAGTGTTCCATAGCTTTGATACTATGCCCTGTCTTTATTATTTTTGCGAACTTCCCAAACAGGTCCCACAGAGCTACATGCTATGTCTTGCTTGCTTCCGCGTTCAGCTGCACGCATTCTCAGCTTTTCTAGAGACTCCAGGTACATATATTCGCCGATGGTCGCTCACTTGCTGCTACTTCTCAACCTCATACCTCCAGATGAATCTATACTCTACTTGAAAATATTATAATGAAGTCCTGCTTCTACTCCTGCCCCATACGGTGGAGTGGGGTCGACATTCACTTGCGCCAAGGCGAAGCTGCGGGTCCAAGCGCCCGCGCTCCTCCCTTTGTTTTGATCCCTCCCCGCTCTCATACTCTCCACATTACACACACACACACACACACACCACGTTCCTCGATCACTCTCGGATACCGCGACATCTCATCACGGCGAAACATTCCACCAACTCACCCATCACAGCAAGTCGTCATAGTCAAGCGCACCAGCAGCTCTTTACCCGCAAACATCAATGTTGCCATCACGCGCGACCACTATGAATACCACGGCCCCCACCACGCCTGAACACAACAACATCAGCGCAGCAGTCACGGCGCCCAACATGGACATCCCGGCGACCACTAACGGCAACCCGACATCCACCAACGACAATGAGGCGACCACCAAAGGCATCCCGGCGCTCGGTGCCCTTCAGCGCCTCCCGCAAGAGATGCGCGACGAGATCTACAGACTCTGCATCGTAAATGACCGCATCGCCGTTCGTCACGACCAGATCGGTGTGCAAATCATCCGCCACGCGCCTCTGGCCGCATGCTCCCGACAGCTCTACGACGAAGTGAATAAGGAAGCGGGCCGCCTAATCTATCACATCCCCCGTCACGAGGTCGTTGCCGTCCGGGACGAGATCAACAACTGCTACATCGCTCCGCCTGACGTCCTCGAGAACACCGTCAACACATGGCATGGCGTCACCAACGTTCTGGTCGAGATCATCGTTCCAATCTGTGAAGCACAACCATTCAGTGATGATGGCAGCCGCTCTCAGGTCTCGCTTCAACAAGAAAGGGTGGCTCTCGCCTACGCGTCATACTGGAGTCTGACGGAGCGCCCATTCCAGTGGTTGACGGACATGCTGTCGTTCCTTGACATCCAGAGGGCTGTGGTCAAGATCTCGGTTCCACATGAGATGTGGTGGAACTACCAGACGATCGACGAGCTCTTTGGAATCACCTACCAACACGAAAGTGTCTTTGATCGTGCGTCCTTCGGCGGCAACCAGCTGGTCAACGGAATCACCACTCTAGTTCCAGCCGAGGTAGTGGTGATCGAGGAGTCGCAGAAGAACATCGAGGCGTACCGCGGTCCGAGTCATCAGGATGGGGCGGTGTATCTGTAAGTCAATTGAAGCTCCATGATGTCGGAGCATATGCTAACCGCAATGTCCGTCCTGCCAGGCGAGACAAGCTCAAGGAGTTCCCGGTCGCTGAGGTGCTGGGTCAATGGCTGCCGCCGGAGAAGGCGGAGTTCTGGATGGGTGTGGTGAACGAGAAGGAGTCATGAGAGGACGAGTTTCGGCGGGAATGGACCGGGAGTAGGCAGAGAGGACCATAATTCAGGCTTGTGATGGCGGGAAACTTGCGCGGGCAAGCAGCGATGGGAGAGGCAGGTTGTGTATTGAGACCCCCAAGACATCGCAGGCGGACGCAGATGAGAACAGCTGAGGTGGTGATGGTTGAAATGAGTGAAAACAGACATTTTGTTGGTTGAAGCTATCTAAGAGCAAGAAAGAAGAGGAGCTAAATGAGCCCTCACGCCAAGACAAGCAGACAGAGTCACGTGCTTCAACTGTGATACATTGACACATTAGCAGTCACTTCGGCAACATGCTTTCAATGACATGCCGGGCAGCCGCGCTCTGCCAGTTTCATGTTTCTCCAAACTACCGTTCTTCCTTGTCTCATCCGTTCCATGGTTGACCCAGTCAGCTCGACTGTTGTGTGCAAAGTGCAGGAAATGGCGCCAGGGAGCCCAACATTGCTGCCAAAGAATTGCTGACGCGAGAACTGACATGTAGGGACCGCTCCTGGCATCTGCCCACACATGCCTTCTTGGTCCAACGTGGTCTTGCGAGTTGCTGGACTCCGGGAGTGCCGCCAAAGCCACATCCAGTGCAGTTGAGCTAGAGCTGATGATATTCATTGTATTGAAGAAGAAGTCTACTAGCTAAGGAAACAAAAGGAAGGCCTTTAAACCCGCAACGCTAAGTCATCTAGATCACACCCACCCCATCTCCACTCATCCAGTCTCTGACAATGACCACATCGCCGCAGTCAGAGTCTCGGAACCCTCACATATTAATAATCTTAGGACGCCACAATGCGGCTCTAAAATGCCTTGTGCTGTGCAACTGTGTCCTTCATGCCTGTCGTTCATGGAACCACAACATGGAGCCACAGACAAGTACTTTGTGATGCAGATGGGATTGTGATTTTACTGATCCGTCGCTGCTGCTCATTCCATGTGGCCAATTATCACATACATTGCCGGATCTGCCACTGTCTCCTGCTCTCTCCGGTTAAAGTGCCCGCCACTAGACGCGACTTCTCCTGCACACGCCCTACCACGACGTGAAGACGAATGTCACTACCAAATGAGACGGGCTGGGTCTCGCCCAGATGACTGGGCCCTGTCGCCTCCCTCATCGCTCTCAGCAGTGGCGCGCGGCGCGAACAACTCGGAGCGAGGATGTGCTGCCACACCGCGCGCCACCCATCTCGACACTGTCTCCCTAGCCGTCCGATCGAATACAACTCCGTTAGCAGACGACGCTTGCAACCTTCCCGAGAAGCATCTTCCACAAGAGCACGTGCAGACTTGAGAACCCATCCCCACCGCATAGGCGAGCGTATCTTCCTGTTCGAGGCCAGGCCGCAGCTACAGTGTTTGCTCTAGGACGCCTACATCCGCTTGGAGTGTGGTAAGGAGAGACAAGATCGGTGGGACATGGCAAACATTGCATAATCGCTCGTGGACTAATTGCTAATTTGTAACAAAGATGGAAGCGCGTCAGGCGTCATCCATGCCCAATGCGTAATGGCAGCTGTTCATGATCCTTCTATTGGTCTCGAAAGTACTCTTTTCCGGGAACATGAAGGCATATATTGGCTCTGGAACCGTTGATGCACAGTAACATTGCAACACCATCTATACGTCACAAGACCGACCTGTATAGACCCCCTTCCTCGACTACACGCTTTCGGGAGAATAGGATGGATGGATGTGGCTTTCGATAGCATTCTGAAGCCTTCTTGTCATCCGACAACGCACGTCGGATGATGAGGCGAGCCTGTTGAGAGCTACCTTGCGAAGTAGGCAGAGGTACGTCGACTGGAGGTCGTCCCTGTGTAGTATCGAGATGCGACCTTGCTAACGTACCAGACTGCGATGTGGCGTTGTGATTTGGCCACTACTCGCTCGACAACCAGCCAGACGCATCCGCGGGAATCGAGGATCAGACAAGGTGAGCATATACCGTTGGGAATGCAGGATGTGACATCTCCGGGGCCGCGTCAGGTTGGACGTCGGGTGAGGTCGAACTGGGAGAGCTGCTCTCGAAATCACATGTCATATGCTGACCTACGTTTCTCGAGCTTCCAGCCTTCCTTTCGAACCTCACCATAAAGAATCCGCCCGTTCAGAAACAAAGCCTTGTTTCGATAGCACCATAGCACCAAGCATCGCTTTAGATGACACGAACCAGCCAGGATACCCCGCCACTCACGCAGTAACTATACCAACGCAAGCCAGAACTGACCGCAATTGCACAGCAGTTCCAACATCGCTGCTATCAAAGAGTGACTTCTGCGCCTGCAGCCAGTTGTGCTCGAAGGCCCACACCAAGTTCTCCGCAGCGCAGCACAATGACACAACCCACCATGACCGTGGGCGAGCGGACCGAACTTCTGCAGTTCCTCAGCCGCGAGATGCCCATCGAGCTGGACGAGGACTACCTGGATCCGAAAGTCGTCGCCGTCATCGACCACAACCTACCCAGCGGGCTCGACTTCATCCATGGCATGTTCGCCTCCCTGCAGAAGCAGCCTGAAGAGTGCGCCATCTGCTACGACGACATGGTATCCCCTGCACACATTGCGAACGGCACAAACATCACCTTCTGCCCGAAGGACTGCCCGATTGGCAACAACAACTGCTGGCATCGATACCACAAGCGATGGATCCTGGCCGCCTACAAAGTGACGCAGAAGTCAGGCTACCACTATCCAACGGCTGATGAAGGAGAGCCAACCATGCACACTTGCCCGCTGGGATGTCAGTGGTTCATGTGGTCACGCGAGCTTGTCGACGCTGAGTTGGTGAAGGGCTGGATGTAGGAGCTCCAAAGAGGCGACTTCGACGGTGCACCAACTCAGATGATCAATATAATTCACGAGCAAGGGGCGATGCTGGCGTTTGAAGTGGCTTGCTTCGCCGCCTCAAGGTCGGAGCGGTGGAGAGAAGAGTTGGAGACGCCGTCGACCAAGCCTATCCTCGACATCACCGCTAACCACGGCTTCTTCCTAGGCCTGGACGAGTGGAAAACTCCAGCAGTCCAGGGGACCGGGCTGAGGTTCTGGGTCTGCCGCGACGCTCTGAACCTTCTGCAGAAGCTGTGGCCAGAGTTCTACGCCATGCAACAGAATCTTGAGATGGAAGGGTACTGGAAGCTTAAGTACGATGAAGACCAGGTGCGACAGTGGGACCAGGCGTATGGTGCGCTGCGGTGCGCTGGAAGCAAAGGCCTTGAGTGAGTTTGGGGTTCGTCGAGCAAATCAACGACTACAGACGGTGAACCCAGAGCGCGAAGCCTGATTGATTTGCGGTTACTGACATTCGCTATGGCTTCCAGCACAAGACTTCGAAGCAATATAAACGTACCGAAGCTACAAGAAGAGAAGAACGCAAGTGATAGTAGTTGGGTAATTACACAAGGAAGGGGATCTGGGACAGGATAGCGGATCAGTGTAGACGGAATGCAGAGCAAAAATCCAGCGTCGGACATGAAGAGCAGGCAGGGAGAGCGTGGCAGGTCTCGCGAGACAAATTTGATTTCCGAGATGACAATACATACATAGATCTTCGTCCTTCTGATAACTGCATTCTCCGTTCCGATAAACCACTTCCACCTCTTTCCTTTCATCACCCGTCCCGGGAGACTGCTAATGGAGGAGCAAGAATGCGTTCGAAAGATTGCTTGTGCATCTGCAGAGTAGCGCTGGCAATGCATGACACCGATGTTGTAGTCGCGGAGTTGGTATTGAACCGCGGCAGGACATCAACGTTCGCCACATGCTTGTCGCGCAATGCTCCATTCGGACGACTAGACCACGATCTTGGAGATTCCACGAAAGCGCAGCATGGCTAGAGGCTCAAGGGAAGCGCAGCATGACTAGGCTTTAATCCGCGGCATAGATTACGGCGGACGTTATAGTCTCGCTACATGATTACAAGAGCATCGTCCGGACTGTAGTCATCCGGCAGCTAGAAGTCCTCCAGCAGCTAGCAACCAGGAGCTCATTCTTTTGCGTGGAGAGCGCGCCTGCTTTACCATGCTGGATCCGCTGCAATGACACTGCGCCTGTGTTCTGCACCGCTATCAGCTTGTCGGTTGAGACCCTGAGCCCCCCCGGCCGGGGCAATGGTGGCGAGCATCCGAACGGCGATGTTGAACTCTTGCCGAAGTTGGCCATGGCAAGCAACCTTCTCAAACCTCGTGGACGGAGGTGACCGGCCTGAATGGCTGGCGGACGCTTGCCCGGTCCCCCGGGTCATCTCGATGGTGCGAGTAGATTGTAGGTCGTGCCGGTGGCAGCTGTTGTTAAACGACAGGTCTGGGCCAGAGATAGCCTGCTCAGCCGATTCGTCGGTGCACCCAGCGGAGAAGGAGGGAAGACATCTTATGTCATCCAGCTGTTGCCTGCAAGCCAAGTCCCCACTCTATGTCACCGCCCGTGCTAGAGCTGAATATAGGAAAGGGAGGTGATGCAGCACCATTGGTCTCGCACCGAGCATTCGACGGGTTCCCAGCTCAGGTCCCGCGACGCTGGGTTGAAGGATCAAACAATGAACATTGATCCAGACTCTCCGTCCCGCTGCAGCTGGTGGTTGGTCCTCTACGCAAGTTTGAAGTAGCATTGCAGCAACGAAGAGGGATCTTAACGGTGAGCCGAGAAGGAAGATATCTGCGATTGCAGGAAACAAATCGCCAGCACAGCAGCTTTTACTGGTGTAGTCTCCAGACGAGCCTGCGGTGCAATACCACACTCGGTCCGAGACGAGGAGCCGCAGGACACGCGCCAGCCTGATTTCTTGCTTAGGAAGCCACTAGGGATTGATTGGAGTTAAAGCATGGTCGCCTGGCATGCCGTCTGGAGTATCTGAACATTGTTCGCTTGTCGAAGGGCGAGATGTTACGGAAAACGTGGAACGCATTCTCCTTCGTCAATCTGGACAACTACCGCTCGCTCTTCAAAACCTTCCCTGTATATGTCGACAATCGATGGCTATACAACGCCCTCTCCGTTGACGGTGTCAGCTGCATGGCAACGTCTCCAACGTCCGCAGCTACGATCGTTTGCAGCATAGTTTCAGCTCTTAGATACACGTGTGAAGTGAGGTCTGACGGAAGCTGCCTGAGGATGGTGGATGTTGACACTTCCCTCTTCACGTGCAAACGCGCTAGTGAAACGTTAATCGTTTCGAGGTGCCTGCCTAATCCGTCCTTTGGTTTTCCACCTTCCAACCTTGACATCTGCACTGACAAACGCCACTCTGTGTACTGGTCGGCGATCCGCACCGGGACATGACAAGCGATATGCTGATCGATGGCGTACGTTCTGAATGCAATGAGAAGCTGAAATCTGTAGCAGATACCCAATACCACCTGCGAATCCAAGGTCCAAGGTGGAATTCTAAGCAACATCACTTCCTACCACTTCTCGGGCCGTATCGACCCAACTCACGCCATGCCTCGCACAATCAACACCCACATTCCACCACCAAGGGATGGCCGCAAGCCGACCGTCAATCTCCCCGCGCGTGCCGTCTCGATCTACCGCAAGGAGAGGCGCCTCCGTAAGGCTGAGCGCAGCATGAAAGCCCGCGAGACTGCAGCTGGTCCGGCAGCCAATAACCGCGCGCTGACGATTCGCGGTCACGATGCAGCGCTCCAGGCGATCGAGGCACGTGAGCGTGCGGCGAACTGGCGTGCATCTGCGCTGGGACATCGGGAGAGGGCGATGCAGATCATTGAGGCCGATGATCTGGAGTGGGAGAATGTGGAGGACGACAACGAGGTCGAAGGCGAGGATCAGGTCCGCGAGGGAGGCGAAGCCGACACCAACCAGCAGCAACCACCTACCACGGACGTCGCAGCTCGTGTTCCTGTCGGTCCCGTCGACTACTTCACGGCCGAGCCGACCAGGATCCTTCCCACCGCTCCTCTCTTGACCGCCGACCAGATCCAGTACGACCACCACAAGTACCTTCACGACCAGTTTGGCGTGGCACGCCCAAAGACGTACATCACGACCGTGGAGGAGGAGGTGGAGGAAAAGCCGTTCCCGACCCAGCCGACCGCAGGTGAGAATGAGGGCTCGTGAACGAGGGAGGGCTAGGAGATGACAGTCGAGGCAGTGTGAGTGTGGAGAGGAGATGGTTGGTGATGCGGTGTGAGCGCGGAGAGTCCGGAAGGCGGCATGATTCAGAAGTGCAGCAAGATGTACAAAGCATTTGCTCAGCAGCGCCTGCCCGCTGAGATGGAAAATTGCAGGCATAGGATGACTATGAAATGGGCTGAGCTGTGAGGGTTGCAATTGATTCTAGTATGAGCTCATATCAATGCATCAAAGGCAGTTGCTCAAAACCAACTGTATTTCTGTCTTTGTTCGATTGAAATTGTCCCACATTGTTATGCAGTCTCAGTCGGTATGCAAGTTGTGATTGCCGCTACTGTCTTGGGTTAGATGCTATATTACCGCTATCCATCGCATGAACAAAACGATAAATAGTTCATGTCTCCTTCCAGTATAGCTCATCTGAGAGCCATTTGCTCACAGCAGGCGTGTCTTTCGAGTTCTAGGTTCTGCATGTCCTACTATGTCTCTCCTTCGTATAATTACTCCAAAAACATGCGTATATCCGTTTCTACTTGCCTAGGGGCCACCGAGACTGAAAGTCGCCGGAGGCGAGGTGTCGGGATGGCGTTCGTCTTCACGTGCAAACGCGCTAGTCAAATTTCAATTCTTTTGGGCTTAGCGCCTTGTTTACCCTTTGTATCTTACCAGGCAATTTCATATTCTTCATACAAATTCCCACAACCGCCACTCCTTGCACTTGTCGTCCCTACAGCATACAGCAGGCTATGAGGTACGTTCATCGATGCTACGCGCGCTGAATGTATCGGGAAAGCTAACATTGGAAGCAGAAGCAAGAAACTGCACGCCTACCACAGGTGAAAACTCCGAAAATCACCTGAAGTACCCACGCAACCTTCACGACAGCCGACTACACCATGGCACGCGCATTCAAGTCCCGCCGCAACGCCCCCAAGAACCTTGAAGGCCAGCGTATCGACCTTGGTGAGCGTGAGAGCCGGGTTGTCGAGAGGGACCGTCGCCATGAGGCCGAAGAGGCCCAACTCTAGCAAGAGGAACAAGCGGCTGCGCGTGCTGCTGACCGAGATGGACGTGTGCTCTCTGTGCGCGGCATGAACGCCATGGCGCGTGCAGTGACGGCTCGTGAGAACGCTGGCAGCTTTCGGATGGCCGCGATTCTGGCGCGTAGGGCCGCTCTTACGGTTCATAAGGCGGATCACGAGGGCGAAGAGAGCCTCACGGAGGAGGAGAAGAAGATGGTGCAGCAGCAGGCTGACCGGGAGACCACGGAAGCTGCTGCTAAGGCTGCCAGGAGCATGCAGCCGAGTATCTCGAATCCTCCCGCCCTGACCAACTCGCGTACAACCACCAACAACGCCGCCACTCGCCCAGCGATCGATCCGCGCAACCCCTATAACGATCTTTACATGGCCAACAGACTCGAGAGGGAGGACAGATCAACGGGGACGTCACGAACAACAGCACAACAACCTCCTCTGCCCATCCGCGACCCCGGCACCATGCAGATGCCGCCCCCTGACCGCCCCCTCCGCCCGACTCCCACCGCCGCTGATCCCAACTACTTCACACCCTCCATCATGCGCAATGGCTCAGCCATGGTGCCACCACCACCTCCCACCCATCCGACACGACGGCGCCAGCAGCTCGTCGGGACTCGATCATGGCGCCCTCGCCAGCTCATGCCCCCGCAAATTTCCCACCACCGTCAGTTCCCGCCGCACCGTCACCAGTCTTCAAGGCGGGACAGGTGCAGTTCGCGATCAGCAAAGAGATCCGTGATCGGAAAGGCTACCTCCCTGCGCAGACTCGTCGGATCGAAGACGGACTGGATGATGGGAACGGAAAGAACAGTGGGGCGACATGTTGTTCCCTGATCAGATGGGGAAAGAGGAGCGCAAGGAGGGGGAGCGCCGAGTAAAGGACGATCAGCGCCGACAGAGGCAGGAGGATGAGGAGGAGGAGGCGCAGCGCCCGAAAAAGCGTGCGAGGAGGTCGGGATGATGAGGAGTGATTGTGACGGATACGGATGAGTATGATTGGATCAGGAATGGGTACTTGAGCGTGGACTGGGGTATGAACATGAGCATGGGAGCTGGATGCACGAGCGAGACATCCAAAAGGGTCATCATACGGTGAAACATTGTGAGGATTGGCTGTGCTTTGGAAATATTCAAGTTGTTGAGAGCGTTGTATTCGGCCTGCGACTCTTGTAAAGATAGCAATGCGATACAACTGACCTTTAACCTCCTTGTTCTCAATGTCTCTAATCATTCTTCCTCGCATCAGTGCATCTTCCTCCGCTTCTTGCGAGGTCAACATCGAAAAGGTCTTGCCTTCTCATTTGTTATGGCTGTCTGCCAAAGGCAGCAGAACCCTCCCCTTTCCAATCCCTGCGGCCTCCTCAATGTCATTCCACATCAAAATGTCTCCAGAATTGCTTGATCTGAAGAGCATGGTACTCACTGCTCTGCAGATGCCTCGTCTGAATTTGAAAGGTACCACCGTGTAGGTGGCAGTATGATTTCTTCATCTTTTCCGTCCGTACTGCTACCGAACACCTGCCCGCGTGTCCGACTGCGAGGCGATCTGTACCGTCCCTCGCTTGAGCGGGTGTATCCAGAATTTTGGGCAGCCAGAGCGAAAGTGCCTAGTATGGCGAGCCCAGGTTGGTCTTCTCAGGTGCAGGAGGCGACGGGCAGCCTAGGACAGTGAGGAAGGAACTTCTGGTGGTACTCGTAAGCTGGATGTTGATGGCTGAGGAGACACCCGGTGAGTTGCCATGGACAAGCCTTTGCCCTTGGAGCTGGTCCTCTGTGTTCGATGTTGTTGCGTTGCGTGAGGCACGCTCTTGTAGCGAGATCAGACAACACCCCACCAAAGATAAGGCTTCTGTCTGCCTTCCGGGATCTCTTCCAGCCAGTCGTCATGCTGGGATTGGGAGTAAGCTTCTCAGACGATGGTGCTGCCGCCACAAACACCCTTCACCTACCGTCTTGGGCGGCGCTCCGTTGTGAGGCGGTCGTACCAGAACGCACCTGTGTTAGCCGCGGTGCCAGCGACTCAATACCTTCCCTCCTGATGGCTCAATCGGCGTCTCGTACGAGGTGAGCGTGCGCTCTTCATGTTTATGTTCTTCCTCCTTGCTCTCGCCGCACCAAGTTATTCAAAAGCCGTCACAGTTGGTACATGGGCCGGGCAAGGACAATTTTACGAATCCCAAGAGATTAATAGGATGTCCGTCGCGCTTCGTAGGGATCGTGCTCATATCCTGGACTCCCCCTTTTCGTCAATGGCGGGCATGGACAAACGACGTGGAGCTCCGCACGCGCTCGGGGTCGCAAACAACTGAGCAACAACGCGTCAAAGCACTCAAATACGGGACTGAGGAGGCGGCGACGACGAGTTGAGCAGCACAGAGATGACGAAGACGATGGAAATGATGAAGACATTGATGGCGGAGCTATATAATCTCGAGCGGATGTAGGCACCCTCACCTGCTACTACTCATCAAAAAGGAGTAGCAGTGTGATGAGGTCGCCACAGTGTTCCAGCACATTCATCAATATTGACATCACCAGGGCTTGCCAACCTGGTGAACCTGCCTGCAAGCCGTAGAGTGTCCGGGGTGCTATCGAAGCTCAAGTTCAGGTTGGATGTCGGTGGTAGTCATTGGAGAAGAAAGGAAGAGGAAGTAGAGTGGGAGAGGAGCTAGGTTTTGTGCTTGCTAGCGCCATCATGGTGAGGGTGGAGGAGTAATGAGGGCAGTGCATGGGCCAGTTTGGTCGAGCGACGACGTCAAAGGAAGTTGGGAGAAGGTCAGATGCTGATGGTGGAATGAAGATGGGCTCTCAAGCAACAACAAGTTTCGTTCCGTCGACGTTGTGGCTTGCTCCTGCAATGAACAAGTCCATCTCAGTCGTCTAGCCCATTGACACCATCCGGCTACCAGCCATCCATAGCCGTGGTGTCCTCTTCGACGTTCAGAACCTTCTCCTCTGACCGCCGGCGTGAGTCCAGGCAAACAACCGCCATGGAAGACCAGCTAGATCGCCACTCCCGGGAGTTCAGCCTCCTGCGCCAGAAGAAGGAAGCCTGTCCATCGACACACACCGGATTAGCACCGTCGGCATGCTCTTCGTTTCCACGATTTCGCTTTCCATCCTGCCCGTGCCATTACTGAAGACAGCCCAGCGTTTGACCGCCGTCAACCCACACAGATCTCCAGCGACCAAATCCTTCCCGACCTCGCGTTGCCGAGCTCGACTCAGCAGGAGCCGGACGGTCTATTGATTCCAGCCGGCTCGAAGTAAAAGCATTGGAGCAAATGCGGACAGTAACAGCCTGGCTGTGCACCCGCATCTCGCCATGCGCATCTCCAGCGCGGATCAACCGTCTCGCAGTCTGGCCAGAGGTCTCGTCTTTACTTTTGGACTTTGAGCTTGACAAAAAGCTGCGAACATGAAACATTAAAGAACAGCAAAAAACAACAGTCACCCACGGATAAGTATTAGGATCAGTTCAAGCTTGGGACAAGCTCTTACGGCATGCCGGAGTCTCAGACCTCGTCATCCAGTGCAGTGTTCGAGCGCCCTGCTATACCACGCAGCGAATCAGCCTGAGGTTGAGAGATCACGCGGACCGCAAACGTCATGTCACGGCCGGTTCCGCTCCCTCAGCCGGTATTTGGGCCTGGAAGTTTCAACAGAGTGCGGCACAATATATGTCTGGTGCTTTGCGACGGCGTCGTGTCATACGCCTTCCACCATCATCCACCATCAGCAATCCAGCCCCGAGCGCCCAGAGACTCCCATATGACTCTGCTCTTGCTCGGAGCTACATACTGCCACAATGTGCTGACAGATTACCACATTCGAGGCGACGTATACTAGGCTTTTCTTCTCGGATCCTCAGCGGTGGCTGTAACTGAGCTCTGTGAAAGCAGTACCCTTTGCGTCGATGCCATACCGCCGCAGACCATGGCCTTGATCTCCAGCTTACCATTGAGCCATAGTTCGTAGTCCCCGGAGCGGTATCTCCACCTCTATCAATGGTTACCTGCCTGCCAAGCATAGCTGGACGGAGAGGTGAGGTCTGGGGCAGAGGCCGATGTCGGGTGGAGAACATTCACTTGACAGAGTTTTGGCCCCAACACCAACCACCGATCTGGGCTCCGCCAATGATTTGTCCGAAATGCTGCGCATGCTTACCCCCGCGACATGCTTACCAACCAAAGCTGAGAGAGCGTTATACGAAAGTGTTCAAGAGCTTGCGAGCTCCAGGCAACCAAACAATAACAGGACACTGCCCCCAAGACGAGTCGAAAGGACGAACTCTTCGCACACTACATTAACCCTGGCGAGAGCATCTAAGCACTCCCGCCATTATGTCGATCTCAGCCTGCTGCGTCAAAGGTTTCGAATGGGATGGCACGCCTGAGGGCAGGATCATCGCTTATCCAACCGCCAGCAACCAAGCGTATGTCGCCGGCTCGAATGACAACGCCGCAGTGATGCTCATCCCGGACCTTTTCGGCTGGAGGTACCCCAACATCCGCCTGCTGGCCGATCATCTCGCTCGAGAAGTGGAGGCGACGGTATATGTGCCCGACTTGTACGTCCAGCTCATTTCATTCCATGCCCAGCTGCGCCGGACCAACTGCTGACTGCTCTCCAGCTTCAACGGCGAGACCCTCAACTATGACGCCCTAGAGCGCACAGCGTTCGACGAAATCGACCTCCACGGCTTCGTCTCTCGCCACTCCCGCGAGATCCGCGAGCCCGAGATCCTGGCCTGCGCCCGCAAGCTTCGCGCCGAATACAGCAAATTCGGCGCCATCGGGTACTGCTACGGCGGCTGGGCCGTCTTCCGTCTCGCCGCTGCGGAGCACAAAGAGCTGGTCGACTGCGTGATTGCTGGACATCCCAGTTTGCTGACCAAAGACGACATTGACCATGCTGCGGCGCCAGTGCAGATCCAGGCGCCCGAGATCGATGCGGCGTACACTGCAGAGTTGAAAGAGCACACTTTCAAGACGTTGCAGGCAAATGGGGTTATGTTCGACTACCAGTATTTCCCGGGTGTGGAGCATGCGTGTTTGACACGGGGCTCGCCGAAGATCGAGAGGGAGAGAGATGCCATGGCGAGAGGCAAGAATGCGGCGGTCGCTTGGTTCAGGCAGTTCCTGAAGGCGGAGTGAGTCGGGTATCTCCACGTGGGCTGGCGGATGGTCCTTTGTACGATCTTCTGCCAGTCGGAACGGGATTGTGTTGCGTTGGTCTTGGAAACAAAGGTATGGCAAACATTGCGCCTCGCTGAGAGGTCGTCTACTGCATCCAGGTTGCAGGATTCTTATACTGTCGATGTCAACACACGCTCGTATTACTCGCGATTCTCGATTGTATACTTCAACAGAGCACGTTACGGACCTTCTGATTCCGCGCTATATTGCTCGCGAGGAGCTGTGCAGCAGCGTTTTCGCACGCAGTCGAGATTCGAGCACGTGATAATGCGCTAGTAAGTGAATCGCGTTCGGCCAACCGAGCCACAACCCACCGTCCAAACTCGGACTTCTATACATTCCACCAAACCTGCCACTCCCTATAGATCACGCCCTGTACCCGGTCGCACGAGCACTCCGACAGAAGCAGACACACCGCGTCGTCCTCATCTCAACATCAAGACTCGTGAGTAATCGCTACTCAGAACAAGCGCATGCAAATACCACCTGAATTTCTCGCTGACAAGTCGCCTGACAGCCCACTTCGACAACAACCACCATGTCCAACAAGACTCTCTTCACCGGCACCCAATCCGAACAAAACACCAAAGCCGCAGACGAGCTCCTCGCAATCACGACAAGCTTGCAGAACATGACCCTCAAGGAGAAGGACGCAAGGCTCTCAGGTCCGATCGCACCCGCCGACGCCACCTCCCTCGCCTCAATCAACGACTTGTTGCAGGCAGAGAGTGTCGACATCAGCAAGCGTGAAGAAGCCATCGAGAGCCAGGAGCAAGCTGTGAGCGAGCGCGGGAAGGAGCTCGACGAGCGGGAGAAGGAACTGATCAAGCGCGAGCTGGACTTCATCGAGCGGGAAGAGGACCCTGTGAAGTACTTATCATGTGGAGCCTCTCCCAAGAAGGCTGCAAAGACATCCTGCTGGGCCTGCGAGCCGGAGTCGCGAGCTTCGCTCTGGATCTGCTGTACATGACGGAGGGTGACCTTCCGGGCTACAAAGAGACGGTGGCTGCCAACGTCAAAGAGATGCGCCAGTACGCCGCTTTCAAAGACGTGATCGACGAAGCTGTGGAGGACCGCGAGGGAGGCGTGAACATTGCTGAGGTCAAGAGTGAAGCTCAGAAGCTCAAGGTCCGTAAGCTTAGGGAGGATTGTCGCAAGTGCGGGGGGACGAAGAAGGTGATTTCGTATTACAAGGCCAAAAGGCTTGCCCCTGTCTCCAACAGCAAAGCTTTACTGGCGCAGAGGGGGGTCGCTCAGAGCGGGACGGAGACTCTGAGATGGGGTGACGGGTGGCGAGGCGGTCTAGAGACCTGGTGGCAGGGCCAATGTGCAGGGAACGACGCTTGACAAAGACATGGTTCTGGGACGAACAGACAAAGGGCACGTTTGCTGGAACCATCCCAGGAGAATGCATTTTCATGCCATCGTGCAGTGGAGATCAGGAGGGCGGGCAGGACCTGGCTGCTGAGGAGGTTCAGGAAGGATGAGCTTCTCCTGGATCGAAAAGGGGGCACGTCGATGGTTGTGGGCATGAGAGGCGATTGTCGAGCAAGAGAAGCTTGGTGTCAAGACTAGTTGGTCCTGCGAAGATGTGGGGTGGAAGAAGGCAGCGGGTAAGCAGAGACATGGTGGCAAGGTGAGCTTCTCGAAAAATCGATGAGGCGGCATGAGAATGGTTGTAAGCACGTCAGGTTACCTCGAAGTAGGAGAAGCGTACGTGTTCTTCTCCAATACCAATGCAAGGTTCTACATCACAAGGTCTTACCCCATGCTGTACTGTGCTTCCCCATGTCTCACTGGCATGGCCTTCTTTGCGCTTCGAGACCTTCCCAGTCTGCTACGATCTCATCTGCAATGTCTCAGCAAATGGATCTAAGCGTAGTATGCAGTGCATGACGTTGTCGAGACGAAGGGATGCAGCAACGACAAACAAAGGAACTGCTTGCTTGGGTTTGCTTTGTCCTGGGGTATGGTCTCTTGACATCGACGTCCATTTCTAGGGCACTGTCTCCCTTTAACTGGAACGAATGTTATACTCTTCCTCGTGCACGAATATCATATCCAACGATACAGCCCACCATCCGCACGGTCAGCCAAACGAACACGACGAAGTCGCTTTCGATGCGCAGGAACACAAGGGTGGCGAGGGTGCGGCTGACGGTCAGTCGAGCGCGGATCACGCTGAAGACGAAGACAACGACGTGGCCTTGCCCTTGTCGTCCTTTGAAGCGTTCGACATGATCCCAGAAGCTTGGCGCGCCGTGGTCGCCACGTACATGATGTACTCTGTGATCCGTGCGTTCGTTAGAGGTATCATGCAGTTCGAGGGACCCGATATTGGGTGGTACGATCAGCGCAATCCAGAAGGGGAGTGCGGCGGAGAGGATTCAGGCAGTCAGAGAGGAGATGGAGAGCAGGATGTTGAGGGAGGGCAGAATGATGGGAGCAGTCAGGAGGAGGGAGGGTTGCGTGATGGCGAGGTGGGTGCTGAGAGCAACCAGGACGATGAAAGCAGTCAACGTGGCGAGATCGGGCGTGGCGGACGCGAAAACATCGACAACGGCGACCACATCAACAACGAAAGTCGCCAGGGGACAGCAGCACATCAGGGGGAGAGCTCATCCTCCCTCGCTCAAACTCACAGCCAGGACGATGACGGTTCAAGCCATCAGCAGTCTCCAAGCGGCTCAAACACCACCAATTCCATCACCGAACTCCCAAGGTGGCTGCCCATCGACTGTATGGAGAAGTTCGGCCCTGACGCTCAGTACACCGTGATGACTACCTCCGGTGAGCAGTTCACATTCAAAGGCACCGGCGGCTTCATCCCACCATCTGCGGAATATCCAGACCTGAGTGCTCTGTCCGATAACCCAATACCTCAGGACCCTCTGCAGGCTCGGCTTCAGGCGGCCTCGGATGCGAATAATGCTCGGCTGGAATTAGAGGACCAGGCAGCTCAGGCGCCAGAACCAAACTCGCGCAGAGCGCGTCGTCGCCGGCTCGTGGCCATACTGGCGCATGTCATGGATGAGTACGAGGTCTTTGTGAGAGGAGGGTGAGCTGCGTGTTTCTGCACATCCCACCAAAGACTTGGCTTGGGATGATGAGTTGATCAAGGCGGAAGTCACGGGGCATGTTGCGTGTGGTACGATGTTTGATGGCAAAGTTTTGTGCGGGCATACAAGAGGTCTCTGGATGACATGAACGGATGGAAGAGACACGCCGACGACGGCTCTACCGTCGGCGGCTGTACCTGTGTACCTTAATCTTCTCCAGGACTGAACCATTCCTGCAATCACGCCTTGCTTTGGCTTCTCTTTCTTGCATTTTTGCTTTCCCGCTTTCCCATCGACGGCATAAGTCGGAGCAAGTCCAGCTCTACGTGAAAATGACCCCCCTAATGCTGCTCTTTCCAATGCTTGCGTTGGCGACGAAAGGCTGCTGATGCTTCTGTTCGGGAAGCTGATGGACGTGATGACCGTCCTTTGCCCGGACTTCATTGCAATGGTTGTGGTAGTGTCCTCTACGCAAAGCGCTCCGTCATTAGTCCATTGCATGGCCACTGGGGTGCTATATAACCATTCCATACTTCGATCCACGACCATCTAAGCATCTTCCGTCGTCTACAGACTTGAAGGTCCGGACGGGTGTACGTAAACACAACACCGACACTGCAACTCACATTATTGTTTTGGAATCACCTCATTGTCCTTTGGCTCAACCTCACGAAGCATCGGCCTTATCCAAGGCTGGAGTACTCTTCTCGTCATCAAACAACACACTTAGCTAGTTCTCTAATGGTCGGTTTTCCGTAATCAACATACCTACAGGCCAAGCGATCGTCGACCCCCACTTATAAGCAAAACGGCGCTGCCGGTCGGCGTCAGTGGCTACGACATGGACAGGATTGAGAGGCCGACCGCCGAGCAAGTCGCCGCGTATGGGAGCCAACGACGAGCCGCTCCTCCTGCTGATACCTCCTCCTGCGATGTCAACGACGCTGGATCCATGCTGAGCTACCTCGACTCGCTCTCTGTTACTGTTCAATCCAGGGATTTCAACCATCTTCAGCTCGTCATCGACGAGTTGAGAGCCATGATCAAAAAGCTGGAGATCCAGAAGCATGAGCAACAAGTCAAGATCGAGCAGGCCGCAGCAGCTGCTGAAATCGCTGAAGCAAAACTACTCAGCCTACAGGCCACTGTTGCTCGATGGACATCCTGACAACCACGATGCAGGGGACCACGACCGGAACGGCGGCGGCGTCGACGACAATGATGGCGAAGGAGCAGTTGGTGTGCAAATAGCGCCTCCACCAGTAGGCAATCCAACAGCAGCTGCAACCATCGTCCCAGCCAACGCCATCTTCCTTGGCTAGCTCGATCGCTTAAATGTCCGCCCCCACAACCACTCGTTCACGCCCACTCAGCTCGCCGAGATCGTGCAGTATTCTGTCAAGAACAAGCTGGATGAGGCTGCTGACAAAGGAATGGATCTTGGGCCGTCAGGGAAGAAGCTGAGGGAGGTTAGCTTGCGGTTCGAGTAGGCTATTCGTTGGCCCAGCATGAGATGTGGTTTGGATGTGTGGGTGTTCTCGGAGTCTCGATCGAGCCGGGATCGCATCGTTCGCACTTGCGTTGGTCGTATTGGCGGTGCTTGTGTAGCATGATTGCTTGTTCGAGATGAACAACGAATGCAACGCTGCCGTTGTTGGTACATTCCCTAGCAATTCTTTGTTGAGACCATAGCAATCAAACATTGATTCAATCATCTCCCCGTTTACACGTTCGGCCTCGGACTCCGTGTATCTCGCGTTTGGAAACGCATCGTGCATCCCATACCCAACTTTATAATACGTGTTCTCAGCATCTTTTTCATACGGTAGCATTTGCACTTGACTCTCGAAAGACTCTTTTGCCGAGCGGAGGAAGTGGCCGTACGTATGAGGTGAGGTCTCGTCGGTCCAAATGGCCCACAACGCACGAATTCCCACCGTTTGACCAAATCTTTGTTTTCTTCACCAGCCATAATACACGTTTTCACGCATATTATACCGACGCAGAAACCACTTACTATACATAGCCATCCACGAAGTCCCACGAGGTATATTGCCCATGATTCAGGCCGTGACTAGCCCTTTTAACCACGGCACAGATCCCACCATGTCCGACAAGAGCGAAAGCCCCCATCTCGATGCCAACGAACAGCGGTTGCTCGCCGCTGCTGCTGAGGCGTAAGCCGACGATTTGACTGGCATCATCGAATACCTCGACTTATCACCGGCAGTCGCAACCCTTGTCGCATACATCCCGCGGCTGCAACAAGTCATCGACCAGATCAGGGCCATCACCGAGCATCTGCGGGCCGAGGAACATCTGATAACGGCCAACGAAGCCGCAAGCCAGGCCAAGATTCGCGAGCTAAAAGATCTAGTCGATCAGCTTCAGGGTACAGAGGATCCGGTAGAACAGCAGGAGACCCAGACCGGCGACCCTCCCATGCCCGCTCCAGGTTCGGGTGGCACGCCCGCAGCGTACCAGGCGTCAGAGCATCGTGAGACGATGAGAGCTCATCTCACGGGAAGGTTCTACAAGGAGCGAATCATCCGTGTAATCAGAGGCGCGCTGGACGGTCTGACGCACGAGGAGGCGTTGGAGAAGGTAGTGGAGCTCATCAAGTATGAGCAGCAGTATGAGGAGCGGGAGGAGACGCCGCGGATATTGGTGAAGGTAGACTTGGTGTTTGCTGAGCCTGACCACCGATGCAGAAAGGACTGAGGCGGGAAGTGGGCTTCAGTGTTGGCTGCACGATGGGGAGGGGGCAGGAGCAAGGCTGGGTGTGGAGTGGGAGGGAGTTGCCATTGTCATCACTGGGTTGAACTGAGTGAAAACAGACATTGTGTTGATTGAAGCTATGTAAGAGCAAGAAAGAGGAGCTATATGAGCCCTCACGCCAAGACAAGCAGACAGAGTCACGTGCTTCAACTCATTGTCGACGAAAATCAACCGCACGAGCAGTGTAGTCGAGGTAGGCGTATGGTCAGAGCACGACTATGGCCGCTCGTCTCAGGCGACGGTTCATCTCCGCTCGGCGGCGAATGTGTGCTTCCAGTTCTTAAAAACAAACACCATCTGCTACCGCAAAGACCATGTTGTTTGCCCCATCTCCGCGTCCCCGCTGACGTTCCAATGGCACAAATTCATGCTGGTTTCACGCCGCTATTCGCAAACATTCAAACCCGTAGCCATAATCTCTCATTGATCCATCGTCTATTATAACGGTATCGCCAATACATGAAGTGAGGTCCCGTCAAATCTCGTCGCCCACGACGCGCAAATTCGATACTTTAGCTTTCTTACCTTCTTCACCTACCTATCACTACCGAGCATCTCCGTATAGAAACCACAGCAACCTGCGCAAGCCGTATACCGCATACAAAGTACAATCAAGACACCGTTCTACCGTAAGCTCTCAATCCCGCTGCAAAGCAATATGCCACTCTAACAACCCGACAGATCACCATGTCAGACACGACTACCAGTACCGAAGAAATCGGCATCAACCAGCAGCCCAACCTGTCAAACATTACCGCAACCACCGGCGAGCCCGACAACCCGCTCTTCACCGCCACAGAGAACCACGACAATCGCATCCTGTCCGGCGAGATCACCGAAACCGACGTCACGAACGAAGAAGTCCACGATGATGAGAGCGCTGTCCGCCTACAAGTCCCAAAGCTCGCCCCACTCACTTTAGATGATTTGAAGCGTGAGGTGGCCAGTTTCGTCGAGCGCGCGATGAAGAGGGAGAGGGAGCTGGGCTGGAACCGCACGCTCAAGGAGGTTGTTATTGTCTTCGAGTAGCAGCAGCTGCTTAGAGATGTCGGCAGGGAGTGCTTGGGCATGAGTGGTTCCCTGACTCCGACGGCTGGATGGCGCAAGCATTGCCCAGTCATCTACGCAGTTAGAGACAGTTTGCTGTAGCTAGGAACTGGATCGTTTGCTTGTGCTGAAATGCTTGTTCTCGTTGATGTCGTCGGATGCATCAATGAAATCAGGATGCTTCCCACACATGAACTTGACTACATATTTCTCGCCCACTGCCATCGTTCGACCTCCTCTCTGGCATGTACGATTCTCGCAGTATTCGTATATCCCGACACCGGTTTCTGGGCATGTGATTATACGCTAGTCCTCGCCTAGTATACTTAGCGCGTGCATCAATGTATTGACAGCCAACCTCACATTGCGACATTTTATCCACAACATTCTCGCCCACTTTCGACTTCTGTAATCACCATCAACAACTCTCCATACCAGTATAGCCACCGACATCACCATCAAGATGTCTTCCGTCGGCACACCCCCAGACCGCGACAACAGCCTGAACGCCCGCGAAACCTCAATCATGCGTCTGGAGGCAGCCCTCAGGCAATCGATGGGACAGCACGAGCGCGAAAAGGCTCAGTTGCGGGAGTGGCAACAACAGCAACGCCAGGGCATTGTCGATGACCGACAACAGCTGGATCACGAGCGCGGGCAGCTCGACACCGACCGCAAGGCGTTCGATGCTGATCGCGACAGCATCGTGCGGGAGCTTCTGTTGATCAAGGTGCGCTACTTCATAGCTGGCATCGGACCTTTGATCAGGAACTATATCCGTAGCCATGCAACTCTCGCGGAGGCCGACAACATCAGCATCGTCGAGAGCATCATGCGATCGATCTTCGGCAGCGAAAACCAGGCTACGGTCGGTCAGACTTTGGATGCTGCTGTTGCGGCTGGAGAGGAGTTCATGGCTGGCACTACGGCTGGTGGAGAGAATGAGGAGACGGAAGCCGCTTCTCCTGCGCAGCAACTGGCTGCAGAGGCCCACATCACCACCGACAACAACATGACACCTGCTGCGGAGAAGGGATCTACCCAGACCATGCAGGCTCAGCCGAGTGAGAATGAGGTGGCCGGTGCGACTTCTCCATCGCAGCAACCGCCGTCTCAGGAGTACATCATCAAGGACTACAGCATGGCAGCTGTTGTGGAGGCCGAGAAAGCAGATTCTGATGCCCCTGGAGAGCAGCTCGACGAGGCTGGTGGTGGTGGCGCCAAAAGCAAGACGAAGCAGAAGAAGAGGCGCGGAGGTCGTGCCGTGAGAGCAAGGGCTGAAGCGCATGCAAGCGCACAGCAGGCACAACAGGACGACGCTGCTGCTTCTCCAACCCAGCAGCCAGCCACACAAGACCATGGCATCACTGGAAGCAGCTCCATCCCGGCCCAAACCGCGGAGACCACCGCTGTCGACACCATCGACACCTTCATCCGCCGGCCTGAGGCCCAAGCCCTCTTTGAGAAGTTCTGGAGCGATTCTAAGAAAGAAAAGTGAGGATGGAATGCAAGTGAGGAAGGTATGGGAGGCGAGCTTTGGAGGGCAGAGTGGCCGGAGCATAGGAGCCAAAGGGTTACACGCATGAATGGAATGCTTGCAAATGTGGAGACTTCAGAACGGCGGTACCATCTTGCTACCATATTCCCGTTTCAGAGAAATGGCGGAAGAAAGGCGCTGGAGGTGCATTGATCAAGCATTGCAGTACTACCCTGGAAACTCCAATGACAACACCCCCTCTCGAACTCCTCCGAACAATCATCTCACCACCTCAGTAACACCCGGCTGCTCCGCCTCCAAGATATCCCTCAACTCCCTCCAAACCTTCTCCCCACTCTCCTTGCTCTCCTTACTCCGCACAAACGGACTCAACGCCTCCTCCTTGACCATCGCATCAGACATGTACTTTCCATGACTCTCGCTCCCCGCCGCAGCCGACGCCACCAACGTCCTGCTCCCCACCTCCGTTGACCGGGCAAGAAGGAACTTGATCACCTCCAACACAAACGGCCCGTCGCGGGAGAGTTCCGAGTGGCAGAGCCCCGGGTTGAGCATATTCAACACCACTCCGCTGCCCTCCAGCTTCGGCGCCAGCTGCCGCACCACCAGCACCTCCAGTAACTTACTATCCTGATACCGATCCTTGAAATACTCCTTCCGGTTCTCCTTCAACGCTTCGAAGATGTTGGGTTCATTGCGGACAGGGAACTTCGTGAAGCCGTGTACCTCACTGCTCACGATAGTCAGACGCGGGGTGATGGCGAAGCGCTTCGCGGCTTCTTTCAGGTGAGGGACGAGGAGGAGCGCGAGGTAGAAGGTCCCAATGACGTTGACCATGATGGTCTTCTCGTGGCCGTTCTTCTCCATCGTATACGTCGTCATCGCCACGCCGGCGTTCTCGAGCAGGACGTCGATGCGCGGTAACTCCCTTTTACACCGCTCGGCGAAAGCGCGGATGCTGTCGAAGGAGCTGAGATCGAGCGGCCAGACTTCGATGGAGCTCTCTTCCCGACGGGTGGTGGAGAGGATGTCCTTCTTGGCGGCTTCGCCAGCGGTGGTGTTGCGGACGGCGAGGATGAGTTTGGCGGCGTCGAGGCGGGAGAAGTGGCGGGCGGCTTCGCGGCCGAGGCCGGTGTTGGAGCCGGTGACGATGATGGTTTGGGAGGAGAAGGAGGTGGTGGGGTAGGGGGGTTTGAAGAGGAGTTGGGATTTGAGGAAGGCCATGGTCGGGAGGGTGGTGCGGAAAGTGGTGCCCGGGAGATATCGTTGAAGTCGGTGTTTGGCCTTGGAGATAGAGGAGAAGGTGGTTGTGTGGAAGAGCGGGATGGGAGGAAGGGATGAGGATGAGGCGGGAGAGATATACTCCTCGCAGTTTTGAAGGTTCGGGTGGTCGGTATCTATATGTCCGGCTTCAACAAGAAGAGCCTGTCATCGAATGTTGATATCAACAAGATCCCGCCCACCCTCTCGATGCCGGACGGATGTAGTTGCAAGCAGTACCCAAAGACGACCCTCTCTCATTGGCCGACCCGAGACCTCGCTCGCTGATTGGTCGACCGAAATGCAAGATTGTTTTCCTCTTTGGGAATGGCGGCTTCGCCTTGCGGAGATACTGGCGGAGTTGTGGGATGTCTGCGATATGGACGGTATGGCAGGAGTCCGGCCTCCGTTGTTGTCGCGAAGTAGAGGGTGGGACGGGAGTGGGTTTGGTCCGGGTTGGTAGTTCAGACTCTGCAGAGGGCCAATCAATCATGCTCACAAGAATAGAAGGACCTCTACAACAGCAGGCAGCGGGAGAGAATGCCAAGTGCTGTTGGATTCCACACGGTGTGGAGGGGCCAGCGAAACCAGCACATCCTCCAATAACCTGAAGTTTCAGCCCACCGTCCACAACTCCTCCGAACCTTCAATAGCATTGAGCCTTCACCTATGGCTAACCAGGCGCCCCCCTCTCGCCTACCACGCTGAACACTTCCCACGCCGCTCCCTGACGAGACTCTCGACGAAGTAGCAAAGCCAGCAGCATACAAGCCCCATCTCGAAAGCCGGCAAGGACGATCACTTGATCTGCAAATATCCGGCTCGTCAGTACCACCGCACAGTTCGAGCAGCAGATATTCATCCCCTGCTTCGGCGTGGAAGTGAAGCATACGGCTCCAGAAGCATGCAACTGCGGACAGAGGTTCTCGGGTAAAGAGACGCCTACTCGACCGGCGGAGGCTTGAGGCGGGAGAAGGCATGCCGCGCTTTTGACCGCGTGCTCTGGGGCGAGCAGACCTTGTTCTTGGTGCACCAATACCCCGTACTCCAGGACTCTCGTCTCCCAGCGAGAGGGACACCTCAATGATAAGGACGTGAGGTCTATGACACAACCCTTTTGCGGAGGAGACGAGTCCCTGTCCTGCGAAGCTGAAGCGATCAAACCTAGTAGCCGTTCCAGGATTCCTGAGTACCAGCACACCGCTCAGAAGACCTCCAGTCCCACGTCCTCACTTCCACGGCGAGAGCCGATGTGGGGTGCGGCGAATCCAAGGCGAGGTCCGGCTCACCGTTCTCGCTCAACCCTGGTTGTTCTAGAAGGAGCACGTATCCCGAAGCATCTTCTCCGACCGCTCAACGGGCATGTGGATACCCACGTCAAGACATGCAGACCTCTCGCAAGCAGCATCACGGAGACGACAGAGCGCAGAGCACGCACCACCAAATCCTTTCACAACAGCAAAGGAAAACCCAAGGAGGCGGAAGCCGGCATCACTGCCCAACACATCGATCGGGCGGCGGAGAAGCCACGCCCACGTCCCTTGCGCAGGTGAGCCTGGCACTCCGCTCTGCTCTCCAGGATGCTGGTGTTGACGGGAGCTGTCCGTGGCGAGAAGGCGAGGAGTCCGCAGTGGGAGTCCAGCAGGAGCGAGGGATTTGGCAGCCTCGTTCCACTCCAGTGGGTTAGCTAGCTATAAGTGGGCGGAGAAGGGCAGATGGTGGCCGACGGCTTTGAGACTGGTGCGGAGTGTCTTGCTTTGGACCTGGAAGATGATGCGCTTGCCTCCCCAAAGAAGCAGGGGAGAGGAATTCAGAGATCCTACGAACAGCGACGCCTCCACCTGCCTCATTCACCGGAGGCGATACTACGGATCGAGCCCAAGAGGCGATGAGCAGGCAGCCCAGTAGCCACTAAGCTCACACCAAGTAGAACTGCCGGGACACCATTCAACAGCCGAAGGCGGGAGTGTGGCTGGCAGTATCGACCTCACGAGAGCTCGAGCATCCTGCCGTCTATGCCTTCTCTGCGGCAGAGACGGTGATGGTGCAGATTGAGCGGTTACGGGGAGGCGATGGCTGGATGTGGAGGCTGGAGAGGCTGTAGCTTCAGGATCAGAGGCGCGAGATAGCGCAAGTTCCTGGACGGCGCAGCATCCAACCTCCAGCTATCAAGAAGCGGCACGGGTGCGGAGTCGTCCATCCGCTCCGTCAAACTAGCGTTGTGCTTGCGCTCGCCTGTCCTCCGAGAGGCCGGAAATGGTGTGGTACTGAGCCCGGTGTGATACGGCGGACGACTGGTTCTACGAAGAGCAGTGCCGGCGAGCCTTGGTAGGTAAGGCGGGAGGCGAGCTCGTGCTTTGTCGTCTCAGACTCACCGGGCATGGGCAGATGAGGCGGAGGGAGCTGGATAAGTCGGGCAGCGGAGGATGGGCGGCCAGGATGCGGTCGGTGTCGCGCTTGCGCTTCTCTCTGAGAGCCAGAAGTGGTGTGGTACTGGGCTGCGTGTAGGTGAAAAGGTAGAGGACTGCTCAGCCAGAGAACAGTCTGCCTGAGCCTTGGAGGGGCGGGAGGTGAGCACGTGTGCACGCTGTCGCCGACCACGACACACCGGGTATGAGCAGATGGGGTGAAAGGGGGTGGGTGAGTTCAGAGGCGGAGGCTGCGTGGCCAGCGATGCAGTGGGCGCAAAGGAGTGGGTGCTTCATCTCCGAGACAGTGAAGATGGTGGGTAGACAATAGCGCCGCAGAATCCGACCGCGGCACAGATGGATGAGAGGAGAAAGCCGAGCGAAGAATGTCGGCAGGCACGTGAGCGCGGATAAGAGACGAGAGGTTGGGAGATGATGAGGTGTAGGAGCTCGTACCGTCATTATATATACCATACCATAACATGCCGTATCCATATCGCACAGTGTTCTCTTCATTCTGGTAAACTCCATTGATCCGTGACAGCCCGGCAGACGCAGACGTAGGAAGGGTATATCCATCCAAGCTCATCATCCTATACACCACTCATGCTTCTTTCATATCATCTCTTACAGCAGCAGCGCACCAGCAACCACACCCATCGCCCCCATAGCCCCAGCCTTCATACCCATCCTAGTAGGCGCCGCCGCCCCATCACTGCTCGAGCTCGCCGCCGCATCGCCATTCGCATTCGTCACGGCAGCAACATTGACACCATACTGCGTCGCGGTCGTGGTAACCGTGGAGCCGTTCTCCGTAACCGTTGAAGTCGCTACCGAAGTAGCGGTGGTGGAAGCCGTGCAGCCGGACCAGGATGTCCAAGGGGCGGCTGTGGACCAGGGGCCGGATGTCCAGCCTATTCATCATCAAAGTTAGCATAGCTGCGCAGCAAAGCCAGTATGAAAAGATGGGTGTACTCACCAGACCAGGTAGAATCAGGGCAATTCCCATTCTCACCCCACCACTGCGTCCAAGGCCCATCCGTCCAACTCCCCTCACTCTTCCACGGCCCCCACCCATTCCCGGGCGCTCCTCCACCAAACGGCCCCCGTCCACTCCCGGGACTCCATCCCCCATGCGGACCACTTGTCTGCGTCGCCCAAGCCGCCGGGACCCCGTCGCTAAACCAGCTTGCGTACGCGGAGAGCTCGGACGGAATGGGATGCGCTGAGGTGAAGGAGGACCAGTCGGAGGTGGCGGTGGGGAAGGCGGTGATGGATTCGGCGGAGGTCCAGGATTCGAAGGCGCTGTATTCAGAGCCGCCGGCGGAGGGGCCGGGAAAGGCGCCCGGGGGGCCGTGGGGGGCTTGTGCTGTGACTGTCGAGGCGGCGGCGAGGGCGGCGGCGGTTGCGGAGGTGGAGAGCTTCATTGTTGTGGTGGGTGTAGTGGTGTGTTTTTGGTCGTTTTCTTGATTCTTGGGTTGGGAAACGTTGTATTACAGTCACTGTAAGGTATGAGTTGAGTTGATGGACGAAAAGAAAGAACCAAGACCCAGCCAAACCTGATATACTTGAACCTGTTGACGTCGAGGCTGTGTTCCCAGTTCCGTAAACCCAAACGAACACCCCCCAAAATGACGCGGCCCAGCCAATTCAGCCCACATCCACGTCCCTGCTCCCCACGCGAAAAAGTCCACCCCGATCGACGCAGGGATCGCTCCAATCTATTCTCGTCCTGTCTCCAAACGCAGGCACAACACAGCACGGGACGGGGGCGGAGCTGGCTGGCTGGCGGCTCTCCATCTCGAATTCCCCGAGTCCTCCGCCCTCCGTCTTATGGGCGTAGAGATGAGAACGGCGGCGTCATGTACGCGATTCATGTGCGGTGGTTGTCGGTAGTTGGGGAGTCGATTACAACTCTCCGATTCATGGGATCCATCTACACGGAGTCGAGGGTCGTGTAAGTCATGGTGATGTTTGTTTTCTATTCAAATTCTGAGTGATCGGGAGTCGAGGTGGATGATGTTGTCCGGATGGAACGAGATGACAGCGCGAATGCGCCCGAGGCTGTCGTTGCCAAGGAGCCGCGCGGTGCTTGCTTCGTCTCGTTGTTGTTTGGCGGACGTAGCAGTAGCAAACCTTGCTTTCTGCCTTCTCCTTCGGACTCGGAGGGCGGTACAGTGGTACAGTCAGACGTGTACTCGCAGGCAACACGACGACGACGGCGACGACAACAAGGCATGACGACTCTCGCGGGGTCGAGAAGTTCTAGTTCGTACAGCGCAGCAGCGAAGCAGCGAAGAGACCACCGCGGAGTCATCGGCATCCATCTGCCGACACTGTTTCTGGCCCGAAAGTTGGTGGCCCGTCTTGGCCCCGGATCCTGTGCGCTGTGCTGTGCTGTGCTGATGTTGCGATGCGACAGCCGCGCTGGATATAGAAGTACCGTTGTGGAGGTAAGGCAGAGACGACACCGCCCGATGTTGGGACGGGCGGAGGACGGGGCTGCGTTGGCTGGGGGCGGGGCTGGGGGCGGAGACGGAGAGAGTAGGTTGAGAATTGGGTATGCGCGCCAGGCTTGCTTGCGGAATACTTCTGTGGTGCTTCGCGGCGGGCTGAGGTAGATCATACCGCCTATGGTAATGCACATTTTCGCCTGCAGTCATCACGGGCGGTTCTTGTGGTCGGCGGACTGATCATGTCTCGAGGAGAGGCAAAGAAAGCAGCGCAGCCTACAACCCGACTTGGGCCTTCACAGATGTGCCGTATTTCTCCCATCATACTCAGTACCGCGGCGCTCGAAGCCAGTTCCACACCATATCGTGCGAACAGCAGTCTACGTCGTCACTCCAAACTCTCAGACGCAGTGTTCCACGAGGCTGTAGGCTCTGCGCCTTCATGCGAGCGCACGTGGACGACGCCGAAGTGGAAGCGCTGCTCGTTTCCTCCTCGCCGCCTCACAGGAGAGGAGCGCTGTAGCATCCGCCACCCAACTACGGCACCTGAGACGCTCTCACCGGTAGTCTACTTCGCATGTGAGATCTAGAGTCCCTCGCACGAGAAGAGGGCACCATGCCAAAAGCGCTAGTTCCGTGGAATTCTGGCCACGGTATGACAAGACCAGACCTCGCTAGGTTACTGCACGCATGATCCCCGAGCAGCCCGACACTCGCTTTGCCACTTGACGCTTACCACTGGAGTTCGCAATATCTGGCTTGCTGGGAAGGCTTTACCGCTAGTGCTTCTCGGAACTTCTGGCTGGTTTGGAGACAGTTTGACCGTGGGCTGATATGTTCTCGGTGGCGCTCGTGGACGTATACGATGCTTGCTACACTTTGAACCAGATGACTCCTTTCCAGCATCATACGAACTTCCCGCTTCCGCACTCTACCCACCGCCGCAAATGGACGACTTCTCGCAACGCTTACATGACTTTCACGCCTCGACCCGTTGATCCCGACAGGTCGACCACAACGCTTGCTTGCTCTCGACCCATACTGGCTTCTTCGCGAAGACGCCCACACGCATCCCTTGTGTCGAGAGCAGTTGCTTAGCATGGCTCGAGACGTACTGGCATCCAGATGCTCGCTCTCGGACGTATACACCGCTGAGTTGCGGGTTGCTTCATCGCCGGCCTGGCAACATACAACCCTCTCTGCCTCGTCTTCTGCCATGCGTTCCGCCATGCCCAGGCCATGGTTGCTTGATGCTAAGACGTCCTAACATCCGCATGAGGCCATCAACCTCCGGAGCTTCACCGCCGGAGACCTGAAGTCTGCTCGCTTGCTTAAGAAGTGGTAGACTATGGCAATGAACAGAACCACCAAAAAAGCGGGTGCGTCTTGGTCAGCAACGGTGCCTGCGTAATTCGTTTTCGGCGGTGGTCTCTTCTATCTGCCCTTGACGAAGCGTGCGCAGTGTGTTGGTGTGTCTGGCGGAAGTACTGATCCTCTCAACAGTCGCAACTCCACGAGACTATTGTTGCTCGTCCTGGCATTCAACACCGACCACATTCATAATCAAAAGTGTGCTACATAACGTAAGTGCGGACATTGCAGCCAGGACACCGCTTGAGGCACAATGAAACATCACGTGTTTTTTCGAGTCAACGCCAAGCCTTAGGCAATTCCCATTGGAGGAAGAAATCCGGGGAAGCCGTTTGATCTGCGACGACACCACTCTACATGGTGCACATCTCCGACAAACTCTCCCACCTTCAATTCCACCATTCGGGAGAAGTCCTGGCGAGGATATAGGTCAAGTACACACAACATCTCCTCCATCTCCATCTCCCATCCATTTCACTTCACACAGTCTCTCATTCATTCATTCTCCCCATCGGCCGGCACGATGCATCTCTTCGCTGTCCTCCCCCTCCTCTCTCTCCTCACCCCCCTCATCACCGCCTTCTCCTCCCCCCTCCCCTGCACCGGCACCTGCACCAACACCCACGACCCGGCTCTCCTCCAGCGCGGCTCCGACGGCACCTACTTCCGCTTCGCCACCGGCGGGCGTCTCCCCATCCACACCTCCCCTTCCCTCACCGGACCCTGGACGTACGTTGGCGACGTCCTCCCTGAAGGCGGCAGCAGCATCGACAACCCCGGCGCCGACGACGCGTGGGCGCCCGATGTCCATGAAGTGGACGGGACGTACTATTGCTACTACTCCGTCTCCTCGTTCGGGACGCAGGACAGCGCCATTGGCGTCGCGACCTCTTCCTCCATGGACCCCGGAACCTGGACGGACCACGGCGCCACTGGTTTAAGCTCCAGCGAGGGTGATGACTACAACGCCATCGACGCCAACCTCGTCGTGCAGGCGGACGAAGGCGAAGCGCATCTGGCTTTCGGCAGCTTTTGGGGGGACATCTTCACCACGACCCTCGCCTCCTCTCTTCTGACGATCAGCGGGGATGCTTCGCCGGTGCAGATCGAGCTGAATAATACCGGGACCCGGCCGAGCGAGGGCGCTTATATCCACCAGCGGGACGGGTCGTTTTGGCTTTTCTTCAGCAGTGGGATTTGCTGCGGATACGACGGCGACCGTCCGGCTCCGGGGGAGGAGTATAAAATCATGGTCTGCAAGTCGGACGCCGTGGAAGGACCATACGTATGTCCCCATCTTCCTTTCATTCCTCCGCCGCGGGGGTTGTTTCCAGCGGTACTGCGTACTGACAAATCGATACTAGGTCGACGCCGACGGAACCTCCTGCCTCTCAAACGGCGGCACGCTAGTCCTGGGCTCGCACGACAACGTCTACGGCCCCGGCGGCCAGGGGGTTTATGCCGATGCCGAGTATGGGGATGTGTTGTATTATCATTATGTTGATACTAACATTGGGTGAGTCGAGCAAGGCGCAGAGCTATGCGGGTGGCTCGGGAGGTTAGGGGGATTGCTGACAGTTTTGATAGGTACTCGGATGGGCAGAAGCAGCTGGGAATTAGTGTGATTGATTGGAGTAGTGGGTGGCCTGTCGTCTGAGAGCAGGGATGGTTGGATGGTGAGAGGAGGTGGTGTGAGTTTTGTGTGGGCTTCGTCTGAAAATTGGTTGAGAGGGCGTGTGCTGTCACATGCTACCATTCTCGCAGACCACTCTTCTCCCTTCCACTAACATTTGTGCAAATCTTCAGCCGAGCTTCCGCCAGCCTACCAGCTCTACCAGTATGGCACATCGCATGCGCTTCACACTTCCAGCAGCCGCTGCTTACATCCGTCTTAAGTATTCATGAAGCTTCTGTCCTCGCGGGTCTTACGCTCCTGTCTCAGCATTGGTGGCATAGCGCTTCACAACTGTCACAGGTTAAGCTCCCAATCCGGCAGGCCTGGTCATCGCCGAAGCTCCTCTTCTCTCCGCTCCGCTGCGCACAGCACCCTGGGTGGTCTGTGGAGCTGTCTTCCTCTCGACCCCTCGTGTTCCCCGACGACACCTCCGGAGCATTCGCCGCTGACTTATCAATTCCTCGAAGTTCCTATGCGCTTATACGGCGAGGCAGGTAAGTGCTCAGCATTTGTCCAAGACCAGCACTTTCCGCTCCACCTCGCATCTTCCGTGGCCTCCCAACCTGTTATCGACCCCACCTCTTTGGTCTTCGTCCAGCGACATCTCCGCATGCTCCGCCTCCGCTACCGCTGCCGTCGGTATCCTTGCCGTCCCCATGCACACCCTCCAGCATTGGAGGCAGAGTGCTCTACACCTCCGCGGCGCAACGGTTGCGGCTTCCTGAGCTTTCTTCCTGCCGACGTTTCCCACCCAACCTCGCCCATCAACATCCAGCGACGTCTCCGAATGCTCCGCCTACGCCCCCGTCCATATCCTCGTCGACCTCGGTCACCTCCCGCTCCCGCTCCAGCATTAGCAGTACCGTGTCTGGCAACTCTCGCAGCGCCAACACTCGAACTGGACATGGCGTTGCCGGTGTTCACGTAACCCTCCATGGCTTTCTGGGCTTTCTTACTCCCGGCCTGTCCGGTTTTCGTCCAGGGATACTTTCATAGCCTCCGCCGCCGGTTCGCCGAATGGCTAGAGATGCCCTCGCTTATACGGCGGGAGCAGAGTATGGCAGTAGCAAGCACCCGGCCTGATCCTTTTTGCCGTAGGACTCCTCGCTTTGGGACTCCGGCGCCTCCACAGCTCGACCCTTTGGCTCTTGCCACACTGCCTACCTCTTAGAATCTTCCGTCCTCGTGTGGCGACACCTTCAAAGCCTACGCCGCCGCTCCATTCAGTGAGCTGAGTGGCCACCACTCATGTAACGGCAGGAAAGGCGGGAGTATTGTGCAGCTATTTCCGGCTACCCTAGGCCTCCGCAGCTGTTCGAGGTAGGCGGAGCGGGATCTCTTTGGGCTCTGCAGTCATGCTGGTATGTTGTGACTTTAGGTTTGGAAGAAGTAAATGAGAAGGGTTGCTGGGGCGAAATGGACATCCTACTGCAGTCGCTGACTAGCTCTTAGAAGTCCTTCTAGGGTGATAGAGCGGCTATCCTCTACATCATCCGCAGTGCTCCCAGCAAATCCTCCGACCGATTAACAGTGCTTGGCGGTAATGTATGGAGCCGCTCATTCCCCTCCGTCGCCGGAGCCTGCCCGCAGTCGTCTCATCATCCGGAATCGGCTTCTGCGAGAGTCTCCAACTTCCACGGCGAGCTGGCCCGTCTGGCATGCCGGAGGCGGGTGCAAAGTACTACAGGGCTTCTCGATTGTCCTTCCTGACTCCGTTGCTGAGACGTTCCTACTGCGGCATCCTTGAGCAGCGGCATGCCTACCTATATCAGTATTAGCATCTCCGGCAACCTCTCGCCTGTCTGTGGGAATCGGCCGCTTGGAGTGGTAGGAGTCGTGGCTGCTGTCGCCGCGGTGTACTGGAAGTAATCTCTTTCTTCTCATCCTAGCATCATGGCCGTATTCGTTTGCGATTGGACCTCTGCTGCAAGTCGTGGAAAGAAGCCTCAAAAGCACCAACTAGGCGTCTGGCACTCCCCATCTTTCTCTTCGCTGTGGACAGCATGCCGCGATTTCTGATTCTCTTTCAGTCTCTCGCGCCGCAGCGTATTCCAACATAACATCAGCAGCTTCTGGAGCAAGCCATCCCACCGCTTGACGAAGAAGAGCAGCCGCCACTGGGTGATGATCCACCGGTGCGTCCTCGTTCGGTCCTGCATGCTCTCTCATTCATTTTCGAGCGAAGTTGTTTTTGGTTGGAGAGCCAGCGCTTCCCAGCGATGTTTGGTTCGACTCGAGCAACAAGAAGTCAGGGAGATGACTTTCTAGCAGTCTTTTCCTTTGCGTACCATGCTCGCCGCTTCCACAACTTCAGCTCGGCTGCGACGTCGTCGCTCCTGCGTGGAATGATTTCAGCAAGCCGCTCCATCCTTTGCGTACGGTAGAGCGAGTATAGACAATTTGAATGCCGAGCCAGCCTGGAGCAGTCCTTTTCAAATTCTCCGGCGGCTTGACCATACATCTCCCCAGCACCGCCGGCAAGCTTCGTAAGCTGCTGGTTGGCAAACGTAGCCCAATAGATAAAGCCTTGACCGGCTCATCCTGCTTACCGCGGCATGGCACTGTCCGGGCTGTGGTGGGCTGCCTGGTCTTCGCAGCATCAGCTCGATTGCGGGATAGAAGATACTGAAAAGTCTTGAGCTGTTGTCAACCTGACTAGATCTCTTCCTTGCATTCATGAGCTTGCTTCCGAAGCAGGGGCTCACCCAAAACTCTCCAACAGGCTAGAGGAGTTTAGAAGAGGAGGCCTTCACGAAGCATGTAGCAAGTTGCATGGCCGCGTTAGGTGAACGGCCATATGCACAAGAGGACGACCATGCATCTTCCAACTTCCAGCAATGGAAAGCGGCCCAAATTCTCCTGCTCCGGCACCGTGAGCCTGAAAGTATGCTCTTTGTAGGATCCTGACGAGGAGGTTGGCAGTCATGGGTCTCACGTTTGCGCCGCCATGATGCTGCTTCTACTCTATACGCAAAGCATGTCAAACAGAAAGTACGGTGTCTTGAAACAATAAGACAGGAAGGACGGCGCTCGCATTAATGCAAGGCATAAGAGCAAAAGATACCTGATATTATGTATTTTCCGGCGGCAACCTGAGAGCTTGATCTATATCTCCTGGACTTCGGAGTTCCACGGTCTTGAAAGCGCAATGTCACCGAGAGTACTGCGCCAGCTCAAAAATCAACGCTTGGGATGACCGTGACGCCGTGGGAAAGCTGGCAGTGCTCGGCGAAGGATGCAAAGCCACGCTGATGCCGTGAGATTGTGGTCCATTCGAGCAGGCCGTAGAACGTCGCTGGTTATTGCTCGAACCAAATGTGTCTGTTTCGTGCTTGAGATGCGGGTCTCTGAGTTCGCGGAGAGTGGTGCGGATAGAGAAGCTCTTCGTGGGCATTCTATTTCAAGGATGAGAAATCTTCGCGCTCTGGAAATTTGCTATCCTCCCGGAGACGCCTCAAATTGTTACCTGGGAGCAGTTCATCAGATACATGTCGCATTCTGCTTGTCGATATAAATTTCATGGCGTGACTGGTTTTCCGTCCTTCCACTTGCGACGACTTGCACGCTACAGGGTTAGGGTTAAACATGAAAATCCGCGACGGACGTGGACCGCAGGTGGCGCGAGGAAGGGAAGGAGGTAGTACAGTAGTCCGAGCAGAGCGAAATGGGCTGTGTTATTGACACATGATCATGGAGAGCTTTAGCCCTCCGTAGATCTGTCTAGATCGTTGGCCGAAGCGATGACACTTGACATACTCCCATCTCTCGTGACCGGCGAGAACTCGCCAATTACGTTGCTAGACCGTTTTCTCAATATGCCCAGTAATGCAGTCTCTTTGGAAGTCTTCGGTGCAATGTGTGGGTCAAGCAGGGCGCAGGCGTTTGTCTCGAACGGTCCTCAAGAGTATTGCTAAGTCGTAAGCGCGCCCAGGACTGAAGACCAACGAACCGACCAATTCTACGGCCTCTTGAGTTGCCGTCAGATGTTGGTTCGAGTGCATGCAGGGTGCCTGTCTTTGTGAATATGGCTCAAACCAGGCATTCTATCAATAGTACCTGCAGCCTTCACTAGTCTTGCCATCGTTGGTTAACGAAATTTCTAGACAAGGTCTAAGCAAAGTTGGTGTTCGCCAACGGAGGTGTGTCTAATGCCCAAGCTCGAGGAGGTAACCTAGATCGATCAATGAACTCACTAAAGACGGTTGATTGGCGATGGTGACGAAGACACTAGCTAACGTTGCAGGGTCTCTGGATATAGACATCAGAAATAGGCCGGCAATTGGTGAGAGCCGCAAGGAGGCTGAGGGGCGTATCCGCTGCTGCCGGTGATCCAGGAGCAGCACGTGGCGCTGCAAAGGCCAGTGGCCCATTGGCTACAGGAGTCGTGAAGCTAAGGGAGGTCGCATATCAAGGAACGTCCTCCGAACGTGGTCAGTAGTTCTCAGGCACTCACTGGACGTACCCTTTTGGCTGCGGCAGCGATAGAGCTAAGGGATGTTAAGAATCAAGGAGCGGCTTCCGAGCGTGGTCTCGACCTCACTTGTTCTGCTGGACGTAGAGAGCACACTTCTTTTAATACCACCATCCTTTAGGCCCACAGCTTGATCCCAAGACAACACCCGAACACTCCTAGCCTCCAGACCACCAACCGCCGCAATCCCAATCGATACGGCGGCGTTTCCATTCGAAAACAGCTTTGCGAATGCGAGGACCTTAGATAAACCAGGGGTTGAACTGGTGAGGCTTCTTCCTCCACAGGTGGACTAGCCAGCAGTACTCCATCGGCACGAAGCAAATCATCCATTCGGTACTCAACTTGGCCGACTTGCCTGGAACTTGTACGAAGCATGTTCGCACACCAGGCAAAGCCGACAAAGGCCAGGAATGCTTAGGGAGAATGCATATATAACGAGCCAACAACTCGACGTACTTCGAAGAGACCAAACCCGGAGCGTGGATTTTACAGCATCATTCTTGCCGGCCCTGCCAGCTGCACCACGTATGGGACCGCCGTTTCGATCAGCTCCGGTCTCTCAAAACGCCGCACATGTGCTTTCTGACTTCCGACAGCAATACCTGACTTTGCAGGACGCGCCAACATGATATCTACCACCCGCCAGCTCCAGGATTACTTGCAACATCGAAGAACAGAAGCTGATGCCTCCTGCGCCCTCGCATCACTTGCAAGCGCCTTAGTGATTCGTTAAACCAGGCCTGCGGCGTTGCGGGAGAGTCCAGGTAGCGAGGAGATGTATCACTGGAGAAGCCAGCAGCTTTGAGCAACATCGCAGAACGTGGCGATGAACCATGGGCAGGTCTCGTGCGACCGCATTGTGAGGGAATGTGAGCAGCGCATCCGGAAGAATATCTCACCCGGCTGGCCCGCACTCTCACAAGATAGCCAACTCAATTGGTGAAGTTCTCAAGTGGTTTGGAAATGGTATGACGGCAAACTGAACTGCATTTATATGTAGCTGCCACAGTAAGCCTCATCACCACTACTTCACGTTCACATTATCCCATGAGCCGGTGCAACCTCACCAGACCGTTTGAGCGATAGCAATGTCACTTCCCACGTTCCGCATATTGGCAATCCAAGACACATATTGGCCACCCAAGACCATCAACCTCCCTCCGAGACCTCACATCATAAAGCGCTGATCACCAGCAGAATCATAGATTCCCATTTCGGCCAAGCAAGACAGACCACTTCCAGCATTCCCAGAACCTTTGCACTTCAGCGCCAGTGCTATGCCATGCCAGCGAGAAGCCACATCAGCTTCCAGCGTTGGTTCGTGAAGTCTTGCGGAAGTCCACCGTCAGAAGAAAGCAGAAGAGCAGTCCGTGACGACCAGGAGATGGCATTGTTCTTGATACGTGAGCGGCAAGCGTCCGGAGCCCAGGCATTGAGAAAAAGCAAGAGTACCTGAGCTCGGCAGCTGCGTTGAGTGTGCTGTGGGGAGCAATAGAGGCGAGCTTGGGTAACCGAGCGCATCAATGCCTGTACAAATCCAATGTTCAATAACCGGAGGAGCGGGAGGTCGGAGATGCAGCAAACCGGTGGTGAAAAACATCCAGCGACTTCGTTCGTACATTGGTTGACGAAGAGCCAGGACGTCGCAGTCCCAGGGCCCACAAGCTCGGGTAGATGCAGAGCCATGTCACTTCGATACGGCAAGCTGCATAACTGGGACGCGGAGGCTGGGGATATTTCCAGCCCTGAAACCTTGACATGTCGCAGCCGTCAACGACGACTGCTTCTCAAAGGATGGGATGCGCCACTTCTTGGGCACCAGCATGGAAGGTTTCGTGAAGAACCTAAGGACGAGGCAGTTTAGATGTCATCCAATGACCACGAGCCCAGTCAAATGCAGTGTACCTATCCATTGCCGCTAACATCGATCGCGGTAGCTGGATAGATCGATAGGGCCAGTAGGATGAGAGGACGCACATGCTTCGAGCCTGCCCTTTGAGCTGGCAAGAAGTCAGGATGTGGAAAACCACCCAGCCGTAATCGAGCCGTCCTGGAAATTCCAGCCGCCGAGCGGTGGCAGAATAAGTAGGTACTTTCGGACTGCTGCATTTAGTCGCCATTAGGAGCAGGTAGCCGCGAAGGCGTGGTTCATCCAAGTTGTCAAAGCGGGCCTGTCAGGGTAGCCGAGTGTGACGATTGTGGAGCTGGTCTTGAGGACGCAGGTTGACTTCCTTCGAGGCGCAGAAGGCATGGGAGGACAGTCAACGTTGAGGTCACCAGAAGCAGCGAAGTAGAGCTTCGTGGAGACGTCCGGCAGAAGGAGTAGCGGAAGTCGAAAGGCCGAGAAGCTTTCAACTTGGAGTCTCGCTGATTCAGCTGGAAAATCGTTGGACATCGGCGTGAAGGGACTGGCCATATTCGAGCGAGACAGCGGCACATCTCTTCGATGCATGAAGCCGCGGGGAAGAGCAGCAAGCCGTGCAGCTGAATGCGCAGTCCTGTTCGGAGTGACGCTTCCAGCGGACCTAGCTAGCGGACGAGATGTCTGCGAAATGGATGGCGATTGTCCATATCCTCAGCTTGAGGTTCTGTGTCCAGTGCTGGTTGCCATGAGTTCGAGCTAGCATCCTTCAAGCGCCAGAAACTGCTAGAGGACAGTAGAGTGCATTGCGCAAAGCGACTGCTTCGATGCGCGCACCCGCAGCAAAACCATAAGCGTACGCCGAAGTTGCTGGCGAAAGCAGCGATGATCGTAAGGTTCAGCAGACACAGCAAGGCCGCGGGAAGCAGCGGAGGTACCCGTACTTGAATAATCTCACAGGCGGAGACGTCAAGGCGTATGAGGTGCTGTCATGTTCAGCGGCAGCGGTCGAGGCGGAGGTGTCGGTCGACGGCGTGGCGGCATGCTGCAGGTCAAGGTATTGCATCGTGGATGGAAGAGATTGGATCTCGTCGTAGAGCTTCTGTGCCATGCTCTGAAGTTGGGAAGCAGCTAATGAATCGGAGGCTGGCGCAAGCAGCCCAAGGGCAGGGGACCAGAAGTAATCAACAGAGCTTGCAAGCTCTCGCTGGCGATAGGAGGCCGCCGGGCGGTTGGCAGTAGTTCTCCCAGTAGAGGCAGTGCTACGGAAGGTCCTTGGAGAGCGAGTTTGGGAAGATGGAGCCATAGAGACGTGATGCCAGCTACCTTGCTTCCCACAAGACACGACGGAACCTCCAAGCAGAGAGTGCTGGACTCTCCTCGCTTTCAAGGAGGAGGCAGCGGCTCCTGGATACTGTCGCGACGATCCAAACGTGCCGCTGGAACTGTTGAAACAGCGCGGACGAGAGCGGCGGGTAGGTGCCTGCGCAGTGGGCGTGTGAGCGGTCATGGCTGAAGTCTGACAGCCAGCGGCCATGTTTTGCTCGAGCTATAACAGCGACGGCTCCAGCAATGAATCGGTGACGGTAGGACAACGGGTTGTTCGAAAAGGGCATGCCGATCTCATCACCGAGTTGAGATAGTAGAGGGCCCCAGTAGAGCACTTCCACACAACATCCGAGCTGGTAGTACAAAGGTCTTGCTCACATGACCGGCGGAAGACCGAGTTCGCAGGACAGGACTGACGAAGGCATTCGCTGCGATGAGGAGGGCGGGTTGACAGAACTTTAGTATTAGCAGCCGTTCCAAGCAGTGCGTAGATATTAGTGAGAAGACCTGCCGGTGGAAGCAGCGGCGTTGCAATGTAGTCACACGTGGCAGGCTCCGCGCATCTTCGAAGAAAGCAGGGGCGGCGACTCCAGAACATTAACACGCGAGCCGAAGTCCTTGAGAGACTGCAAGGCACTGAATGGGTGGAGAGCGGTGGTGAAAAGAGTGAATGCAAGAGATACAGCGCCGGGGCGTCTGCGCCAGGCGGATTGTTGAGCGTGACCAGAGATGCTCGCGATTTTTGAGGAGGTGCTCGAGCACATGCGCGGTCATATGGCCAGCGGGGACCTCTCCTTTACAATCTATTTAAATTTTGTTTCCTGCTTTTTTTCTGTCCTTGCCATCTTCCATCTCCACCAACGTCTGACCCTTGACCAATTCCGACCGCAAACCGTAGATGAATCCTTCGCCCAAGCGGACAGCTTGGGACTGCCAGATCTTGCCGTCCAGACCTTGTCATTCCGACCACGCTCTTCTGATGACGACGTCGCACTAGCAGCCCAACACCCCTGAGAGCTTGCCGATGCTGACGCTGAAGACCTTGAGACCCATCTTGATGGCCGAGCCAAGCTGGAAAGGCGAAGGGCGAGGAGTGAAGTGGGCGAGGAGCAAGCTCGCTCTGGACGTTGTCGCCGCGCAGGACAGCAGGACTGCAGGTGCCGACATCAAGACTCTCTTGAGATGTGTAGGTAGCGCTCGGTTGGCGAGGAGCAAGGTTGCCGTAGATGTTGTCGCCGCGCAAGGCAGCACTCCTGCGGGTGCCGACATCAGGATCACCTCTGAGGTCTCGGGGCTGCGTTCGGCGCGGCTGTTGGAGGGACCGCTGTCGGCTGGTGATCTGCTGCCCGCTGGCACGATGCCTGTAGAGCCTGGCGAGCCTGGGTCATGATCTGAGGCGGACGTTAGTCTTGGTGACGTGAGCAATGGTGAACAGTGGAGGAGACTTACTGCCTTCACATTGACTGAGGATACCGTAGCTCGTTGTGGGAGGCGCGTTGGAGTGCGCGAAATGAGTTTTCATGCTGAATGAGGAGGCGTCACTGCTTGAGGAAGCAGTGGCGGCTGAGTGAGCATACCGCTTCTTGCTCGCACGGGGTTTCGCTGCGCCGTCAATGTTTGCCCGCTCTTGGGCTGTGAAGTCCTTCTCTTGTATTGGTAGCATTGCTCGTAGGTGAGAGTCTGAACTTGCTCGCACGGCATGCGGAGGTCGTTGAGAAGGACGTGGTAGCGCGGTTAGTGGGAGAGTGAGAACTGGATCGGCTCCTTCGGCTGCCGGCGTCGTTGTGAAGGACATGGTAGTGAGGTTGATGGCGGAGTGAGAGCACGGGTAGAAGTCGTTCTCGAATGGGCGTGCGGTGCAACTCTCAACAGGCTGTTGCGGAAGAGGATGCCGTTGCGGTGAGGATCCCGTGGGAAGAAGCGGATGTGGTGACGCTTGACGCCGCCGACAGCAGCGAAGGGGATGTCGATCCCCGGAGGAAGAGTAGTTGATGGAGTCCTTGTCGAGAGAGCAAGGGCAGGTGATGGAGTCCTTGTCGGGAGAGATGAAGAACATGATTGCGAAGAGGCCGAGCATGTGATTGATCGCCGGCCTTGTTCCAGATGTTGACGCGTGTGAAGCTGACTTTGACGTGGAAGGCATGCGTAGCTGTAAGACGCGTGTTCTCACTTCTGCTGCTGGTGATGTTGGAGGTGGCCCTCTCACAACGGCAGGCTGATCATGTTGGATGTCTGCCTCTCCTCGGTTGTGGTGATGCAGCGCTCCTTCTCTCTTGAGAACCTCCATCGGCAGTATTTTCTTCGTGCCGTGGGGCGTAGAGATCGGAGATTTCTCCAGATGTGACGGGTCTCGATGTTGGAGAGAAGTCGTGCGGCGGTGAGGTGTGTATACGGTTGAGGAGTCGTGTCGTTTATACTTGGTGGTTGTTGATGGTATATACTGGTGAGAAAGCCGGAGTGGTGGGAAGTCTAATTGCGGATGTGGCGGGTCCGATGCTGAGGGGTATGTTGAGGTGAAATTGAGCGTCTGCGTGTTGTGCGGCGTGTACTGCTGATGCAGATATCCGATTCGTCCTGGTGGCGCGTTGACGATGGTGTCTATGCTCTCCTTGTGGACATTCTGCACGTGAACCATCAAGCCGCCCGGGTTGTGCAGACGCTAGGGGCAGATGTGACACTCGAAGTGCTTCGATGCGCCAGGCAGCTGGCTTGCTTAAGGGCCACGTGCTGGTACTGTGGTGCGAGTGGGTCGTATGGCATCTGGGGATACATCTCTGGACGCATTGGGTGTTGCGGGTGCGGCACGAGTCCTGACCCCCCCTGGTAGAGCTGGAGGTCTGCTTGGGCTCCGAAGCTGCGCATCCAGAGCTGACGCCATCTTCAAGGTTGGCGATTGCTGCGATGACTCTACTTGCCCCGTCCTTGCTATGGGTTGGTGGCCAGCGGGGCGTGAGTGTGGTCTGTGGCCTGTACGGACCGAAGTACTAAGAGGTGTGAACGCCTCGTCTGCAGGGCCGGCGTAGCTTGAAATGCGTCCTCGCTTCATGCTGCCGGGAGATTGCGGGGCATTGGTCGCTCGGATGCGCTGGTCAATCTCAAGAACGTTGCGTAAGCTCTGTGTGATGCGATCGATGCCGGGCTGATTTCTGCGCTGGTTGCTTGTGATAGTTGGACGATGTTGCTCGTATTGGCGGAGCCGTGAGCATGGCTGGAGGCGGAGTTAGCGAGGACTTGTTGTTGTGGAACAAAGGAAGGAGAGGCTGGATGCTGACCTCGAAGTTGTTGTTTCAATCGAAACTTTGGCGGTTCTCTGTCTGGTATGACGCGCCAGGGCGGTGGCTCCCACGCGTGGTGGTCGAAGCGGTGGAAGTGCTGCATGTTGCTGAGTGAACTTTGGTTGCTTGACGACGACCAAGGTGAACAGGAGGAAGTTGTGAGAAACTTGTGATGGAGAGACATCTGGCAAGTGCGGGAGCTAGTTCTAAAGGAGTAGGAGCCCGCCGTGAGGTCAAAGTTGCCTGGAAAGTCTGTTGCTGAGCTGGCTTCACTTTGACCTTCAAACCTCTCCCTCCAACCTCTTTACACACCACACTCATCACATCAACCTCCCCACAAACACTCATCATCTTCTTCACCCACCCAACAACCCCATCATGCCTCTGGCAGTCGAATTCAAGATGCTGCACTTTCTCGTCGGCTTCCGAAGAGACCACGCGTTGCCGCCATTGACAGGTGTGAGCCTCGAGGGCAAGCTCGAACCTGACGTGATTCCCGACGCGAGTGAAGAGGTCGAGAAGAAGAGACTCGACGTATGTACTCACTGTCATGATCACCGCCATCAAAAGTTGCACCTCACTGACCAGCTCCGCCCGAACGAGCTGCAGAAGCAACGACAAGCCCACTTCCAGCAGCAGCGGCTCGAAGTCCAACGAAGATGGCAGCCTCTCCAGCAGCTACGCGACGACGGTGAGTTTATCCACTACTCACCCCTCACCGAACGTCACTGACCACTTCACAGGCCTCACTTCCAGCCCCCACCTTCGCAGCCTCGTCATGGTGCAAGGCCATTGGATTTCAGCTTCCGCCTCCAGGACCTCAGCAGGCGATGCATTCGGCACCAGCACCGCCTCCAGCGGCCAGCATCGAGTCAAGAGGCTCTACGCCAACAAGCGCAGTGACCAAGACAGCTGTGCCTCGAGCGTGGGCTACGACACGCACGGCCGCTACCAACGCAGCCAGCATTAGCGGCGGTGGTGACGTTGGTGAAGCTTGGTACGTCGTTGGTCTCGATACCTCACTTATCCATCACGCTGACGTTGCTTTACCAGCATGACCTCTCCAGAGGAGGTACGACACCGAGCAGTACAAGACGGTGGGCGGGAGTGATGACCGGTACCTGATGGAGCTCCAGCCGGCGGAGCGTGAGATTGCTCAGAAGGTGAGTTGATGTTGACTTGCGGGAATCGAGTTGAAAGAGCTGACACGTGCAACGGGTCGGATTCAAATGCGCAGAGTATCTGCCGACGCCTGAGGGAGATGAGGAGCGACGGAGTCTGGGACTCGGAGGTGACGAGCTGGTGTTCGCTTGCGGGCAGCCGGGCGCACGATCTTCCTTGTCTCAACTTCGTCTTCGTCATCTTCCTCGGTGTTGGCATGATCAACGGCAAGTGGGAGGGACTTCCGGCCTGGATGGCACCGCCGGCGGAGTTTCGCCTCCGTCAGAAGCCAGAGTTGGAATCAGGAACAAAAGGCGCCGCCGCCGAAGCCGAGGGAGATGACATCAACGGAGATGCGGGACTTGGAGGTGACGGGCTGGCGTTAGCTTGCTGGCGACCGGCTCACGATCCTCCTTGTCTCCGTCTTCGTTGTCGTTGTCTTCATTCGGAGTCGGTCGGTGGCGGCCTCCCGTGCGCGGGGCTAGAGAGACGACCGCCAAATCTTTGTGAGTTTTGGTGTGGTGGTCCGGGGGGCCAGGAGAACAGGCATGATTGCGACGTCCAGGGTTAGCGATGGCGTGGAGGGCGGCGGACGGTCATATGTCTTTAGCGTGGCGTCGGTTGATGAGTGAGTGGAGCATCATGAGTTCGATCAGGACACTGCTGACATCGACAGGGTGTTCTACGATTACTTACAACTTCGACAAGTACGTCGTTGTTGTTAGGTTCGAGGAATGGTAGAGGTACGTCTCCTTGCGTCGGTGCTGGCATGCAGCTTGTTTCAGTCGCTGACTTCGCGGACACAGACCATTCGCCGTCCGGGTCTAGAGGCGGAAGGCTACATCGCGCCCGGCATTGCCATTTTCGTCTTCATGGACGGCGTCTATGCTGGTGCGGTGTAGCCTTCCGTCATGCATGCTTTTATGCGTGTCATCACCATTGGGAACACTTCTAACCGGCTGCCTTCAAAGCTGCACCCTCCCAGCCGCTTTTCCTGCAACCGCCGAGTCCTCAGTCGACCACCACGGCGGTTGGAAGTTACGGTAACGGACATCAAGGAAAACCATCAGACATGGCTACTCCCGCCCAGTCTCAGCAGCAGTACTCGGCTGGCGCCTATCCTCCGTCGGCTTTCCGCTGTTCGACTTCAAGCCCGGCGCAGTTCAGCTCTTCAATTCTCTTTTTGATCTGCGCTAGGCTTGAAGTCGAAAGAGTCCGCTCCTCTGGCAAAGTCGCCGGCGGCCTTCCGTTCCACCTCCAGGCACTCGCACCATCTTCGCCTCGCCGCGCCATCGAAGCTCGAGAGCTGGTTCACCCAGTACAACGGCCGCTCCCATCGAATTCTGGACTCTACGTACCCCTGAAGGTGGTAAGCCTAGCTGTGTGTTCGGGGTGTTCGGCGGCCATCAAGAGGTGAGTGGTACATTTGTCCTCATACATGCCTCCTTGCCGAAAAGTTTCCTAAACAGACTGCAGAGTCGTTGAGCATGAACGGATGCGTTCTCAACGATCGCGCAATCGAAGTCTCGCCGTCCTCCAATCGCGACAACCTCACACCGACCGCGGATGCCACCGAAAGCTGTCCGCTGCCAATTATGGCTCGGGGATGGCCGGCCTGTCAGGCTCATTACCTTGATGGGCTGGTATTGTAAACACTCCTGGGCCGGGTGGCGGCAGCTGGTACCTGCCAGCCAGAGAGAGAGCCGCCAAATTTCTGGTCTTTGGTGCTCTGCACTGCGGACATCCTGGGCGTCGCTTCACCGCAGAACTGGACGTTGGTGTTGGCGTTGCCTCCTGTCTCATGAACAAGATGCTCGATTTGATGGACCCGATGTTCCTAGTCAAGTTTGGCTCCTACCCGACGAAAACCCACACCCCGGTAGCGCTTCCAGTCGTCGCTACAATCGCTCGAGCGGACAGATGGCTCCGCTGAACAAGAGCACTGGCACCGAGCCGTAGACCGTCTCCCGCGAGAGGATTTTCGAAGGCCATGATATGCTCGCCATCTTCAATCACGCCAACCGCAGACGCTTGAACTTCTCATACCTGCGCATGGGCTTCAGGAGGGGCACCAACGTCGGGTACGACTTCGTCAGCTTCGACGACCCCAACGAAGATGCTTCGGCGTGCCTTCCAGGCCATGGCTGGACTCGCCTGGCGGAGTCTACGTACGGGGTCTGTCAGGGCCAGGACGGCTGTATCGAGAAGCGGCCTGACCGGAGAGACTAGAGAGAGAACCGCCAAATTTTGTGAGACAGAGTACGAGTCCACCACATGTCCGAAAAGAATACTTGACCGTACTCACTTTCTCATCAGGTGACCAGCATTGCGGGGGCGGAGAGGAAGCGCTCGTACGCGGCGGTGGCGCGGCTACCTCCGATCAACACCTACCTGGCTCGCGTTGCCTCTGGTGTCGCACCAGTCTCCTCCAATGGCCCTGGCTCGGCCATCTCAGCCGTGGCTACCCCCTTTCCTCCGGCTCCAGGACTCCCGGACCGGCCACAGGGGCGACTCAGAGCGCTACCATCCGGAAAAAGAAGAGCTGGAACTGTTTTCTGCACAGCCATTGTCGTGCCACTGCTGCCCGCAGTCCGCCAGCCTGCCATGCCAGAAGCCGCTGTGGCATTGGGGCTACAGCGCTGCGGGCGGGGGGGGCGAAGCTAGAGAGACAACCGCCAAATTGTTTGAAGACTTGTCAGTTTCGTCCACCTTAACCTCCTTCGCTGTTCCTGCCTCATTCGCCTGGGTATGCCGAACTGTCCTCGATCGATCAACAGCTGACCGTTTGCATAGCCCGCGAGCTGGACCGAGGGCTTCACCAAAAAGGCCATTGCCACTGCCACGGCGGTGTCTCCCGCTGCTCGCCGGAACCATTGTCAGCCATTGCCACAGCCATGGCGCCGTCCTCCGCCGCTCGCCAGACCAGATCAACCAAGCAGCACAGCGCCAGAATGGAGGGCAGCGCGAGGCGAAGCTAGAGCAAGAAGCGCCAAATCTTTTGAGTCTTGTGAGTGCCCCCTCCCAACCTCCTTTGTCCTGCTTGCTCGACAGCCGGGGCATCTTCGCATGCAGCCGAGGTACCACTCGCTGACCTCCCGCACAGCATATCAAGACCCGCTCGCGACATGTGGCGCCGCTCATACAACCGCTTACCGGAGAGCCGTGCCTGCTCTTCGACGCTCCACTTGCGAAGCCAAGGCAGAAGCTTCAATTGCCTCTGTCACAGGCAGCACCAGGCACAGCAGCACACCTCCTCCTGGCCCTCACTCCAGGCTGCAGACAGCTGCACTCCCGGCCAATATGATCACGCTGCCTCTCCATCAAATAGCCATGGTCAGCAACCATGCACCAGGCTCCGTATGGTCTCCGTGGACAGTCCTGAGCACTTCCTGTCGCATGCTCATCAGACAAGCACATGCACCGCTCCGCCTCGCCGACGTCTCAACAACAGAGAACCTCCACCACATCTCGTCGTCGAGATACAAGTCGACACACTCAGCGACTGGTCTCCCGTTCCACCAAAACGACACGTACAGGTGAGGCACCCTCCACCAAAGAAGCCGTTGCTGTTCATCACGTGGCAAGCAGCGCAGGAGCATGATCCACTGCTCAGGTGCGGCACAAGGGCATCGAAGCTTGGGCAGGATACAATTATGGATGGGTTGGGCAGTGGCTGTTGGAGAGATGGCCACGCAGGGTCCGTGGTGCGGAAGCTACGTTCGGGTTTGGAGAACAGGGAGAGCAGGTGCTGTCGTGGGAAGTTGATGAGAGATCAAAGGGCATGATATGGCGTCGTATGGGCGACTGTTGAGGACAGAAGATGATGAAGAGGACCAGGGCGGTGTCAGGAATGAGAGTTTTGCTGCGTTAGGGTTTTCAGATCGTTGTTCGCTTAATATGTAATTCCATTTGTTCATATGCTGCTCTCGTTCAGTCTTCCCACTTTTCAAGTACATCCAGTGGGCCGCCGTGCTCCCGTCAGGCTTCAGCGCCGGCGTCGCCTTCTTGCATCGACCTCTCCGGCTTCCGCTGTTGATCTCCTTGGCCCATCCTGCGACATCAAGGATCATACTCCCCATACCACTCCCTCACCCGGCTGTAGTGCCGGCGTCCCCTTGTTGTGTCGACCTCTCGAGCATCCACCAGGGCTCTCCCGCCGACCAACTTCCCATCGCGAGCGGACTTCAGCACCCAAGGTTTGCCAATCTCAAGTGGTGGTCTTCACCATCCGAACTTCCACGTGATCTCTTGCCGGCGTCCGCCCTGGTCTTGAGTCTACCAGGTTCAGGTCATCGCATGGTTCCACGTGCGTATTGACCTCTCCAATATGCGCAAGTGCTTTCCCGCCGAGAAGCTTTGCGGGAGCACTTCAGCACGCAAGATCTGCCCATCACGACCTCAAGCGGAGGTCTTCATGCCGAACGATCTTCCACCGGCTTTACCACCAATGTCCAGCTCGGTCTTCAATCCTTCGAAGCTCAGGTCATCGCGGAGCTCTTCGTACGTAGCCACGCTCGCAACCGCCGCAGCCGCTTTCTCGCGATGGACATGCCGAGCACGCTTTGGGATCCAGGTCCTGGCAAACTATGGTGGTGCTCCTCATCCAGCCTCCATGGGTCCACTCGCAGTGTCTATACCGGACATGACTTCCTGCGATCTCCTCTGACACCTTCGTACATGCACCCCGCCGACTGACGGCGTTCCTACCCTCCTCCTACCTGATGGCCAGTACACCCACTCCCCGTCAGAACCTCGCTGCCACGCTCGTACTCATGCGAGGTACAATAAACATCTGGGCACCGACGTTGACTCTGTCCAGCTGTTCCACTGCTCCGCATGTTCTGGTAGCCGAGCCGGCACCTTGACGTCTTGGCTGCCCGCAAATGTTTTGCTAGCCGGCATCAGAAAGGGTGTGGTACATCCGCACAACTCAGCACCGATCTTTTCTGTCATGCAAAAAGGTTGCTGTGAACTTCCATGTTCTCCTGATCCGCTTTCGACTGCCATCAGTGCCAGCATCCGGCCATCTACCAGCTCTCTCCCGCCTTGCTTAGCCAATACATCGCGCAGGAAATCTTTGGGAGGCGAGCTCTGAACATACTCTTTGCAAGTTGTGTCTTCTCTTCAACTCTATGCCTGTCGGCTTGCAAATCGATCTGGGCCACAAATCAGCATCAGCATTGCGGCTAGAACATGTGCCGATCTGCCTCGACCATGTTGCTTGGTATCGAGAATCCAGCCATGCACTAGGCCTGTCTCGAAGACTCGCACTCGCTCAGCCTTCACGGCCACGCCGTGCTTTTGCTCGCCCATTCCAACTGGCTCAACACCTACTGGGCATGACAGGCGAGACAGTCCTGCCTCGATTGCTTGCTCCTGCTACCATTGAAGCCACATTGGCGCAGATGTTCCAGCGGAGGCCATTTATGAATTCGCAGCCCGCAGAGCAATGCAGTGTCGAGGAAGCAAGCCCGGCGCAGGAGGTGTCTGAGGCTTCTCGAGGTACCGTGCGGATCAAGCTCCAATTTCGGACCTTCTAGCCATTGCGGAATGCCGGTGTAACTCGCTCGGTGCAACTTGCTCGGTGCTTTGAAGTCGGCCAGCGTCGTCACTCCGGTTTGTCGAGCAGGTGTGTCACCCAACGGGCCATGGAGAGAGCCTCAAGCTGGATTTGCAGCTTATTCAACCCTACTTATGACGTCCAGAACCATCAGGTGCAAATTGCGGGATCCCTTGCCCCTTGGAGAGCACTCCTGCAATTCCACAGCCAGCTGGCCGGCATCCCAGAGGCTGCAGCCGTGTCTTTGAGCCTTCCTCGAGCCTGATGTCTTCTCCAGCCTACATTCTTCTTCCCAGGCCAGAGCGAAACTATGAGTATTTGACCTGCAGGCGGACTGTATCTTCTCCAGGCTCACATACCGACGGGAGAACATCGGCCGGACCAATTCGGCTGAGAGCTTGCTCCATGCGCAGCGGAGAACGACTGTACTGCTCTCTAGAATCTGCTCGAGCGGGTGGATCGGTCCCTCAGAAGACAGCGATCGTTCAGGATGGCCTCAATCGTTCATTATCATCACCCCCGCGGCTACTCCATCGTCTCCCAAAGCGGCGTCAAACCGCAGCATTCTGGCAAGTATCTTGGGCCTCACAGTCTTCTAACGAACCTTGCAGCTCCGCTTGGTCGCTGACTTTGTCTGCGTCAACCTTTTCCCAGCAATCTAAGCCCCCGTGACCGGCATCCGGAGCAGCGGTGCATCTTTCCTTGAGCGGATATCTTCCTCACCTCGCACCCATTCCGGGGAATCCGGTCCACAGAGAAACGATGTCTTCCCGCACTCAACAGCATTCAGCTCGTAGCCTGGTCTCCAACGACAACTCTGGCACTGCAATTACAACGCCATCATCGTCTTCGGGTCAACGGGTCATTCATACGGCCGGGAACGACCTGCTTTGGGCGTGGGAGACTCAGGCCGTATCACTGCCTCCTGCGCTGCGTCGTCTGGCTGGCATTCCAGGATCGGAAGGCTAGTGACAAGGGGGGCATTGAGCCTGAGCAGGCGGCCTGCCTCGGCGGAGGGGGGACCGTAGTGCCTAGGAAGCTGAGTAGGCGCAGCTGCGACTAACGGCTCGCCAGAGCTTTGCGAAATTGTGGAGGATGATGGGAGGCCGAGGCTTCCAATTTTGGGCGGCAGATCGGTGCTTTGAGGTGGTGATCCGGCGTCAGGCCGTGCTGCGAGAAGCGTATCCTGCGGCGAGCGGTAGATGTGCTGGACAGACTTTGACCACTGTTTGGACGTGGCGTGATCGTAGCAGCTCGGGCTGTCTGAAGTTCTGCACGACGTACCCTATTCTTGACCAACACCATTGATACCTTTGCGTACGTCTGTACCTTGCGGCGCCCAAATCAAAGCCCGTTCGCATTCTCGCTCTTCTTGCTCTGCATGTGGGCACAAAGTCCTCTCGCCCTCCCGTCTCTCCACCCAAAAACGCTTTACTCTTACAAAGTGGCAACCGACGGGCCTGCGCTCACATCGAGAACGGCTTGCTGCCGCTGCATGACGTTCCAGTCTTCTCTCCGAAGCCTATCAACCCCGTCCTTGCCTTCTCCATACTGGCAGCTCAGGATCCAACTCACTCAATCTTCCTTGTACTGCAGTCCTCAAGCGTTCCATTCCCGACGCCGGTATCTCATGCATTCATTCTCGCCAACTTCATCTGCCGGGAGAGGATATGCACTTGCATCTTCTCATCACAGCAACGTATCTTCTCCGCAATGACTTTCCACATTCATCATCATCGCGCTTCTCCTGCCTCTTCAATCCAAGCCTCGTCACCCACCGTCCAGCCGGTAAGCGGGGCTTCCAGGCTTCTAGCCCTCGCCGGGCTGCACGCTGCCATCCTTTGATTCACAGGATGGATCCTGAATTGTACCCCGTCATCCGCTCGGTGAGTGGAGGCCTTGTGATCCTACCAGGCAAGTTCGCTCAGTCTCGTAGAAGCGGTTTGACTGTCCTGACTTTGGCTACAGCCGTGTCGAGCTTTCAGCTCGGATGGAGTATGGGCGGAGGCGAATATGTTATTGGTGTGATGGTTTTGTCAAAGAGACGGACCAGCAAAGGACGAAACGTCGCCTGCGCTGGATTGGTGGACATGATGAACTAAAAACGGTGGGCTCTCGTCTTGGGCTCGACTGGAGGGCGGCGTGGAGCAAGACACACTCGTTGGGAGGCGATGAAGGCGTCGTACGACTGCTCTGCTGATAGACTAATTGGCGTTCAAGCCCTCCCACAAAGCGTCAATAGACGAGCCCGGCGACTGCTAATTGCTTCTCATGATTCGTCCTGCGCCAGCCTCAGCATACTCTTCCTTGCTAGCCTTTCTTCGAAGCTGCTCCAGCACTCGCGGCGTCCCATCCAGCCGGCCGTGAGTACCTTCTCCTTGCTGGTCATCGCTGTTGGCTCTGGAAAACATCCTGGAAGTCTGCTGTTGGTGTCCTGGCTGACGACTCCAGCACGGCTTGCGTGTACATTACCACATCTGTGGGTCTCCTGCATTCTTTTCCAGTCCAGTTGTAGTCCTTCTGCGCTTCGCCTCGCCCTGCTCACGGGACTGTTTTTATGCGCTCCTTGCCCCGCCCGAGTTTTACTGCGCCTTGAAAGCCTGCGCTGTCCTCACATACTGGTCGGAAAATGTCCAGCGACAGGAACCACCTTGCCTTGTGGAGCCGACTTTATCGTTTCAAGTGTTCGGTAAGAAGGGCGACTTGTCTGGCCATTTGCAGCGTTCCTTACATGGAGGAAGATATTTGCTTTCTCCCTTCTCTTGAAGTCGCGGCCGTCGCTGCGTATCCCTTGCGTCGCTCCCAGTCCCAAGTAACCGAATCCGGCAATCCCAACAATGGCAGCATTTCTCGCAAACATAAGCGGCCCCTTTGTTCGCCATGTCGTATCTTGAGCTTTGTGCACCATCTCACCTTGCCCGCTTCTACGCTACGTAGTTGATGACGATTCGTCCGCCTCGCTATCGTCTTACTAATAGTTGTCGAGGGATAAGTATGTCATCAACACGCACAAGGAGAAGCGCAAGCCTTCGAGCTCGGCCAGTACGTCGAGTGGACGACTGTTGCGCCTATTCAAGGCGTTGTGCCGATCGATTCAGGCTATTAAGACTGCAGCTCACCTGTAGTGATGCTGCGGGCGTGGCAGTTGTTACGAGTAGCCAGGTTGGTGTCCGTCGTGCATGGACATGCTGTAGGCCAGGTCAAGCTGTCCTAGCAAAGCGGAGCGGGCGAGTAGTCGGTGCTGAAGCACGCGACGACCGTGTCATCGACCGACAAAGGCTGCTTTGGTCCCCAGTCGAGGCGTGAATACATGGAAGGTGTAGAGAACGTGAGTAGGACGCTTCAAACTACGTGCGTAACGTTGTACTTCAAAGGCAGGAGTGCGATGTAGAGTTTGTTGAGAGGTGGCGTTTGCCCCGACGAGATATCCTGAACGCGCTACGTCCGCCCTCCTGCCCGATTCGGTGTTTTGTTTCGCCGCGGACATGTGCTACTCCAAACAACGCCTATAATAAAGACCGAATCCTGTACATCCTCCACGCCTCCCAAGGTCTACAGAAAGCCATCACAAGCAGGTCTTATGTTTACATCCGCATCTCCCTTTGGTTTTAACGAAAGAGACCGCCATCCGCCTACAACACCGACGCAGCGCCAGTCGATCTGGCCGAGCGCGAAGATTACGACGAACGAGTCTCGTCTTTTCACTCTTGTGCGTAGCGTAGAGCGATGCTTGAACCGCCATGCTGCTACTAACATGGTTCACACCCGCCAACACTATAGGAGACCCGCGCATACACTTCGAACCGAGCCCGACAACAGGGTATGGTTTCACTCTACCACCATCTCGAAGAGTCCTTTATAAAGTACCTACCCGTAATAGACGGACTTCCGCCCCGGGCTGACTTCCTTACCACTATGCGAAGCGCAACAACATATCAACTTGTTCCAAACAAAGCCGTAGCCCCCTCGCCACCGAAAAGCGCCCCGAGGAAGCATCAATGTCTCCTACGCGCATCCGGCACGGCAGCGCAATCCCTCTAGATTGACACGGATGTTCTGGGCAGAGTGCAGAATGCCGGCTCCTCAAAGGCATGCTGCTCACCATCCGAGGTGATGCACTTTCACCCGACCCGAGAACAAAGAACAATAAATTCTAGTACCCGACTTCCCGTAGGGCTCCTAGATCTCCTACACGAGCACGTCGCCTCCCCGATCGCCACATCATTTCAGCTGCGCGAAGCCCATCTCGAAAGCATAGTGGCTACAGCACCGAGTCTCTAGCAGCAGGCGCATATTGAAGCAAGATGTCACGACAGGATCACAGGGATCGAAGTGAAACGAGCTTCCCACCAGGCCTGGCAGAGCCAGACGCCTCGCAAGCAGGGGTCGTCCGTGGTGCGACAAGGTCGCTTTAAGATGGGAGCCCATATTGTTCCAGCGAGCGAAGACAGTGCACGCACAGCCAGCCGGCGAGGGTGCGGCGCATATCGAGTGCCACTGACGCAGGTATTTGACAAGATGAGACCCTCCATCAGGCTCCGCGCGGACTCTCCAGCCGGAAGCCCCAAGGCGTACCGACGGCTGGACGGCGCCACGGCGAACAAGGCACGAACCTGGAAGCACATGCATGGATGACTGGATTTGCAAGACGACCTCACTCGCGGTATTGCAAAGCTGACCGAGAAGGACGTCTCTCGACTAGGAGCCATGGAGGAAGCCTCATCGATGTTAAGTCTGAGATGGAACGAAGGCACGATGTCGAGGGCAGCGAGAACTTGACGACGTACGACACAGCCACCGAGAAGAACATGTCATGAAGTGGATCACAAGAAGGCAAGATCCGATCTCCGTACATGCTATACTTGGGTTGGATCAGAACTTGCGCAGACCGGATGGTGGAGTAGGAGCCGCAGCAGGGCAGCACACGTAGGACCTACCCCAAGCTCGACATGCGCTGGAGGCTGCAGGGACCAAAGATTGTTGGGACTGGACCTAGAAGCCGGGATACGCAAGCTGGGATCGAATGCGTGGTGGCCTTGACGCACATCAAGTCCCGAGGGAGCCGAGCTGGAGCGAGCAGAAGCAGCTGAAGCATGGCGGCGCCTCGTCATAAGCGAGGATATGAATGCGCAGCCAATGGAGAAGGTAAAAAGCAAGCCGATGCGTCGCCGGCGTCGTGCAGGAGAGTCGTTGAGCAGAAAGACAAGTCGTTGATCTTCTTGGACCAGTCAGTACACGAGTACCGGAGCAGACACGTCAAGGAGCGCGAGACGAAACCATGCAGGATGACAGAAAGGCCGACGACAGAACAGCAGCGGAACTACGCAGCGGCACATCGAAGGTGCGGGCGAGCCTCCAAGGCAAGTTCTTACACATCGTCGGCAAGCAGGACGCGGCATTCCTGGACGATCTGGTCTCGAAGTACGGCAGCGCCAACAAGCAGCCCGGCTCCGACTTCGTTAATCTCCGACGTAGCATTCGATCCGTGTGAAAGATGCGAAGCAGCGCGGCACCTCAGGCAAGTATATGGCTCCAGTTTCTAAAGAAGGGTGCGGAGGTAGGAAGTGCAGCATCGGGTCCAAGGCTTTCGAGATTCCTGCTGCTCCAAATTTGTGCAGTGCAGCAGTGCTCCGATAGGAAGACGAAATGAACCAGGACAATGCAAGCGCATCCTCAAAACACAGCAGAGCAAAGCATCGAGCTCGGTGACTCAGCAAGCGCGGAAGAAAGCCCGGGCGAGTAGGCATGCCAAAGCTCGTAACGTTGAAGGCGAGATGGCAGCAACGGTCGCAAGCAGCGCCGGGCCTTCGGCGTGGAAGCCTGCGGATGCTGAACGCAGCAGCCAGGAGACTGGAATGCATCCGACGAAGACTGCTGCAGGCGTGACAGCATCCCGGAGATTCGAAACACAGTGCCACAGGAAAGCTGGTGGACAAGACCATGCCTATGGCTCAGGGGCGCATTATTGGTCGAGAGGGAGCGCCGACGGTGTACGGGCTCCGATAGAAGTTGCAGCACAAACCGGGGGAGACGAGCATCACCCTGGTCCGATCCTTGACACACGCCTGGAGGATCCGAGGAGAGAAAAGCTGGCCGGCTCCGAGCCGGAATACGCAATAGAGCTCTTGTCTCCCGCCCAGTCAGAGAGCAGGGTGCGCAGGAGGTTGGGAGTTGAGAACATGCGAGCTGGAGAACAGATGGCGGAAGACGAGCAGACGCCTTGAGCTCTACAGACCTCCCAAGTCCATCAACAACATCAACCGCATACAGGTCAATTAGTCCGGACCCACAGGCCGAGTCTTACTGAGGACGTAAGCAGAAAGCTCAGATGATGTTATCTGCTAGAAAACCGGAAGAGCGCAAACATACTTCGAGTCGTCAAGGGTTATCAAGTTACGTTTTCCCGGCGAGTACAACATGGCAGGACACGACATTGCTTCGGCTTGGAAGCATACACGAGCTCTCGGTGTCAGTTGAGGTACAGAAGTGATGTCGATTGAGTTTGAGGGATGAGAGTGATGTGCTCTGGCCTGTCGAGCTCAGAGGGGCCTGGAAGAAAAACGATGCTTGAAGGAGGAAAAGAATTGCAGCATATCTCGGACCGACAGGCTCACCAACTCCCAGGAGGCTACCGGCAGCACCAAAAGCATCGAAAGCCTAGACTACAGGCCTCAACACACACCAGCGCCGTCCTCCCATCTTGCTAGAGCCGTGGTACCCATTTCGTCAGCAACCGCGGCTAGCGGGATGAAGGGAGTAGCGAGGGAGCGAGAGATCGAGAGAACGAAAGAAATGCAGCAACATCTCTTCGGCCCCATGGCTCACGAAGTCTCCCAGCGCCATCGACGAAATCAAAGAGAGCATCAAGAAACGTAGCAGTGGGGCAGAGGCACGCCGGGCTCCTCCAATCGAAGGCTTCTGTCGACGGCAAGCAAGGTTCGCCAGCACAAAAAGGGATGGAAGGAGTACCGACGCAGAGGTCGGCCGAGTAAAACGCTGCAAGGAGAACATGGCTTGGGCCGCGAGGCTCACCAAGTCTTCCCACGCCATCTAAGCCATCAGCAACGCCAAAAGCATCAAGGAAACCTCCTCTGGGCGGCCGAGCTCACCGGAGACCACCCGCAACTTGCATCTGACTCCCCACCCAGGCCATCCATCAGCATCGGCAAGGGAAGCGATCACCACAACCCCCCGCCCGATCATCCCCTCCAACGAAGCGAAGCGAAGTTAGAACCGGAGAAGGAAGACAGCAGAGAGCAAGAAAGCATGAAAGATATTCTCTCTAGGCCCAAAGGCTCCCCGCTCATCGGCCATGCCCGCCTTCAAACTGTTCATCATCAGCAGCCGCACCGGCATCACAATCGGAGAAGCAAGCACAGCAATCCGCTCCATCCATCTCAAGCATCAACTCGTCTTGGTCGAAGCTTCGCAACGCCAGCGGCAGGATCGAAAAGCAGAAAGGAGACGGTATGTGAAAGCATCGGGCACGCAGGCGCACCGGAAAGCTCTCGATCACCACCAACCTCCGACAGCGAGGAGAGCATCAGCAGCGAGAAGGGCAGGTGACGGCCCACAGCCCAAGAAGGTCAGCGAGGCCCTCTTGAAGCACCAGCTCATCCTCGTCGAAGCATCGCAACGCCAGCAGCGAAATGGAAAAACAGAAAGAAGACGAGAAAGCATCGGGCCCGCAGGCGCACCGGAAAGCCCTTAGGCCAGAATTACCATCTCAGCTCAACTCCCGCCTTCGCGCAACCTCCACCGTCGTCGTTTGGCAGCGGGGAGAGCAAGTGGCTACCGAAGTAGTCAGCAAGGCCGTCTCGGCCCCACCACCACCATCCTTCCGAGCGGCACAGCAAAACCAAGACAGCAAGGTCTCGGTGAGAATGGACAGACCAAGTAACAGCCCGAGCTGGTTATCAAGGGCCCCTCGCACCATGACACCGTCATCTTCCTCGGCCGCGCCGCAGTACCGGATCAGCGAGGTTTGGATAAGGATGAGCCGACCAAGTGACAGCAAGAGCAGTCAACAAGTCCCACACCTCCCCCTTGCCATCCGCTCCGGCCCCTCCGTGCCCTCGAACAATACCCACAGCCCAACAGCCCAGCAGCCCGACATCCAACAGCCTCCTCCCCATCCCCGCAGGAGAAGGCAAGAAGGCAACGAAGCAGCCGGGACAAGGCGCACGAATCCCACCGACCACCCGGTCGATCACGACGCCTTCCGGCATTCCCGACCACATCATTCGCCTTGTCATGGCTGGCCGAGGAGGACAAGCGGGAGGGGTGGGCGAGTGACGGCTAGAGCAGTCAACAACACCCTCCTTTCCAACACCTTCAGCAAGCCCCCAGGTTCCCAAGCCCTCGGTATCAATTGAAGGGGGGAGAAGGAGAGGAGGAGGACGAGTGACGGCCAGAGCAGTCAACAACACCCCCTTCACCCTCATCCTCGCCCTCAGCAAGCCCCCAGAGTCCCAAACCCGTCAATCTCAGTCTCGAAGGGAGGTATTAAAGGGGAGGATAGAGTGGCTGTCAGAGCAACCAACACCCTCCTTTCCACCACCCCCAGCAAGCCCCGGAGTCCTAAAGCCGCCAATCTCTGTATCGTTCTCGACGAAGAGAGGCAAGGAGGGAAGGGAGGACGAAGTGACGGCCAGAGCAATCAACAACACCGCCCTGCAGCCCCCACTCTCCTCACCAAGCCCCCGGGTTCCCAATGCCGTCAGTTCCGAAGGAGGCGAGGAAGGAGAGGATGCAGTGACGGCCACAGCAGTCATCAAGCAACCCCCTCAGCCCTCAGTACCACCAAAACGCCCCCGACTCCCCAAACACCGTCAATCTCACCAAAAGCAGAGCAAGCCCTGCCCCCATCAGACGCCAGACCAAGCAGCAGCGAGCCACAGCTCCACCACCAACCCACCCTGACATCCTACAGGCCCCAGAATCCCAATATTCAGAGAGCCCACTCCGCAAACGCAAGAGAACCTCCCGACTCAGCCGAGCGCAGCAGCAGAGTGGGAGCAACCCCGGGCACAGCCATCGTACAACGCCTCGCACCAGCGCAGGTACGGCAGTAGTGTTACGTATGACGGACCAGCCGGCTGTGCCGTGTAAACCAACAAGCGGGACGATTGAGTGCCTTTTTTGACCTTCGACTCGGGAAGGGGGGGTCCGAGCAAGCGTACTGCCCGTGCTCGAAGCGACTCGGGGTGAGAAGTTCGAGGTTAGGGGTCCGGCGAGCGGGACGGGAGCGGACGGTTCTCGAAGAAAGTGTGTGGTGCAGAACAGGAAGGGGAGGGGAAGAGATGTGAGGGGGAGGCTGGCCATGTGTCTGCCAGAGCGAGACATCAGGGTCAGCGAGGTGTAGAAGGAAAGGAGAAGGCGGGCCAGGACAGGCTCTCCGCCGGGAAACCATGGTGGCGGGGGTGTAAGAAAAGGCATCATCAGACGCAAGTGCCTTCCGGGGAATTGCAGCAAGGCCAAGATTCGCGACGAATGAAGTGCAGGTGTGTGTGCTGGGAGCGCCGAGGGGAAAAAATCATCAGACGCAAGTGACTGCCAGAGCAGTACATCAAGGCCGAGATCGTGCAGTGCTGGTGTAAGTGCTGATGGGAACGATGAAAAAGAAATGTCATCAGACGAGTGCCTTCCGAGGAAGAGCAGCAAGGTCGCGATCAAGCGAGCGAGCGAGTGCACGTGAGCAAGGGAAGAAGTGCTGAGGTGCAGGGAGGGGAGTATCATCAGACACAAGTGCCTTCCCAAGAAGAGCAGCAAGGTCGAGATCGAGCGAGCGATTAAGTGCAGCGAGCGTTTCCAAGCGGTGAAAAGCAAAGAGATGCGAGGGGAGGTGCATGCGGGCCTACCAGGCTCACCGCCAGAAACGAGTTCGACGAAGAGCAAGCGGCGAAGGGGCAGCGGAGCGAAGCAAAGCAAGAAAAGCGAAGAAAAGAAGAATATCTCAGTCGAAGCGCCGCTGTTGAAGCTCCAGCTCCTCCTGGAGAAGGATGTCGAGGCCAGAGCGGAGCAGAGTAGGCCAGGGTGAGAATCGCGAGCTTGCCGTTATAATCGTGGTCGTCGGCCGGCGCAAGTGACTGCCGCGGCAAGTACGCGAGCGAAGCGGAGATGTTGTCGAGCGAAGCTTGAATTCGAGGGAGTGTGGCCGGCGTCCTCAGCTTGTTGGCGTGCTGATGGAGGTGCTGATGGCCTTCCGCCGGAGGTGTTGAGAGCCAGGCGGAGATGTCGTGGTGCTAGAGATCGACTGACCGTAGTGCGTGCTTGAGCCCGAGAGTAGGAGGTCTGCGGCTCCTGCAGGCACTTTCAGCATGTCTTCATGCCGTCGTTGTCGTCGAAGTCCAGCGCAAGACGTCGTGATGCTGCTCTTCCCCCACCCCATCCATCCAGCTCAAGTTTGAGCCCACCCCCAGCTCAAGCATCCACGCACAAGTGTCTTCCAGAGAAGTCATCAAGTACGCTTCCGCTCAACCCCCAAGAAAACAACCGCAACCACACGCACATACCAGAAACCAAGCCGCCCCACAAGAGACAATCGCATCATGCCGCGATGGACTCGTCGAAGAAGCGAAACTCTGCGCTGTGATTTGTGTACGAGCATCGGGTCGATGGGGAGTTCCTCGTGGGGTGCCTCTTCTTCTTCTGTGCGTGGGCGGGGAGTGTCGAGGGCGTGCGGGCGTGCGCTGTTGCTGGATGGGTGGATGGGAGGGTGTAAGGGTGGTGCGTTGACGCTGTTCTGTTTCGTCCCGCTGGGCTGGGCTGGAGGGCCGAAGCAAGGGGTGGAGGTGCCTATTTCGACTTCAGTGATGAGGTCTTCCTTTTCAACGCGGCTTTTGCGTACCTTCTGATGGTATTGATGAGGTTTGAAGCCTTCCTGAGGCCGGACGAGATGGAGCCAGAGTGTTGAAAAATGCAGATGACAGCCCGATGAGGGGAACAGCAGCTTTAGCCGACCGAGCTCGGCGGGGATCAGGTAATCGGCGGTGGCGGCGGCGAAGAATATGAGGAAGCGGCGAGCAGGTCAAGAGGGAGGTCTGCTCGCTGTCGTCGTCGCTGCGGCTGTTGATGAGGAAGCCGCGATGGCCGGAGTGAAGCCCAAGTGAAGTGAACCCAAGCCCTTGTTGGTGGCAAATTGGCGGTGCTGCTCCTCATTGCGATGCCGCGTACTGAAAGCCCCATCGGAGCGAGCGCTGAATCGTATGAAGCCGCTGCTACGAGCTCGCGCGCTCATCGTCGCTGTCGCCGCTGGTGGAGAGGGCGGTGGAGGGCGGCGGTGGCGAAACCTGCCCCGGCGGAAGCGGGAGCCTGCTGAAGTCGATGATCGCGAGGCTGTTGAAGCAGTGCGTGAAGGCGAAGTGAGGAGGTGTGGTTATGGTGTCCTCGTCGCTGGCTGAGCCCGGCATCCGCCCCTTGTCTGCCCCAGCAGTGAGGTTGTCAGGTTGTTCTTATCAGCCTCCCGCCTCTTCTGCTCCTCCTCCGCATCATCAAGCGCACCGCCGTCATCGCATCGCCATATTGTTGTGAGGGAGGAAGTCGGCATAAAGCGCCCGGTCGGCGGAAAAGCGGAGGTACGGTGCTACTTCTGCCTCTGCCCTCGATGTCAGCGGCGCCCTCCCCGTCCCCCAATCACTACTACCCTCACTGGGCTTCACCGGGGGAGGGAGCACTCACTGCTCTGGCCATCCTCGTCTTCATCCCTGCTGTACTGCCATTGTCAGGCTGCTGTCGAGGTGAGAAGAAGCGGGCTTCAGCGTCGGCTTGGGCTTCAATCGAGTGAGGCTTGGCGTCGCCGCCTCCCCCCTCCGCCCTTGGCTATGATACCGCTGCTACTGTCCCCCTCGGCGCTTCAGGAGCTGGGCGACAGACTCCTCGTGCTCTTGTCGTCGCTGTGTGTGTAGGGTGAGGCTACAACGCCCGCAAGAGCATCACCGAGCCTGCTGCGCTTCCTCTTCCACCTCACGGCATCGTAGGACTGCGCAGCGTATGCGAAGGGTGTAGGGAGGATGATGAGGAGCTCCGCTGCTGTTTGCAGGGTTGCAAGGGTGGCGGGACGGTGTTGTGCAGTGGTAGGCGTGGGTGGAGGACAGTGACCGCCAGCGCGAGCGGAAGAGCTGCGGATTGCCAAGAGGGGACTAAACTTTGCTCTGACCTCACCTGTTCGCTGCTGCTGCGGTGCGGGCGGTGGTTGCGAGAACAGCGGAGGTCTACGGGGGCTCATGGGGCTCGATGGGTGTGGTTGGAGGCTCGTCCGAGCATCTAGGATGTTCTATGGTACGGCTGGTGGCTACTGAAGGCCCAAGTGCCCGCATGGAGAGCCGGCGAGTGAACAGGGCTGTGGGCACGGCGGCACTGCAACGAGAGCCTGGCACAAGAACCACAACGAACCAGCAACTTAGAGTCCTGAAGCTGGACAAGAAGACGCAGAGCATTGTACATTCCACCTCGAGACATCTATGCAACGACCTCACCCAGAATAGGCAACGACGTGTGCATCCAGCGGCCATGAAGCAGAGCAGGCCGGACAGCAGTGGCGGCTCGGAAGAAGCAGTAGCTCAGCGCCTTGCCGCGGGAACATCGCAAGTACATCAGGATGGCCCTGGAATAATCAAACGTACACATCGGCAGTCCAACGACAACATCGCCATAAGCACCGGAGTGAATCGAGAGTAGAACCATCTCCAACTCAAACCAATCCCTCCACCGCCCTAAAATCCACCCAGCACACTCAGTGCCCTTTCACTCAAAGCTCCTCTGCTCAGAGACGTTCCAAGTGGGCATCACGAGCTACTCGCCACTGCCTTCCTGCCTACTCTACTTGCCAAACCGCATCATCTGATCCAAAGCTACCACGCCACTTCAGCAATCGTGGAGGAGCGCAAGGTACTATACCTACGATTCCCCTCTTCCCAGTCTCTCGGCTTAGAAATCGTTGAAGTTACGTCTTCCTCAAACGAAGAGACAGGGTCGAGTCGGGGCAGCAGAGTCAGTCATCAGCTGACCGACTGCGTCGGGTCTGCGCAGTAGAAGTGCGGGACAGCAGTGCTCTGGCGGTCAGTCCCGTCTGTTTGCCGTTCGAAAACGGCCTTGGAAAGCTCATCTTGGCAGCGTCTGCTTCTTGGAGTTGCAGGCAGGTGTTGCGTCTTCCGCTTTCTTTTTAGAAGATGCTGGACGATGCTGAGAAGCTCTACGGGAGAAGAGAGGATGGACGATAGTTGGGGTGGGAAGGGACGAGAATGCGGCGGTCTTTGATGACTTTGGTTCTGGAAAGGCCGGCGATGGAGAGAGCGTTCTTGCTTGTTCGGTCCTTTGCTTATATATTCAACAGCATTTTGTTGCCTGATGTGTTGGCGGTACATGTATAACTTTGATGTCTTCTCTGAATATGAATAGAAACCATCATCTCGTCCCACCTCCGCTGTTCGCCCGCCCACACTCTCCACCCCACCAATGTTTTATGTGTCAACTAGTCCCATGGTTTGTACGATAAACAGCCCTCGCGTTCTCCACGTCAGCCAGCTTGGGCCTCGTTCCCTCTCGCGCGGAAGCCTCACGACATTGTGTGAGCTCACACCCTTGACCCTTCTCTTCTCGCCCAATATGCCGACGAGAGAGGTTGCAGTGCAGCGTCACCACCGCTCGATCTCACTCGGCTCGGCGAGCGCCTCTAACATCCTCGCTCTGCGACTGCCGCTAGCGATTCTTCATAGCTTGGAGCGTGCGGTGAATACGACTCGCATCACAGTCTGCCTCTCGCGGTACATCTGCTTGGGAATGTATGGCTCAGCGAGGCGGTGACTACTTCTACAAGCCACGCTCTGTGCCTCCGGCGCTCTTACTATCCGGTCTCACACCGCTCAGCAACGGCTACACAACCCACGTCCCCTGCCTCCATCCTGCTCTTCAACGACTACATCTCTTCCGTCTATGGCTCCCCACGCTTGACCTCGCACGGTTCGGAGCGGTCGTTGATCCGTTCTACCTGCGCCTGCTGCGTCTAACGAGGTCCCAAAAGCCTTCAGACTGGTTTCGCGACACGACGAAGCTGTCTACGGGACACGCCTGGACATCGGCGCCGCTAGAGCTACCGGACTGGCCTCGGGTCCCCTCATGTTATATGGTTCGCTGACTACGTAACCGCGCACTCACTCCTCCCCGGCTGCTGCGTGCTCCATGGTATGGTACATTGCCACTGCTACTCGCTCAACTTCAGCGGTGCTGACATGGTACTGCAGCAGCGCTGATAGCAACTGACTATGAATGTTAACCTGCATTGCGGCATATGACGCGCCGAATTGTCAGAGCAGTATTGGGGTAGATCTTCGGCTGGTTTCAACCGCTGTTGTAGTCGTTAGAGGAGGTCTGGTATAGCCGTGGTCTGCGTCTCCGCATGATACGTGGCCTGTTTGATGGTCGCAGTGTCGGAGATCAAGGTGGCAGAGCCCCAGCTTTGGTTCGAGGCGTTATTCGCTCGTTCTGTCGTCGACGGGGCAAAAGAGAGCCGTCGGGAACGAGACAGGCAGGAGAGGTTGCTTAATACTCCTACGCAGTGTTGCAAAGCAGTAGTGTTGTGAGGAGATTTGAAGGCCACGTTCAGATGAAGATGGGTAATTCAAGGAATTTGATCTCAAATTTCACCTGAACCGCAGCTTAATGCTGGATTCGTTGGCTACTTCGAGTTTGTTTCAACAACCATTGTCTTGCCGCCAGCCGGTGTTTAGCTGAGGATAGGGGAATACGTACGTTAACACCTTTCACATGTCGATCTTGCGATCTATGGCAGCATACGATCTTGTTCTTTGTTCAACACATGCATTACACATCCGCCAAGGAGGATCCGAGGCCGTCCTCTCGGTCGTGGATGACCCCAATCATCGATTAGTCTTATACATGACTTTCCTGTGCCGGTGTCATGGTCGTACGTATCCCATGTAAGGTCTAGAGGAAAAGGCGGACATTGCGCCGCGTGGCTCTAAGATTGATCTGCGCAAGACATGTATGGATGAAGCCATCCCATTCGAATCACCCTATCACCAACGATGGAGCGGAACTGGCACAGCTGCGTGTCATCTCTTGAAGAGTATTGGGCGACGACATCATGCTTTGCGGATGGTAGTACTGGATCGTTGAAGCATAGCATCAGTTACAATCATCCGGGTCACGACTAGGCATCACTAGGGCTGTGTGTACCTTGGATGGAGGGTGAATTGGAGGCACCGGCGACGACGAGATCAGCATCACGCCATCGCATCTACAGACATCAACACATCCAAGCCGTGAGCGGTAGCAAACCGGCGTCGTTGTTAGCAAGCATCATTCCACCTCCAATACGGGAGCACATCAGCATCGCTATGAGCTGACCGAGAGCGTCTTGGACGGGTCTATTGTCTGGAAGAACTTATTGGCGAACATGGCGTTGAGAGCAGGAGCCCGATCAAGCGCAGCGCAGTCTTGAGGAACAAACCAACGTGCAAAGGGACAGGCGGTAGCAGAGAGACATTCCGACTGAAAACCCTGTTCGTCCTCCTCGTCATGGTGCTGCTGCATGATTGTCGTGAGGAGGGCGATGCGGTCTCCTTCGGCGGTGTCGCGATTGATTGCCTCTTCGCCCGCTGTACTGCCGGCATCGCTCTCACCCTGCTCGAGACGCCCTTCAACTGCGCTCGCCTCTGCCTCTAGATCCTCATCGCCTTCCATCGCTTCCCCGGCCAGGCGCAAGACTCCAACCATCCACAGCCAGGCGCAAGACTCCAGCTATCCACAGCCAGAAGTCGACGTACGTGTCTCGGTCGTCTTCGTCTTCGTAGTGGCTCTCCATTATGTAGAGCAGGATGCGGGTGCGAGCGGCTGGGAGCAGTTCTCCGGATCCGTTGAAAGACATCTATGGAGGCTGAAGTCAGCATGCCATCTGTTTGGCTGGAGGAGAAGAGATCGGCAGGCATACCGTGCTTACTCTCGGCGATGGTAGATATGGAGGCTGCAGAGAAGGGCGTTTTGGCAGGGAAAGGGCGGCGATGAAAAGGCACTCAGTGTCGAAAGGAGTACTTTGGAAGGTGACGATAGCAGCTACGCCTATGTTGATGCAGGAGAGGCTTGACCAAGTACCGTCTGTTGCGGTTTAAGATATGTTGGTAATGTGCAGAGTATTCGTGTTCGGTACGAGGTCTCTTCATAGGAGGTAGGAGGCCCAAGGTTGGGAAGTCTGGACGTGGCCAAGTCGAATGCGATGACGGCAAGAAGGAGAGCTTGCCGCATTCGGAAGGAGGACCAGCTGAGCCTACATGTAGAAGCTCTCGCATTATCGCACCATCGAGAAACAAGACGGCACGATCGTGGGCGAGAGTCCAAATAGGCGACAGAAGAACTGATCGACGAGGGAGCCTGAGGAACAGCATCCCTCTCCCGGGCACGCTGTCAACAACGGACGAAAGCGATGTGGCCAACAAACCTCAAAGCCGCCCCTTCAGCAACCTATTGTCAACAGTGTTCTCGCTCCGACTAGCCTTTCAGCCTGTCCTCACGCCCAAGCAAAAATCACCTCAGGACAAGTTAATGCTGAAAAAAATAAGCACCGTTGGGCAAGCGGCAAGCAGACCTCGATCGCTGCCACAAACTCACTTCCCAGACAGAACGGTTCAGGCAAGACGTTAGAATTATGGAAGTTGAATGATGGGTTGAGGTCAATTGGACAAACAGCATGAGTTACGATCAATATGCTCGACACATTTAGGAGCCCGCAATGCGGTAGATTGAACCAAAACGTGGCTCTGCGCAGGGTGACGCCGGACCTTTGCCATTCCACAAGAACACCATCCTGCATTGGCTCTATCACGGAGCCAGTCCGCACCGCAGAGCCCGCATATCGCGCGTCCGTCTATCGATGTGCGTTCAACGGATGCGCCTTCCCGAGCTCTTACCAGCGCAGCTCTCCAGGTATGGATTCACTTGGAACATCAAGCTCGCAGCTACTCGGCAGTGTTGTGAGGCATATCTTCGTTGGCTTGCTCTGGTGCGGACTGCAGACGTCGTTCTGCCGCCACGCTCAGCGTTCCTCATTACGTGCCGTCGCTCATTGTATGCTTCCGTGACTATCAGTACGTCCATGAATTGCGCAAAAAAGCCACCGAACAACGCCAGCGCTCGCTGACCTTTCGGCGAAGAGGAGCGAGAGCGGAGCATCAGGGATAGATGCCAGCAGCATTCCGCGGGCTGCCATTGCCCTGCTCTGGCGACTGTTCCCCATCGCCTCGATATGCTTTGATTCGATTCATTTGGCGCAGACTGAAAGGCGCTTCTGCATTCTAATGACTTGTCGCCCCAGCGCATCGATATTCATTCCCCTTGTTAGTGCTTTTCTCTTGCGCAGTCCGACCGTTGCATTTCAACTCCAAACGGTCTTCAATGTGGCCTGTGCGGAGCCGGCTTTAGGCATGAGCTCGCGCGTAAGCGGCTCGTTGAGGGAGAGGGGGACGAGGAGGAGAAGGAGGAGGGAAGCGCAGTGGCGGAGAATGCTACTGTTGATCTTTCCGAACAGCATGGCCCGTTCGCCGTCGCTGCGAATCCGCCGTCGGGTGCGCCGCGGTGGCCAGGAGTCATGTCTCTCGCTTGAAGCGTCAAACGTCCTGCTGCAGCCTGGCATCGATCGGTCGTGGTAGCCAGGGATGTAGCGCTGTCGCAATACTGCTTTGTTTGCTAATAATTCGTTGCAGAGTAAGCGACAAGCGCTGCTTTGCAGCGAGGAGCGGTCGTGCGGCGCGGCGAAGCCAATTCCCATGGTGCTTGGAGGATCGCTTCAGATAGAAGGTAGCTGGTCTGGAGATAAGCGTGAGCGATGGGTTCTCGAGCGCAGAGGAAGGTGTCTGTGTCCACGTCAGTGAGGCAAAAGTGGACGGTGAGCCACTGCGCGCCGTCGCAGAGGTACATTCAATGGAGTGTATCAGTGTTCGGAGGCTCGAACGTATGCCGTGACGCTGTGGACGTTTATTCGATCCATGCCGTCGCCCGGCGTGGTCGATCAGCTGCTCGCCTTCCCTAGCCTCCCAGACCGTGCAGGATATCCCCTTTATCACCTCTTTGCGCCCATGCCGTGGTCCGTTGGGTGAGAAAAGTAGCTTCATGCAATCGCCCTTCGGTTAAATGCTCAATCGTGGCTGCGAACAATGGCCCTCTAGGAATCGCCGACCAGGGGGCGATACCGTGCTCTAGATCCATGGCGTAGTGAAGTACACGCCGAAGGGAGTCCTGTGAGATCAAGTTGTTGCTGCTACCACCGCAGGGACGACTCGTGCCTTCCGCAAGGGTTTTCGTTCATTTTTAACATGCTGGCCTGGACGGGGTTCAGCGGGCCCGAGGTTGCCGTCTTGGGTTTGGAAGGAGGAGTGCTTAGTATCTAGATGGCGTGATGTGGGTGGCGGAGACAAGGGAGCAGGCGCTGATGCGGTGTATCGATGATGATAGATAGCCTCAATATGCGAGCACATGGTGTGTTCAACCGAATAGTCGCAGTGTGTAGTCTTGCGAAATGTGTACGACGCAGCACCAGGTGTTCCTCGGCGGAGGTGTAATGCATGTGTTATATACTTAATTAAACTTGTTGCTTCCATAGATCAACCGATCGACGGATTGAAAGGTGCAAACGTACGTATTAATCAGCTGGCACCGGCAGTGGCAATGACAATATGAAACAAGCTCGAAGTAGCCAATGAATTTAGCTCCATAGCTACAGTCCAGGTGAAAATGGCAGATCAAATTGATTGAAGTAGCTCGTCAATTCTAGCAGTAGCTGGGGTTTGGGTGAAACATTACATCTTCTTTTTTTTGCTTCAGTCTTGGCTGAACCAGGGTTCGAGCACGTGGTGAATCGTTCTTTTGCATTAGCAGTATCTCAACACCCTCCCCGTTATCGCTTGCAAAATTCTGCTGCACTGTCCTACCCTCCCCCTGATACAACCGTTTTTCCGTTCCATACAGGAGCTACAATCTGCTCGAGCATCCACGACCTGCCTTCACCATCGCCCGAAGGTGAATCGCGCCTGTTGTTCTGATTTCGGCCCGCCTCGCTCTCGAGCTAAGCTGTAGAACGAGCGTAGCACGAGGGCGCAGGAAGTATGCATGGGCGTCATGTATTACGTATGGCATCGAAGCAGATCAATTATCAATTCATGCGTGATGGGGGCAAATGTGCTTACTGTAGCTACGAATCAACGGTACTATGCTTCCAAGATGGTCAAGCCGACCGTCATACCCTTTCAACCTAGCTGCATTGTTGTCCCCGGCTGCCACTCTGACGCTCTCCGCCACTTGACTCATTCCAAGCTCGCTATAGTTCTGTCACCCGGTCAAATGGTGATCCCACTCCACTCGCTCCTTTCCTTCGAACTCAACATCACCTCCACTGCAAAGCAGGCCGATTGGCGGGCAGCTTCAGCTTGCCCTCGTTCTTCTCTCACATTAATGCCTTGACCTGCTCGAAGAGCCTTGATACCGACTCTCCCCTCTCATGTGCCGAAGCCGAGAACGTTCCATGGACGACGCGGAACGTGAGGATGAATGTGATATGGTCGTAGCCGTCGTCCGTCCCGGGCTGGTCGGACAGCAATACCTCCATGTTGCGAATCAAGTGGAAGCGGCCATCGAGCTGATCCATCACGGAAAGGACTTTCTCGAGCGTGAAGCGAGGCCACATGTGTGCTTTGCCCCCGCGCCTCTTTGGAAGATCCCGGTATCCGATACGAAAGTAGTTGTCGCGATAGTAGGAGTCGCGCAACTGCTGACGGATTGTACGGCACACTGAGAGCAGAGCTGGCTCACGCATACGAGTGGTGTAGACGCCATCGATCACCTCGGGACGAATAATGGCGCGGTGTGGAACGACCATGTCGAAGATTTTGTTCTGGAGCTCGGCTGGGAGAGCGAGAAGGTAGCACTTGGACGACGGGCTGTCTGTTGCGGCATCGATTTCGGTGGTGGTGTTGCGCTCGATTGCTTCCACATTGTCGCTTGTGGCGATGGACGCCATGTTCGATCTTCCGCTGGGTTCTTGAGAAGCGATGATGCTCGGGGACGTTAGAAGCAGGTGAAACTTGGTCAGGGTACTATAGCGATTGGGGTTCTCGGTCGCTTGAGGTCGAGATGTTTTCTGTCGAGCTGGGTGTGATGTTAGGTGTTGCGAACGCCGAGTTTGAAGGATGTCGTAAGGTCACAAGCTTGAGGGTCGAGCAAGGATTTAAAGTAGCTTCAAGCATGTGAAGAGATCAACAAAGGCAAGTTGACGTCATGTTCGATCCGAGAATTCACGCGAAAGATCAGATCGCCTCTAAGCTGGAATACATCGGTAAGGACGTCGAGCTGATATATCCATTCCACATTTGACCTGATCCTGCTAACGCAGTATCTGCTGCCCGTGGCCGGCTCTAAAGCTGCAGCCTACTCCATCAGGATTACATGTGCGAGCGCAACAGAGGAATCTATCATTCGGTTCAAATAATGACTGGAAACGACGGCATCTGGAAGAAATAACGTCTGCGCGAACGCATAAGCAATCTCAAGCGATTGAAGAGACCTCCAACTGACTGGACATGAGTATCTCGCCGCTGTCTGTGCCTCCTCCGCTGAGAAGAAGACAGCCAGCGGTGGCAAGAAGGACTAAGGCGAGCTCGTGCATAAGCATGCCTGGAGCAGCACGAGGCATCAAGTCTGCAGACTCAAGGGTCGTCCGTGCCTGGATCACCGGACAGCGACAAACGCCATAGGAGATGTCGAAAGATCGAGCTTTCATGACGCCGACGGGCTGCATTGAATTTCTCTCACTGCGTTCTTCCACCCATCGGGCAGCAGCAACTCCTCAAGCCGCGAGAATAACTGGTGCAATGTTTGGAACCCTCTTGAGCCAGGCCGAGCGGAGCCAACTGAGACGTTCTCATCTTCGCTTCAATGACACCTGCAGGTGTGAGCAGCTTGGGATGACAGCAAGACTCCCGTGTTGTCACACTCCAGGAATACCGCATCCCCTCTCACGATCCTATTGTCAGTAATAATACAAACGCGGGATGCAGGTGCAGGCCTCAATATACAGGTGTGTCGAAGGGTATATTTTCCAGGGTGTCTGCCGACTGCAAGAAAGCATAAAAAATACATGACTGGTAGCTGCTATGGAAGCGGCGGTGGCGTTGACGAGCGCAGCGTGGAAGCTGGCGTGGTCGCATAGGCGGGGGATGAGCCAGACGACATGTCCTTGATCACCTGGAAATTGGCCTGGGCCACTTGCGATGACAGCGATGACGGAGATGAGCACGACGCCGACGCGGGAGAAAGGCTTGGAAGGAGGCATGGAATGCGATAGCCTTCACAGCACCACTTAAATGCTACAGTCAACGATGTTCGAGACAGTCTCATGCACGGGACCTGTCTCGCCCGTCCTGCACATATGGGTGTGCTTGCCAAAGAGTAGAGAGTACTGACACCTCTATTAAAACATCTTGAGACTGTACTGACGTCGATCGTGCTGCTAGCCCTGCTTTTTATGGCAGCTGAAGCTGTTTGTTGGCTTGAGTGGAAGCAAACATCGAGCAACACATGCACTGGACCCGACCCAGATCCTCATCCGGAGGCCGTTGACGTAGATACAGGCCCAGCAGCGAAGAATGTTGTCCCATTTCTAGCCACGAAGCGGGAGCTTGGCCGATGCCAACCCCCGAATAATATCCTACCCGGGGCCTGGTTGCAACTTGCAACGAAATACAGTCCACTGCCGGCATGAAGCAGTAGAACTGGCTACCCACGACCTCCCCTCATCTGCCCTGATACACCCAGACCTCAGGATACACGCCGCACACACCTTTCAGAAGCGGCGACAGGCGGCTATAGATGGAAAGCTGCTTGCATTCATAAGGAGGTCGCAACGTTCGTGGCGATCCCCCTACTTGCAGCCGATGCAATTAGCAGCTGCACTCCGAATTCATGGCCTTCCCGCCAGTGCTTTCGTTCTCTCTTTCAGTGCAAGAACTCACCAGCGAGTAGCTCCTGGCGGCCTGGCAGGTCATCCGCATCACCACAAGGTGGCCTTCAAGGTGTTCTCCGTCGTGTGATGGTAAGGGCGCTTTGCTGGCGCGCAGAACAGATAGGTAAAAGAAGAAGGAGGAAGAAATGGCTAAAGCAGCTTAGAAGTGAGATGCGGCGAAACTGAAATCTTGATACGTCATCGTTGCTATCTAGAAATGTGTGCAATCAGTAAAGCAGGCATTGCGAGCGAAGTTAATGCTGCCATTCCTCCTGCTGCCTCGGTGCCTGCATATCGGCCGCCCCATCCCACCGTCGCCCCATCCATCATGCAAGGCCCAAAGCGTTGATCTGAACTTTCCCTTCCTGCCGGCTTGCCATGGAGAAGGACAAGCAGCCTTGTTCACGGCACGCACGCGACCGCGGTGTAGTACGAGCACTAGAGCGGATGAGAAGTTGTGCTGGTCGTATCCAGAGGTCGCGGAACGTCTGGAGTACGGCCAAGAGATTTCGTTAATCAATAGAGGAAAAGAAGGGGAGGCAGAAGGTGAGGGGGTGTTTTGACGCCGGCTGTGTAGGAGGAGGGCGGGGCGATCCGTAGGCATTGGCTTGCTCACATGACCTCTGTTGTGGTGTTTTTTGATTGCACTGATTTGAATTGGATCCTTGGCAGAAGCTGTGGCGCGGAGAGGTCGATTGCAGCGAACAGATGGGATGAAGCAGGGAGAGCTTCGCAGGGACAGTAGCGCTCGATAGCAGATGCTGTTGTCTGCGGCTCAAGGGGGAACGCCTCCTGTCACCCATTTCCCCCGTTTCTCACTGTTCAAGCGTCATTTTGAATCCGTGCCAACGCTGGGTGGAGGCAGCGGCGCGTGAGCATGGCTTCTTCACTGGTTGCACGTGCCAGTGCGACGAGCTACAGGACATGTATGAACGCGCAAAACAAGAGTTCGAAGAAGAAGCAGACAGGGATCAAGTTTGAACGTGGACAAGAATTGGAGTTGGAGCAGAACATTGAACGAATGCAAATCCATCTGGAATGTACGCCTTCGGCCCGAACAACACCGGTGTAAGAACGATGCAGACGGTCTCCTGTACGCGTCTTTCGACTTGATCTAAGCTCCTGCCAAAGAAGCTATGTCACAACCTTTGCTTGCCGGCCAACCCGAAGGCCAGCCAACGTGCCTGATGTGCCTGTCAAACTATTGATCTTCAGCATTGACAGCCACACTAGAGAGAAGAAGTGGGAATTGAGGACGGTGAGAAATTCTTTATAGCACGTACTCCTCGCCTAGAGATTAGCGTGATGTGACGAGCACAAGCGTCCAGTGGTCTACGCGCCAGGAGGAAGAACTCGGCTGGGAGACACATAAGAGGCGGGATGTTTCGGGTCCAGGTGTTGCAGTACCAAAGTCCACGTCGCGGTTGCTCGAGAGCGCATGACCAAGAAGACTCAATTGGGCAAGATCGAGCTTGCATCGATTCGCGAAAGATGGTGGCTGTCTTCCTCCTGTCTTCCTACCAGACGCGTCGCTGGGCCTGGTGGCACAACAACATCACGACGTCAATGCGAAGAAGTTGACCACTGGCAAAGACAGAAAGGTCTGCACGAACATAGGGCAAGGTGGGAGAGGGCACGTTGAAGAGGCTGGAGATGGGAGATTCTTCTCCAGAGCCCTGCCAATGGCAAAGACAATGATGAAAAAACAGTCGAGCGCCCATTGCTCATCGGGTAAAACCAAAAAGTATGCCGTAGTGCCCAGTCGGAGAGGACACATCTGACTGTAAGAACAAATCAGAGGACAACCGACTGCTTGATCTCGGTGCCCACGACAGAAATGAGGAGGAAAAACCACCCTGCTGCTGCCATGCCATGCCACGCCGGGCTGAAGGAAAAAGAAGAGAACATTCCCAGCGCAAGAGGCAGATTTTATAGGCCTTTGAACGCCCGTGAACGCCAGCGTGATACCATATGTACTAGCGTGAGAGGGACAACACACCTGCAAAAGTGGACGGACCCACGTGATTGCCATCCTTTTGGCACGCTCGATCTGGGCTGAGCAGGCCAGTAGCGCGTGTGATCTTGACGAAGACTTCTGCCTGGAGCTCCTTGGTTGTTAGCGCGCGGCGGTTGGGGGTGTGGGAAGTCTGGAGCCAGGGACGAGGGATGGTCTGAAGCAACAAGCATCGCATTGTACGGACAGTAACACACTTGAGCCTCTTTCGCTGTTATACTCGACCCGCCGTTGCATGGACGATCGTTCGCTATCGCTTTCCACTGCAGTCTCTTGCCCCAAAGTCCAGTATAACACCTCGTCCGCCTCCGCCAACTCCCCGTCCCGAGGCGCTTAGCCAGCTAATCACGCTCGCATTAGAACCACGTTCGTTGCCACCGTCAGCTGTGCTTTGGAACGACTCGCCTTCGACTTTGGCGAGCGAAAAACGAACGACCAGAGCCCCACCGGAGTTCTCGAGCGAATTATCGAGCGAAGAACGCCATACAATATGAACCAAGACGCGAAGGAGGTGGAGGATTCGAACGGAGGTCAGCCGCTTCGAGGTGGAGCAGCTCAGAGGTCAGCAGCTTAGAAATGCAGACGAGCAATATGAGTATCGAAGACACCGAACATCTACTTGCGGCTATGCCTTGAACCAATAACGATCCCAATCGTCGACAACACCCCTTTTGAGTCTCGGTGCAGCGCAGTCATGCAAAGGAGTTGGACAACTTGGGCCGAAGTGCAGCGGATTGGGTTAATGCGCCACCCGCAGAGCGCCAACCCTACAGCAACTCGAGCATCCAACCCTCCAAATTCCACCGCAGGCTTTGTCTAGACATTACAGTGTTCCTCGCTGCCCGGTCTCCTCCTCCTGTAGGCATCTCGATCGTAAGATGTCAGCCCAGCCAGCTCCAAGTGAGCGATCTGGTGGCAACCTGAGCAAACCACTGCAGCACACGAACGAACGGGTACGGCTGATCTGACCGGTGGCGGAGGATGCATCAGCGTAAGCAGCAGCGGA